GGTTGTGAAGGTTCGAGGAATTCGGAGAAGAGGAAGGGAGGCGGTTTTTTGTTGTGGGGGGGCCTTTGATTGTGGCTCGGCTTGGAGTCTCTGCGCTCGCACGATGCGGTAAGTTGTCCGCGTACACGCACTGCGTGAGCCTCGTTCAAGCACGTGCATGTCTTTGAATCTCGGAACCACGTGTGGCCTATTGAGCCGGTGGGTAGTTCGACGAGCCGTAGCAAGAGATCAAGATCATCTGACCGACCGCGTGCGGGGGGGAGGGGGGGAAGAAAGATACACGGCTCAAGATCGAATTTGGACGCATCCATGCTGGTAAGGCCCAGGGATACTGTGCTAGGCCGTCTTCTTTACGCAAACAGGAAGGAGCCACGTTGATGGTACACACCACACAACCGCTTGCCCTTTTTCGCACCCAACAGAGTCAGCGAGCACGAAAAACCGCAAGCTCAAAGCCTCGAAGCCTGCTCTTGTGATCACAACTCCATCTCGCACTCCCATCGCACAACGCACAAAGCACAACGCACAACGCACACAATGTCAGACCCAAGATTCGCAGCACGTGTTGGAAATGGCAACAGTGTCGATCCGAGTCAGAAAGGATTTGCGAGGCTACTTTGCGGTCTTCTGCCTCTTTGCAGCGCTTTGGGCCTTCATTCCCTGCACACGATAGATCTCCTTCATCTCTGCCTTCCTCTTCTGAGCCTTGATTTCGTCGTCCTTTTGGTTGATCTTGATGCGTTCCTGTCGCTTTTCGAGGTTCTTCTTCCTGCGCTTGTCCTCCTTCTCCCTCTGCACCGTCTTCATCTGTTGCAGCAACGCCAGCGCCTTTTTCTCGTCGCCCTCCAACACCACCGCCCTCTTGGCCAAATATCCCTGGTTCGTCGATGCCTTCATCTGCTTCGGTTTCGACTTGAACGGCAACTCCGCTTGCAAGGCTCGAGGAACTCGGAGCGGATTGAACTTTCGTTCGGTCCGTTCAATGTCGCGGTAGGACGAGTTGATGTGATTCGGCGCCTTGAGTTGTCGCTCCTTTCGAACCGCACCCGTCAACCTCATCCCCTGCCAGCCCCGGTTGCCAGAGAGCAGCAGAGACGTGACCGGGTTGTAGAACTTGCGTGGTTGGATCGTGTACCAAGCACGCAGGAAGATGATATCGCTCATCAGGATCTTGTCCTCGAACGTCGCCCTAAACTGGCCCTCGGGCTTGGACAGCGCCTTCTTGATCTGTCCTCGAATACCCGAAACCGTCTTGATGTGTGCGCCTTCAAACTTGGCCACTTCGAGTGCAGAGCTAAACATGTCGCGCACAAACGCCGTATTCTTGTAGATCTTGGCCGGCGTGCCCGTGAGCTTGAGCTTCTTGACGATCTTTTGCGACCCCGCATCCACATCCAGTACAACTCCAGTGGCGCTAACCCGGAACGAAGGCGTACTGGTAGAAAGAGTGTTAAACGCACAGAAACCCGTGTTGGGCGCCGAGATGGGACCGTAGAACGATGCCAAACAATGCATGTGCTCGGGAGTGTACTTGAGCATTCGGTTGCGCGTACCGTCGTCCAACGAGTAGACGGGGATCGACTGGAACCTCCGCCAGCCCAGCGAAAAGATGAGCGGATCGTTGGTCTTGAGGATCTTCTGATGCCATCTGTGTCGCTTGATGCGCACCTGGATGAATCCGAAACTCTCCTCGCTCGCCAACAGGCCGCCGACGAGGAGCGGGTAGGCGGGATCAAAGTGGTCCACCAGCTCGTGTGCAACCTTACTCAGCTCAATGCGAACGTATGCACCAGGAGCATAGCCGACCACTTGGTGACGAAGGTCCTCGTCGACCGTTTCGAACTCGGCCTTGTTGAGTGCAGCCTGTGCGGCAAGCGCGTCCTTCTGCTCGTCGTACCAGTCCTGCTTGGTGTCGGCGTCGGGATCGTCGTACTGCTCGTCGAACCGACGCTTGAGCGCCTCCTTCTTCGCCGCCAGCGCCTTGGCCCGAGCATCTTCCGTATCATCCTCCTCAGCGCCCTCCTGAGCCTCGGCTTCGGATTCAGAACCATCGTCGGCGACGGGGGCAGCTTCGACGCGCGAACCGTCCTTGCGCTCTTCGAGATCGGGCTCGTCGCCCGTGATGAAGAAGCGGCGGATCGAGTCGAGCACGCGCTCGTGTGCCCAATGGTCCAGTTCGTGCGAGCGCACCACCGCACGTGCCTGGTCCGGCACGTCCTGGTACTCTTCATCACCAGCCTTGGCGCCCTGAGCTGCGCGCGATCCATCGGCAGGACGGAAGAAATCCTCCTCGTCCGCTTCGGCCATCTGGCGGATATCCTCCTCCGCATCGTCCGAGTCGTGCACGTCGCCCGATGCAATCTGCTCCGGCGTCGCGTCCGTCTCATAGATCAACCGCGTCAGGTCGATCGGTTTGCGCCTCTTGTTGGCAAGCACCGTGGCCTCGGCTCGTGCGGCTAGGTCGCGCTTCCATGGCGCCACCTCGTCGTCGTCGGAGTCAAGGTCGTCGGCATCACCGTCGGAGGGTGCATCATCGTCGTCGTCGTTGTCGGTGCCGAGTCCCATGTCGGAATCGCTATCGGCAAATGGGATGTCTTTGGACGTGCCTTCTTCGTCTCCCTCGACGGCTCGACGGGAGAATGCGCGGCGGCGGTATCCCTCCTCGTCCTCGTCGGCATCGTCGTCGAGGTCCGCGTCGCTGTCTACATCGTCGTGCTCGTCATCGTCTTCAACGTCGTCGTCCATGGGTACGTCGTCGAACGCGGCGCGACGAACACGCTTGCCCTTGGCGGGAGGCGGGTAGTCGAGCGTATCCTCGTCATCGTGCTCGGCGCTCGACGCAATGTCGCCCGTGCGCAGTCCGGAGGTGTCCGAGTCGAACAGTCGCAGCTCGCTCTGTGCCGCAAGGGTATCCAGCGTGGTGTGGGCATCCTGCAGATCCATGACCATCTTTTCGCCCTCGCCTGCCGCCGCGTGGTTGTCGCCGTTCTTGGTGAAGCTGCCGGGGACGTTGATGTAGACGGCGTCCTTGTCGAACATGACGCCGCCGACGTCGCTCATGGGAGCATGGATGAGCTTTGCCTTGTCCGAGAGCTTCCTGCGCTTCTCGGAGTCGTTGGTGGGGAGTGGACAGGGGTCGTTGAGCTTCTCGATGGATGTGATGGAGAGGTCGCCTGCGCCGGGGATGTGGACGCGCTGCGAGGGGCGCAGATGGGTGCCGCGCAGGTAGCCGTACACGGTGATGGTGCGATCGCCCTTGGGATTGGCGCGGATCTCTTCGCGCGGTGTGAGGTCCTCCATGCGGTCTGCAAGCACGTACGGGTGGGCGTTGCGGAAGATGAGCGGACGGAACTTCATGACGCCGATGAAGCGCGAGAGGTTCTGAATCTCGGTGTCGGGGTATCGACCGTTGATGATGCCGGAGAGGTAGAAGAGCTTTGCGCCGTCGTAGATCTCGGTCCAGAAACGCTGCTTGAGCCTCTTTTTTGTGGCCTTGAGCGTCTTTGCCTTTTTGATGAGGTCGAGGTGGGTGAGGACGCCGATGACCTTGGGGAAGCCGTGCGACTGGAGGACGTTGAGGAACTCCATGGTCTCCATTTCGAAACCGAACGAGCCGTCGATCATGAGCAGCACGAGATCGGCCACCTTGCCGACGTCGATCATCGAGTTGATGTCGTTGTTGCACTCGATGAACGTCACCCTGCGCTTCTTGCCCGTGACGACGGTGACGGGGCCCTTGATCTCTGCGAGCGTATGTTTTGTGTATCTGCGGATGAGGGAGCGCATGAGCGTTGTCTTGCCGACACCTTCTGGGCCGACGACGGCGACGATGATGGGCGGTGGCTCGTCTGCGGGTGTCCTGTCGGCGAGAGGCACATGGAGACGCTTCTGGTCCTTTTCGGCGTTGCGCAGGATCTGCTTCTGAGCGACGTTGAGGTTGGCGGAGATGAAAGCCTTGGGGTTGAAGCCGTTGGCATGCTTGGCTTTTCCCTTCTCGGCCTTACCGCCCGTCTTTGCCTTGCGATGGGCCTTGTTGGCCTGCTGAGCGTCGGCCATGGCTGCGAGCAGCGGCGGCGAGCTGCGTCAAGGTGTAGCAGCGAGGATGTGCGAGTTGCGAGTCTGCTCTAGCGCCCTGCCTGGCTGCGACGAGTTAGTAGATTGCAGGTGATGGCGCGAGACTCTGTGGTGGAAGGAGCGAGAGTGGGTGTGGGTGTGGGTGTGGTTGGAGAGCGCGGAGGCTGAGTTGGAGGAGGTTGCCGTGGCTGCCACCAAAAGAAACCTCGAAAGGGTCTTTCTTTTGCTGCTGCTGCTGCTGCTTCTGCTGCTGCACTCGAGTTTCTCGAAAAAATTTCCGGCGCGAGTGGAGCACGCTCACTTTAGCTCTTATAGAGCCTTACATAAGCAGAGATCTTGGTAACGCAAAAAGAAAACGAATGCTCCTTACCTGGGTCGAACAGGTGACCTCCCGATACCGTATGTCCACTGCAGGCAGTGGCGACTGGTGAAACTGAATTCTTCAGTCGGACGCTCGTACCAACTGAGCTAAAGAAGCTCGTTGCGGGAGACGGCCAAACGTTGCAATTATGAATCCTGCGCTCTCATCACCGGGATCGTCTCTACTCTCTTGCCGACAAGTTGCTCCATTGTTGTTGGATGGTGTTCTGTGATGGTGTTGGGTTGCTTGCAGGGATGAATGAGCCATCGTCTGAGTGTGGCAACGGAAACGAGGCTGTGGGCTAAGCAAAGGGGTCCCAGCGGCTGAGAGTGACGAGTAAGTTGGCGGCAGCAGAAGGCGAGATTGGCACGCGCGACCGAAGTGGCGTGACATTTTGGATAGGCAGCGAGGCGTGGCATTGGAAATTTTAAGGCTCACCCGCCAAGCCGGACGACGCTCTGAGCTCGATCCTCGTTGTGGGCGGTCCTTGCTTTGATCTGGATTGCGGTGTGGCATTGCAGTACAGCCAGCAAGAGCCAAGACAGCTCAGAAAAGATTGCGGCAGTGCCGAAGAGCAGCAACAGCAGATGCAGGGTTCTGAGCTGATTGCACGTCCGGCCATGCCGAAAAGAATCCCACAGAGAGGCGCGGCTGCTCCACACTCGAAATCGTACGATGGCGGCCCTTTACGCCTCCGCCGCTGCTGCTGCTGCTGCTGCCACGCTCTGCTGAGGCGCCTGTCAGGCGGTTGCCGTGCGGCATTCGACGCGGCGCTGCTGCTCGAAGCTCTCTCTCTCCTCGTCACAGTCACAGCCACTACTCTCTCTCTCTCTCTCTCTCTTTCAGACACGCTCGCTAGCCATCCGCTCTTTCTGCCACATCCACTACGCCGCACACTTGAACCGCTTCGACTCGCAGGCGCCGCATCATCCAACCTCGCTAGCACTTGCCATCCGTCCTCTCCGCCATCCAGCACAGCAGAGATCGACTTCCAACTCGATCCCGGTGTCCACTCCTTTGCCTTCACACTCTCGCTCTCCTCTCTTCACTGCACACCATCTCAACCAGCAAAAGGAGCATCACAAAGAACCGCGTCCCTCTTCTATAATACTTGGACAAAAGCGACATGTTCTGCGCCTCGATGAGCACCGGCGCTCCACCACCCGGCAGTCCGAGAAAGCAGGAGCAGCATCTCTACCAGTCTGCCACTCCTCTTGACACCCGCTCGCAGCTTCTGCAACCTCCTCTTCCGCACCACGACTCCATGTCCGCCTTCCAGCACATGCTGCCCACCATCGTCGCTTCCAAGCAGCAATCCGATATGGTCCTCGACAACCAGCCGTCGGGCCCCTGGTCCAGCGACGACTACGACTCCATGATGCGCTCCATCCTCGACGCAACCCTCCCCTCTGACCACTTTGTCGATCTCGAGGCTCCACCCTCGCTCGCCTCCTTCTCTGCTTCCTATGCCGGCTCCTTCGTCTCGGGTTCCAGCGACAGCGGCGCAAGCCCCAACAGCATCAACGACCTCATCTACGGTGCATCCAATTTCCCTACCCCGCCCGATTCGGACCTCGGCTCCAATCCTCGCAACCTTTCCTTCTCCGTGGCCTCCCAAGCTGGAACCGCATTCAGCCCCGACGGTAGCCTCGACCTCTCCAACGCCTCGTATCCTCAATCCTACGCAGGCTCCGACACCACCTCCCCCTTCGCGCACAACTTTGCCGTCCAGGCAACCTCGTCCACTTCGCCCTTCGGCTTGCACACCGTTCAGCTCCCACCCGCCTCCATCCCGCCCAACAACGCACACGCACAGTCATGGAACCCAAACTTCCTCGCGCCTGCCACCGCAAACAACCTACACCCTCCGACAGTGTCCGAGCCGTACAGCGAGACCACCGCGACATCTGTCGAACCAATCCACAACCACACCACCACCCTCGTCGGCACCAAACGTGGAGCAGATGCACCCGAGTCGGACGCTGCACTCGCGCAAACTTCTTCATCAACAATCGCAAGGAAGAACTCCAAAGCTGCACCGCCACAACCGGATCCTGACTCCGCCACACGCAAGCCCAAAAAGGCAAAGTCAACCTCGGCACCATCCGAGTCCAAACCATCGGCCAAAGTGGCAGCGCCAGCGCCAGCGCCACCAACCATCAACCACATGAGCAGCAAGCTGCCCCACATGGAAGTCGGAAGTAACGCCACCGCCCTCGCCGCCATCCAAAGGCTCAAAGCAAAGCGACTACAAGAAAGCCAGGCCGCAGCGAACGCTGCCAGTGCCCTCGCCTCCACGCAGGCTACATCCCAAACATCAGCTTCCGCCACCTCCGCCGACAAACAGCACCTCGACCCCGCCACCCGCCAGCAGAAAAAGGTTGCACACAACGCCATCGAGCGCAGATATCGCAACAACATCAACGACCGCATCGCCGCCCTTCGTCGCGCCGTACCTGCGCTCCGCGAGATTCGCCCACGCAAGACCCCCTCCGGTCGTCGCAGTCGCAAGGCGCAGCAGGAGGAAGACCTCGTCGATGGCGTCCCCGCCGCCACCAAGCTCAACAAGGCCACCATCCTCGGCAAGGCCACAGACTACATCAAGTACCTGAAGTCCAGAGAGTTGCGCCTCACCAGCGAGGTCGCCGGCCTCCGCGAACTCGTCCGCAGTCTCGAGGGAGGCGAGGAGCTCCTCGAACTCTGGGAGGCAGAGATGGACAAGGTCGTCGCAGAGCAGGAGGCCTTCGCAGCAGCCGCAGCCGCCATGGAAGACGAGGAGGCCCAGGACGAGGCCGACGCCTCCCTCAACGCCGGCGCCGATGACGACGACGATGACGACGAGGCTGACGAAGACGACGATGAAGCCGACACGGGCGAAAGCTCCTACAACAGCGCCTCGTCCTCCTCCCCCCCTTCAGCCAGAAGTCGCACCGGATCCAAGGCCGGCCGGGGCCGTCGTTCCGGCATCGCCGCCACCCTCTCCTCCGTCGCCTCCTCGCGCTACATGCTCGCCACCTTCCTCGGCATCAGCTTCATCGGCTCTGGTGCCGAATTTGCCCTCGATGCATCTGCCTCGGACGCATCCGAAGCCGTCGCCCGCCCCGCTCCCGCAAAGCTCATGGTGGGCGCAGGTCGTCAGCTGCTCAAGCGCTCCGCAGGATACGTGGCCCCTTCCTTGTCCATCGCCCAGGATCCGCACGCCTTTGACAGCGTTCCCTCGCACGCACTTGCCTTCGAGGTGCTGCGCATCGTATCCTTCGCTTTCCTCTTCCTCTTCCTCGTCTGGCCCATCTTTTCCCGTTTCCTCCCAAAGGCACGCTCGTCTTCAGTCGATGCGTCTGTCAGCTCCGACGGTGCATCATCCGTGGATTCTGCCGAGTCGAGCCGCAAGCTGCGCATGTCGTTGACCAAGGGCGACATCGGCGTCGCTGCCTTCGACTCGGCCACTCGCTCCAACGTCTCAGCCCCCCTCTCTGCTCCCATGGCTCTTCCTTCGGTCCTCGGGTCCAGCTTGCATCTCGTCCTCGGCCGCAACTCTCGTCTTCACAGATTCGTGCCGATCAAGCACATGTCAAGCGACGAGGCTGGCGCGCTGTGCCGCCTACTCGAGGTGGAGACGCTGTGCGAAGCCAAAGCTCAGACTTCTTCGCTCCTTCGTCTGCACACCGCACTTCGCCTCGCCAACAGTCAATACATTCGCGGCTCGTCCCATGCCGCCTCGCGAGACCCCGCTTCGGTGCGACCTCGACTGCTGGCTACGCTCGCGCTCGCGTTTGCACGCCTCGGCGACGGTGTCAACTCGGCCCAGGACTTTGCCGACTCGCTCTGGATCGAGGCACGCTCGTGTCTTCGTGCGGCCGACGCCGAGAGCTCGACGCCCTCTGCGCTTCACAAGGACGACGGCCTGGCTCAGGTCGAGAGTGCGTCGTGGCTCTCGTCAGTGCTGTCGCTCGATCTGGACACTGCGCTCGACATGCTCGCGACCGCGTCTGCATCCAGCGACCTGCGCGACTACGAGTACTCGGCAGTGCTCGGTATTGCCGACGTGCACTACTGCGCGCGCCTAACCGCGGTGTGGAACCGTCTGCTGGCCAGCGTGGTGCGCGCTTCGTGCCCTTCGTCGTCGGTGGCTCCGTCCAAGCTCGTGCACGGCTTCGTATCGATGCAGTCCAAGCAGAGGCTCGAGCTGGACGTGGTGCACGATGCCGAGACTCGTCGCGAACTGCATGCCGAGATAACGATGCTCGCACGCACTGCGCCACCCACGCCACGCGCATGGCAAATGGCACAGGTGACGCTGGCAACGTGGTCGGCGGTGCTGGGCAACCTCGGTGTCGCACGCCACGTCGCCTCGATGCTGCGCGACCAGCCTTTGTCCACGCAGAGCGAGCTGGCGAGCGTCGCGGCGCTGTACGCCTTTGTCGATGCCAACGCCGCTCCGGAGCCAGCGACCACGCCGGCGCCGCGCAACGAGGTGGATGCGCGCGCCGTGCTCCTGCTCGCCTGGCTCAGCTTCCTGCGCATGTTTGCCGACGCGCGCACCGACGTCAAGCGCGTGCATGCCACCACGCTGCACGTGCGCAAGCTCGTCTCGGCTGCGGCACCGGCTGCGGCGCTAGACGAGGCGAGCGCGCACGAGCTCGACGAGCTCGACGCGGGCCTCGACACGATCACCGAGCTGTGCACCGCGCTGGGCCGCGCGATCAACCGCCTCCCGTCCTCGGCCACCAGCGCGTCCACTGCGCCGCTCAAGGCGCTCGTCGACGCCGCCGCCGCCGCGGACGACGATCGCGACTCGGGCATCGAGCTGTAGTCCGCCCTCTACTTCCTTTGACCATTTCATCTGCGCCCCGTGATAATCCAGCTCGTCCTTGCTCTCTACAAAGAAGGATACGCATGGTGTGGGAGTTGAGATTCTAAGACGTGTGTGTGTATGTGTGTGTGGTGCAGATTGAGGGCGGGGGAAAAGATTGAACTGGACGATGAGATAAGACTGGAGCTTAATTGGGGCGTATTGGAAGGAGTGGGGGAAGATGGGGGTATAACTTAGAGTGAGCCGTCAAGGACGGCTCTTACGTCGTCTACATTTGCCAGATCGGCCAAAAAGGGGCAGAGGTCTGTGAGTTCGGTATCGTGGGGGTCATTGAACCAGCTGCTGACGGGCACGGCGTTGTTGGGATGGAAAATGTAGCTGGCGGGAGAATTGTCGATGATGATGGTATCGGCAATGGGTCTTCCTAGTTGGCTGAGGTCCTTGACGTAGTTGCCCTTGTGATTGTAACAGCTCTCCCTAAACAACCTATGTCGAACCGCATGATGAATGTCCAACATGTCGAGTACGGGGTCGGCGTATTTGGACAAGCTTGCGGTAAAGACGACGACTTCGTAGATCTCGCCCATCTGGCGCATGAATTCGTCCACCCCCGGTCGCTTGATCACATAGACATTGTGAACCGTACCGTCGATTTCGACCGGCACGATAAAGTCGGCGTTCTGGATCATCTTGAAGCTCGAATGAACCAAGGTCTCGTCGAGATCCAAAACCAGACACTTGCGTCCATGATCCTGCGGTCCAATTTCCGTCAACAACGGTTGCGGGTTTCCATGCTCGTCCACGGGAATCCCAATCCCGCCCTGAAGGATCAATCGCTGCTCTTCAGTCTGGTCGTCTGTAAGATAGTCCATATCGTCCATGTCCATCTCGTCGTCATCGTCCGATACGGAATCCTCCGAATCCGCCAGCGACGATCGAGATTTCCGCGCCTCGTCAGCCGTCACAAACGCTGCACCCGGTGGGACCACCGCTCCGGACATGACGTTACCCGTCTCGTCGCGCGGAAGCTTGGTGCCCCCACCGGGCGTGGTTTCGTACTCACCGCCCGCAGGCGTGGGCTTGGTGGGTGTGCGTGGTGCAACAGCGGCGGCAGTGGGCGGTTTGACATTGCGCGCGGCAACGCTGGCAGGAGCGCGCTGCTTCTCCTGCATCTCGTGGCGCACCTCGGCGGATGTAGCCGACGAACAGGTGAGTAGCGCCACCAGGCGCGCGCCGAGTCCGGGCTTCTTGCCAGCCTTGGAAGGGCCCGATGCAGCCACGGGGCGCGCGGGGGAGGGTTTCGCAGCCGCCGCTGCGGGTCGAGGTGCAGCTGCAGCTGCGGGCTTGGCAACCGCTTCACCCGCATGCTTACGCGGAGGCACATCGATGAGCCCGTCCTTGTCGACCGTTCCCTCGCTGCTCTCTGTTGCGGTCGGGTTGGATTTCTCAGAGTCGATCGGTGCAGTCTGTGCCACTCGCTCGGCTGGCTGGTCCGAACCCACCACCGGCGAGTCCGACACGCCCAGCACCGCGCTGCGACCCAGCGTATCGCCGGCCGTCGATGTGCCGACGAGCGTTGACGAGGCCTGATGCGAATGTTGTGGTGCCGCCGAGTCTGTCTCTTGCGTCGGTGCTTCTGCAGCCGTACCCGCAGCTGTCGTCTTGGTGTTGGCGCGTGCTTGCGACTGCGCAGCCTCGGAGCCCAGCCGAGCCGCCTCGGCCACCGCCTGGTCCTGCGACCGCAGCTGCGCCGCCTCATCGCGCGCAGCATCGGCAACAGCGCTCTTCTTTTTCTTCTTCTTCTTCCGCGATGCGTCCGTCTGCGCGTTGGACTTGGACGGCGCTGCGGGACGACGCACCACAGGCGCCGCCTGCCCAGGCTGCACCTGTGTGATGATCGAGGCGAGTGCGGACGAATCCGACGGATCCGGCACACTCGTGATGGGCGACGACGAACTCATCGCGCCAACTTTGCAGCGTGAGACACTGCCACGATGCGGATCTGCCGAAACTCGTACGTGGATCGGAGGAGCCGGCGAACACTTGCGACGCTGCAGTTGCTGGCGCTAAGCGGGTCAGCTGGATGGCAGGCGAGGGATCGACGCTGCGATGCGAATTCGAGCTATGCAGTTGCCGGCCCAGCGAATATGCTTTGTATGATGCGCGCGAGTTGAAAGTACGCCTCGCCTTGGATGTGGGGCTGTGGTGTCGAATTGATGGAACGGTGCAAAGAGCGAACTGGGTCGATTTGGCGTTGAGGCCGAAATTGGGACGATGCGATGGTTGATGCGGATTCCGAAAGGGTGTGCAGAGGATCCAACGAAGAGAGAACAGAGAGAGGGGGGACAGAGTAAGTCGATGTGGTGTTGAGCAAGAGTCTGGGGATCGTGGAGCAAAGAACAGGGGGTTGTAGGCGGGTTGGAGAACGACGGTCGCTCTCGCATACGACGATGCGCGCGAGGCAGCAGCCCAGCAGCGCAGGCGGTCGCAAAGAGACGGCGGGCTTGCGTGCGCCCATGCACCCATTCTCTCATACCAGAGCGCGCCTTTGCGGTTCAAGTCCCCCACAACAACACCCAATTTGCCAGAGCCCTCGCCCTCGCCCTCGCCCTCGCCCTCGCGCAATCCAAAGACCCGCGCGGCCAAGCATTTGCCCGCAGCCAAAATTGCGTCCAAAATTAGTTGCGTCCTGGCCCACCAACCCCTCTGCCTCGCTGGGCGCGCTCGCTCGCGCCGCTCTGTTGCTGCCAACCCTCTCTCTCTCTCTCTCCGGCTGAACTGCATTTTGCTCCAGCTCGGCAAGACATCGAGCCTTGCGGGCGCTGCCACTCACCTTCAGCCCCATCCCCAGCCACCCTCGGCGCCATCCATGCAGACCACATCGACTCGACTCACCGCACCTTGAACATCCAGAAGCTGCAAAGTAAAGAGATGCAGTTCACCTTGGATGTAGAGTCGCAGGCAGGAGGGGCGGTAAACAACACCAGCCGAGTCAAAAGAGCTGCATTCCGTCGTGCCGGGGTGCCAAATGCACACCGAACCAAAATTGTTTCCATCCAAGAACCTTTTTTCTTCCGCCCGCCCGTGGCTGGCTCCTCAGATGCCCCACCCAACCACAAGCCGCAGCCCCATGCACCTCCGCTGCACAGGCATGCACGACGATCAGCACTCTGCAGCCTGCAGCTCATCACGCAAACACCCAACTCATCCCCCTTCCAGTCACCGCATTTCCTCCACAGCTCTCATGTTCCATCAGCTTGCTCGCAGCCAGCAGCGTCAAAAGTCATGCGAATATAGTGTAGTTGCTCGTTGAATCTGATAGGCAATGTCCTTGATGTGAAACAATGAAGAGGTAAATGCTGTGGCCAAATGGCCTCAACTACGACGACGACGACGACGACGACGACGACGACGACGACGACGACGACGACGACGGCTATTGGGCTGGCTGGGCGCGGCCAGCCTCAAAGCCTTCGTACAGGTGGCGGAAGACGCGCAGGTGGAACGTCGCCACCTTGGCCACTCGGTCCGACAGCAATCGGATCTCGGCCGCAAACGGCTCCAGCCCCGCGCGGTTCATCGCAGCGTCCCAGGGCGTGCCCGTGCCGGCCGCGACACCCGCAGCGTTGGTCACCTGGTCGCTGCTCGTGGCGTCCGAACCAGCATCGGTGCGGTGCCTCTTGGACGCCGATGCACCGTCATCTGCATCGCCGTCTTCGCTCGAGCTTGCGCGCTTCTGCTGGCTTGCACTAGGCTCGCCACCCTTGCTGGCGGCCGCAGGCACGGCCGCAGGCACAGCCGCGACGATCTGCAGGCTGCTGCGCACCTTGTCCGTCAGCATGCCCAGCACCACATCGCGCAGCCGGCTCTGGCAGATCTTGTGCAGCGCCGATCCGCTGCGCAGATTCGTCTCCATCCACGAGTTGAGCAGCTGCTGCGTCTTGGCCGACGGCGCCGCCGTCTTGACCGCACTCGGGTCCGACGTGCCCGTTCGCGCCGCCGTCTGCACCGCTGCGGCGCGCGCGGCGATCTGGAGAAGCACATTCTGCATCGCGCGTCGCCAACGCGGATGGTCGAGCTTGGCAAAGCCGCCGGCGCTGCCGAGGAACGGCTTACCCTCCACGCCTGCTGCACGTCGGCTAGGGCCACTCGCCGAGGACGCCCCCGCAGGCGCGGAAGACGTGCCGCCCGAGCCCGACAGGCACAGATTGGCGTCGTTGAGCAGACACCAGATCTCGCCCTTGATGCTCTTGAGCTGGCGCTGCACCAGGCTGCCCACGCACGCCGGCAGCGGCGCACCGTCGTCCAGCGGCGTGCCGCACAGCTGGCGGAAGAGCAGCAGCAGCATATATACGATCGTCAGGTCCGACACATCGTTGTGGAACGTCATCATGCGGTACGCGTCAAACTGGAACGTCTCTGGGTAGAGCGTGGCAAAGGTGTTGTTGAGCGACGACGACGACGGCGAGCCCAGCGGCGTGGCCACCTGCGACAGCACGGGCAGCGTGCCCGGCACATCAAAGATGAGCTGCAGCATGCCGCGGTTGAATGCCGTCACCATCACTTGGCTGCGCGGCAGGCCCGAATCGTCGCTCGCCTCGCTCAGTGCGTGTCGCATCCAGGCGGTCGTCTTGTCTAGCGACATCTTGCCCTGCTCGATCTGCTCCTTGAACCAGCGGATCTCAAAGTCCACCGCCGTCTCCACCAGGAACGGCCGCGCCGACCGCAGCTGGTGGTTGGCAATGTCGAGCTTCATCAGCTCGAGGATCTCGAAACAGAGTCGCAGACCCTTGCCGATGTCGTGGTCGATGCACACCACCTCGACCATCTTTTCGATCGCCTCGTCGCGCATCGGCGCGCAGTGCAGCTTGAGGATCGATCCCATAAACGTGATGAGCGCAGGCACGTCCAGCACGCCGTGCTGCAGCTCCTGTGCGATCAGGTGCGGGTCCAGCGTGTGTGCAATGAGTTGGTGGTGCGTCGTGGCCAACGAAGGAACGCCAGACGAGGCCGAAGCAGCCGCTTTCTCCGAAGCCAGACGGTCGCGGTCGGAACCAGCTTCGTCGCCCACCTTGCTGTCGTCAGTAGATGTGGCTGAAGCCTCCTCTGCCACCACACCGGCCGAGTCGGCGGGGTAGTTGGATGGCAGAATCGAGAGGCAGATCGTGCGCAACTCCTGCACCAGCAGTGGGATCCTCGACGGAATACGCGAGTTGGGCAGCGGCGGCCTGCCCTTGGAATCGCGCTTGCCATCGGGGCCAGCCGCTGCATCCCGCAGACACGCTACACCGGCGGGCAGCGAACGACCCTTGGCGCGACACGTGCACGGCAGAAGCTGGCCATGCGAAAAGGCGGTGCAGGTGCAGCCGGTCTCAATCTCGCGGACAACAGCAGCCCAGTATCTCTCGCCGGCCTCGCGCTTGCGCCTGCCGCGCTCGCCATCAAAGTTGGGGCGGAACTGGACGTTGGGATCGAAGACAACGTCGTGGCGGAGCTGCGGGTTCTTGAGGATCTCGAGCAGGTCGAGCTCGCGCAGCGTGTGCCGTGTGATGGGCGGATGCAGCGTGGGTGTAAACGTCGATCGCGAGCGTGAGCTGCTGGTCCCGACAGAGTAATGTGCGAGGTTGAGTGGCAGCCCCTTAGAGAGTCGCATTGTCGAGCCCTTGGACCCGTTCTGACCAGAGCGGCTCTGTCGCGAGTGCGACGAGACGTAGCCGGCCAGATGGTTGGGCAGGATGAGGCGGTGATGCGACGGCGCCGAGACGTCGAGCGTGGCCTTGGCACGCAGGTTGGGCACGCTCTGAGCACGTGTGAGGCGCGAGTACTTGCGGCTCGGCCAGGCATGCTGCTTTCGCTGGATCGCCTCGGCGTGCGCGTTGCGGGTGGTGGTGGCAGGGGCATGAGCAGCGTGTCTCGCATCTGTGGATTGGTCGAGGCGAGCGGCGTGTGCCGACGAAGTCCTCGCTACGGACAAAGACGCAGAGGCGCTTGGCTGAGCGGACGGGACCAAAGCAGCGCGTTGGGTGTGGTTGAGGAAGCCAGGCTTGTCTTCAGAGAGCGCCTCACCTGCCTTCGTCTCGACACTGCTGCGTACCTGCGCAGAGTCAGACGCAACGCCAGCGTCGCTCGAGCGCTGCGTGTCGTCGATGCGAGTGGGCGACCCGAGATCAGCATGAGTTGAGCCTGCAAGGGAATCGTCCAGCTTTCGACGCTTCGACGGCGGAACGGGCTGCAGGCGGAAGGGATCTTGCGACTGCGATGCATGGTGCGTCGCCTCACCAAGCGGCGAGCGCTCACGCTGCTCGGCTTGGTCGAATCTCAAAGACGTCGCTCTCGTCCACGGACGCGACGTCTCCGATGCAATGTGATTTGTGCTGCAAGCGTCTGCTGGGCCTGCTCGCTCGTTTGACGATTCGGCGATGCTGGAAAGACGGTGAGACGAGGCGGCAGCCGAGGTGGATGCGCCGGCAGTGCCGGGTCGATCTTGCGACAACGAAGACGAAAGACGCTGAGAAACACGGGGTGGTGTGTCGGGATATCCGTAAGCAGCAAACGAGGGCGAGGGCGAGACGTTGCATTCTGGGCTGAGCGGAAGCGACGGACTCGGCCCCAAACCGGTGTGGCTTGGAGCAGTGTCGCGTGTGACGTCGTTTGCCGAGTCGTCGTGCTGAAGCGCTATCGGAGGTGGTTGCAACGAAGTGTGGGAGTCCATCTCACTAGCTGGGCGGTCATGAGATGAGCTGCATGCCACCGCCTGGGACTGCTGCGAGACTGGCATGACGAGGCGGGCGTTGGAGCTTCGTGGGTCGCGTCGGTCCTCGGTCGGGTGCAAATAGTCGTAGTCGGCGAGCACCGAATGGCATCTGCGCTGATCTTGCCATTCGTGAAACTGGGCATGAGAAGCCGAGGCATTCGGATGAGCCGCGGCGGCGGACGAAGACTCTGCGTTGCTGCTGGTTGCATCGGAGGCATCGACGGTGGATCGTGATGTGCTGGCGGCTTGCGAAGCGGTCTGAATGCCCTGCTTGAGCTTGAGCTCGTCGGTCGGATGCTCCGAGGCGATGGGTGACGATGGAGGATGAGGCGCCATGCTGGGCGAAGAGGCGAATGCTGCGGTCGAGAGCTTTCTCTTGCCGGATCTCGTCGATGCTGGACCGACGGCGGCGGCGGAGGTGCCGATCGACGGCGATCGACGGATTCGGAAGCGCTGCGGGTCGTCGGCCGAGGCGTCCATGATGGTACGAGGGCGGTCGACGGACGACGAGGAGATGGCGGGGCCGGTGCGCAAAGTTGCGATGCAGTCTGGCGTTGAGCGAGCAAGCCTAAAATCGACGCCGCACGCTGGACTTTACAAGGGCATACGATGTGTCGAGACGATGGCGATCCGGTGAGAGGAGGTTCTGGAGTGCTGGCGTCCACGAAGCGTAGCGCCAAGTCAAGGCTGCTTAGGAACAAGATCAAGCAAAGTTGCACCCGGTGCTGTGATGTTGGTGATGCTAGAGAAATGCAAGGTTGGAAGTGCGGGTGGTGCGCAATGCAAAGGCGAGGGTGTACACGACGATGTATACGACGGAGCGATCAGGACTAGGGTCGACGAGGGGATATGGTGGCAGGAGAGGATGATGTCAGGAGCAAAGAGCAGCCGAGTGCAAGCTACAGCAACGCAAGCTGGGTCTGAACCTGAAAGATCCGCGCAAGACGATAGCAGGTCAAGTGAAAGGGTGGGCGCAGCGCCAACTCGAGGGCGGGGTATACACAGTAGCAGGCGAGCGAAATCAGGCGATGGAGAGAGGCCGAGCCGGCTGGATTTGGCAGGCGGCAGGCGCTCGGTGGACAAACTACTGCAGTCCAGACTCGACGCGCGGGCGGTGCGGGCGGTGCGGGCAGGCGTGAGAGACGGTGAAACGAGCGAGGATCATCATCATCGAGGAGGAGCACCAGGGCGCACCAGGGGCCGGAGGACGGTCGGCTCGCCAAGCCGAGAAGGCGATGCGAGGCTGGGCTGAAACGAAGTTGGCTCGGTCTTGCGGTGTGTGCGTCAGGTCTGCCACACACAAAAGACGTTTGCGAGTGCGTCGCCACCAGTTGTATTGCACAGGCACTTGCAACACGAGCTCTTCGCAGTGTCGTGCTTTGCCGAATCCACACTGCCGTGCCTGGAGGAGCGGTGCGCATACGGTAACTTACGGCCGCTCGCAATGACACCGGACCACGAGCCCGGATCCAGGGTGATTCACAAGGTGCAGCGCAGTGTGCGGCAGGCAGAAACTGAGAACTCGGTGCATTGCGTGTGCAGCGGCTGCATGAAGTGGGCGCCGCCCAGGCGCAGCGGCAGGGGCAGGTGCAGGTGCAGGTGCAGTTGCAGTTGCAGTTGCACTTGCTTGCAGCTGCAGTTCCAGTTGCAGTCTCAGACATCGACGACGCAGAAGGTGAAGGCCAAAAAGGGGGAGGCAGGCCTGCCCTTGCAATTTCGGGGTTTTTTGGTGGTCTGGCTCTCGACCCTGCGGGTTTTCGAATCGAAAAGGAAATTTTTCGAGAAATTAAAAAATTTGGCCAAGGGTGACGGAGCGTCGCCTTGTTCATGCGCCTCGTTGAGGGGGGGGCTGGGATTTCTTTTTTCGGATACGCCGCTGGTGGCGGCGGCGGCGGCGCGCTGCGAGATGCAGGCCGCCCTTTTGGGTTGTCTTTCGGCCACCTCGCCGTGTCTAGGAATCGACGAAATTGTGTCTGAGAGCGCTGCACCGCAATTTCGCAACTGCACAACCCACGCCGCTCTCGGGCTCTTTTGGCGAGATTGCGCGTTGCGCGGTCCGTTTCACGTCGGGAGCCCTAGAAACCCGCTCAGAGACAAAGGCGAACCAGGCTTGCGTCGGCCAATCGATATTCACTCCTTCTCCTTCTCCTCTCTTTCCCTTCGGCTGTCCAGCCCGTCTGTTAATTTTCAACCCACGGTCAAAGGGCCCGAAATGCGTAGTGCTTGGGCCGTCGTCTCCTCGAGCTGGGTGTGGCGTAACGGAACGATTAATCAAGCAGCGGGCGATGAATCGCAGTCGAGGCGAGAGTGATGTCAACCCTAGGCGGCCGATCGGCACGCTGTAATTTGGTGATGAGCGTGCCAAGCGAGCGTTGCTACTCGCCCGAGCAACCAGGGGGCAGGCGGGGCGGGGGTCGGATTGATGCCGAGGCGATTCTGAGACGATTCTGAGGCGATCTGAGGCGATTTGCAAGCTAGCAAGGCGACGCAATCAATCGACGCTGGCAGCGAGGGCAGATGGCGGACAGCGCGCGAAGCGAGTCGCGGAGGCGAGGCGGACCTCGAGTTTTAGCGGCAAGCTGGGTCGGCGCCACCTGCAGAAATTGACGTGCACCCCCTCCTTGCCGCGGAAGCAATTTCGCCTCGAGACGGGAGCTTGGGAAAAAAAGGGCAACAGCCCGTCTCAGGGCGCCGAATCGGCCCCGTGCATTGCAGCCAGCCACCACGGAACCTTCCCGATGGCCGCCCACCTGACGCCAACGCTTGGTCGTGCTGCAATGGGTCAACCGAGTCTGCCAAAGTCATGTGTATCGAAATGAAGACGGCGTTCGTAGGATATGAAGCTACGAAAGGTGTCGTACCTGGCTGAGCTGGAGTTCCAGAACCCTGCGGCGATTGTGGGTTTGAGGGAAAGCTTGTCTGCACCGACGATACGCCGATGTCGGTAGATCCTTCTCACCAAAGACCGGGTGCGCAGTTCTGCCCTGCAGAGAGCAGCCGGCTTGCAGTCAACGGGGCTGCAGTGCAGGCTCAAATGCACGTGGTGCACAGCGAGCTAACGTGTGCCTCTCCCCACCCGCAGATCTCGCGAATTTTCTCTAGATCAAGACGCCCGCCAGAGACGCTGCGGCGTGAACGAAGGCCGGCCGGTGGGGCCTCGACCGGGTGCAACACCCACCAAAAAACAGAGGCCGGCCAAAAAGGCAGGTCGCGCAACTCTCTAGGGTCCACCTTTGAAGCCCCGCCATCAGGCACCATCGCCGACCCAGCTCCCTATCTGCCCGGAGGCCAGGTCATCGGCTTTCAACACAGTGACACCTTATTTTAATTTGATGCAAGATACAGTAAGCAGCTCAGAACGATGTTCGCCTTGGTACAGCATCGCCGACGGTCAACTGGTGATGGCGAGAATCGGTCGCCATACCTGCAGATGGCGGTGGTGGGGCGGCGGTGTCTGAATTAAGCGAATGCACACCAGAAGCCTGAAAAAGATTTCCACAGCAGTGCGCTCTTTTCCCCCTTTTTTAGACCGCCCGCCGCCGAGAGGTCTCAGAGAGGAGAGCGACGTGCTACGAGGCGAGGATTCGGAAAGCACAACCGATCGGAGTTGCAATTTTCTCCGTCATTCTGCGCTCATTCTCCTCATCCTTGGCATTCGATCCCGCTTCAGCGAGCGCAACCTTTTGTTCAAGCGTCGACCGAATTGGTGGTGGTTCAGAGCAGTACCGACGGTGGGTTGACAGATGCGGAACTCGAATTACTCGCCACCACCGCAACATGGTGACGAGGGTGGGATCGTCGTAGGTTGTAGCGCCAGCGTGGTTGCGAGTGCAAGCGAGTTGCCATTTGTTTGGTATCGCTTGGATGTAGGTCTCGCTTCCCCACGCCGTGTGCCAATCACGCTGTTCCCCCCTCGCAGCATCGGGTGAGTGATCAGTGGTGCTTCATCAAGACCCGATCCCCCCACCTCGCATGCGAACAAAAACTTTAATCTTCTTGCTTATCGGTGCAGAAGACTCTGGCGCAACGCTTGCTGATATGAAGGGGTGAGATCAGTGCATGGCTGAAAGCGGACGATGTGTCGCCGGATCCACGAGACCCTGACGACGCGAGACACGCTCGTCACCGCATGGAGCCTTACACGAGACCCGCGTAGGAGCATGCGAAATCCCCCCTCGCTTGCAAAGACGATCTGCGGCGTCTTTGCGAAACACCGCAAACAAAAGATCCTTTGCCGTGATCTATCCCGCTCCTATCCATTGACCGCATGCACCACCAGCCGTGCCCGATTTGGCCACGCGAGTCCATCACCCATCAGGCACCGTCGATCGTTTCAATCTTCGCCAACCCACGAGCCAAACACTGCCCCCAAGGGACAAAGTCGCCGACCCGTTGCTGGCTGGCCATGTCGCAAAGCTTTCCCTATCGAATCAAATCGGGAGCAGTGTCCCGATGACACCGCTTCATACCGTTGGCGCAGCGTCGGCGGTAACTGTGACCGTAGCTGTCGCAGTGACCGTGACTGTGACAGTGGCAGTTGGCATCGTCCACGGCTTTCGATCGTGACCCCACCCGGTGCCATTGGTGGTCGCGTTGCCATCGGGACCAGGTCCATGCTTGAGCCCGCGCCAGTGGTCCCATGGTCGTCCCGGCTTGTCGTCATCGTCGTCGCCAGTCTTCGGCGTCCAGCTTCCAGGCTGGGATGAGTCGAGCATGATCCGACACACTTGCCTGATTATTCCTTGATCCAAGTGACGCAGGAAGGGTGGCAGGTCAAACGGCGGTGGCGTGACTCCGGCCCCGGAGCCTGATCCAGGCGTTCCGGTGCCTGGCGTGGTCCCCGAATCATCCGTGCCTGGAGTGGTAGTAACCGGAGTATCCGAGGCAGGCGTGGTACTGCCCGTGCCAGGAGTCGTGGTTCCAGAACCAGGCGTTGTGGTCGAAGCAGGAGTGTTAGTGTCTGAGCCAGGAGCACCGTTGTCCGGGGCATCACTGTTAGCGCCGGAAGAGATGGTGTTGTTCGATCCAGATGTGGTGCCCGGTGTGGTCGTAGCACTTCCGTCATCCAACGCAACAAATGTGCTAGCCTTGGCGGCGACTCCTCCCGACTGATTGGCCTTGACGGTCTTCGCCGTAGCCAGTGCCGCGTTGTGAGCGGCCGAAGCACCTTTCATCTTGGCGGCTGCGGCTTTTGAGCTCTTCAGGTGAGGTTTGCCTTTGTTTCGCGCGTTTGCATGACGTGTAGCAGCCTGCTTTCTCGCACGTCTTCCCAGTCCATCACCCTGTGCAGATCCGGTTTCCAGCAAGTCGTCAAGATCGTCATTGCCTTTGGATGGTTCGTCCGACCGGTCTGAGCCAGGGCTCGGTTCCGTAGAGCCTTGCGTTCCATTGGACTGGAGCAGCGACTGGCAGAGTGTCGAGATCTGACTCTGATAGTTGCCGCCGTAGTGCGATCGCATCGTAGACATGGCCGCTTGAATCTGCCCTTTGCTATAGCCCCAGCGAAAGTCAGAATCGGGCGTTGAGGAGGCTCGTGCTACCAGCACGGCGAGGAGTGTACCGAGAAACGGAGAGAGAGAGACCATCATCGATACGATGACCAGCGAGATGGTGGCGGTTGAAGATTATGAAGATTATGAGGGGCATTGTTGTGCCACACGACCCTCTATATAGACGTCTGGCCGACAAACATCGCCTCTGATAGGGCCAAGGACGAGACTCGACAGATGTCTTGACATCGTCGCGCATCTGCCTGACCACCTGAGCTGCCATTGAGGTGTAAACAACAGGATCGGCGTCGATCAGATCTATGCACCCCGAGCCAACGTTGGCTCGGCCGTAGACAGTTTCGCACTGGCTGAGGGGATGGCAGGGGGATGCATGAATCAAAGGCCGCCGCCGGTCCCGTCACCGAGACGCGTAAATTGACTTTGGATCTGCTGCGCAAAAATTCGGCCTCTACCCCGCACCACGCCAACTCCGCTCGGCGTTGTCATCTTCAACTCGGAGCGGATCACACAAGCACCCATCGCGGGGAAGTAGGACTGAAGATCGACACGGCGATCAGAACCATGTCGATACTGATGCGCTTCGGGTGAGGCTGCGCAACGAGTGCCACCAGCCCGGAGGCAGATAGAGCAGGTCTCCCGGCCCGAGCACCGAGCGGAACGCGGCAGAGCGCACTTGGGAGGCAACCAGGTCTTCCGTGCCGAAGACATCGACGTCGGATGTGTTGGACATCAGTGTCTCGGTGACGCTAGACTCGGCGCCCACGGCACCATCGTTGCTCTGCTCGGTCATATCAACAGACTGCAAGCCCGCCGCTGTCATTGTTTTGATGGGGCGGCAGGATGGAGGAGCCGCCCAGACTTCTTTGTGGCCCACCACCTGCACAAAACAGTTGTAAAAGGGATCAAAGTGCGGGGGAGACACGGTGCCCGCCGGTCCGATCCACACATTTGTAATGACGCCGTCCGACGTTGCTGGTGGTGCATAGTCTGGCCAGTCTGGCGGAGGCGCTGGCGAGGTGTAGACGTATTCTGGCAAGAAAAAGTCTTGCGAAAGCGCGGGGAACTGACTGGCGAGATCGTGCTGAGCCATGTAGAGCACAGGCGGTGGGTCGATCGAAGCTTCCTTTGAGTCGTGCTTCGGATCCGGGGCTACAAACGTGTCCCAGTGGCAGTGTTTGAGAAAGTCGGCCCAAAGGATCATGTCCTGGCCCCAATCTTGGCGTGCGTAGTTGGCACCTACCTCGACGGGGACTACTCTTGCCGGGCCTGCCGCCGACATTAGGTGCTCGGCCGAAGACCAAGACCGATGGCAAAAGGGCTGCACGGCTGGCCAGCCGACTTTCTGAGCAAACGCTCGGACGACAAAGGGCTTGGTTCGATGAAGCGAGTCGGGGTCGGCCAGGTCCATAAACGAAGGCGCCTGATCGGAAGAATACTCGGGTATGTTCGAATCAGCCTGTGCGCGTGCCTCGAACTGGACATTGTCCGAGTCTGAGTCGAGGAGCCGCCTGCGTTTAGCCAGAGGGAGGTCATCGCTCGGATGCCGTGGTGCTGACGCGCTTGTCTGGTCCTCGTTTGGCAGATGGAGGAGGCGTTGTTGCAGCGCCGAGATCAGGTCATGACAGTTTTGATCCTCGCCGATGGAAGCAGCACCAGCGACGATCAAGGCGAGATCCAGGTCGCGTATGCAAAGCCGGAGACGGTTGGACTCCTCCTCTGCATTACGGCTTGATCGAGCCATGAGGATACAGCATGCCTTGAGAAGCTGGGCATGCACATAGATTGCCCTCCAGACAATCGGAATGCTGTCGTAGCTGTAGGTGACGAACTTGTGATCGCACAGTCGTGTCAACGTAGTAAGGCTGGCGAGCGCAACATCGAGCGCACCTGATACATCGTCCACGAAGTCGCTTGACCGAGTTGAACCCACCAATCTGCGCAGCCTTCGCTTGGCAGCCAGGACCGAGGCGTCTATGGATCCATCCTGTGCCGAAGCGATCTTCTTGAAGAGGAGGTCTGCCTGGCCAAGATGAGCGAGGACGTCGCGCACGATGTCGGGATGTCCATCTGCACTGCGGCGGTCATCGTTCATGGGCCTGTTCCTTGCGGCTTGAGCAGTGCGCTCGTGGCGGGAGCTCGAGAGACAGAAATGGCGATGGAGCGGGACCGCTGGAAGTGTTGGTTGGTTGCCTGAACTGAGCCTCGGTCGTAATTCAGGGTCCAGCCAGCCAGGGCCAACCCAAAGAGCCGCGTGATGGCCGTCTGCATCGCTCGAAGGGTCGCTTTCAGGGATCGAAGGGTAAAAAAACGTGGATTTCCAAAAATACTGCCTTTCTAAGGCGCGACGGCCAAACTTGAGTGTGAAATGCGATAAAAATGTGGAGGCATTTGAGCGAGTCGGAGCAGCCCCTCTTGCTCTTGACCAGACACCCTCACCACCCAGCATCTTTGCATCGCACAAAGATGGGCAACAAGGATGAAGCGACCAACAGCACGGGGGAGGAGGACCATGGCAATACGGTCAAAACCTCCGAGCAGTCGTCCAAACAGCGAAGGGCCGACTTTATCCGTCAGGCATCGCAGCCGCTCGTGAAGCGTACGAGATCCAACACCAGGAGCAAATCCTCGTCGTCTCCACCCAAGACCAGAGAGCCGTCTTCTCACGACATCCACGAGACGGAAGAGGAACATCAGCCTGATGTCATTGCTGAGCAGGAGGAAGACGACCAAGGCCCAGCCCTGCATTGGCGATGGGTGCGCACCACCGAGTCGGGCAAGGGCTGGGAGTCCTTTTCAGTCAGAGACAGTCGATGTCTCGAGTCCGCCTGGAAGTCGTGGACCCAGCAGCAGGGCGGCTCGCTCGAGATTCCCGAACTGCCCGAGAACGACGGCAAGGTCCAGGCGGGAGAGTTCCCGGACTCCAAGCAAGATTGGCAGGCCCCAGACCCAGACGCGGACCCCTCACCTTCCAAGGTCGCCGTCGCACAAGACCGACTCTACGATGCCGACATTGCCGGCTTTTCGATGAGCCCTGTCTTCTGGAGAGGCCCCAAGCTGCGCATCATGCGCGCAAGCTGGTTCTTTGAATCGAGCAAGCTCACTCCCTGCTCCACTGCGCTGGCCGCCGAGCTCGAGTCGCACTTTCAGACGCTGCGCCCGTGGTTCTCGTCGTACACCGACGAGCTCAAGTCGTCCGTCTCTCTCGGCAGCGAGGCCGAAGCCAAGCTCAAGTGCAACCTCAAGACGCTCAAGAACAGCTACGTCATCTTCCAGGGTCCGCGCCTCGCTCGTCTCTACAGCGAAGGCTTCTCCAACCGTCTGTCCAAGCAGTTCTTCACCGCCTGGAGCGGAGAGCACAGTGGAGGTCAGCTTCTTATTCGTGGCTATCAGACACTTGTGCAGCTTAACGAAGCCAAGCGAGGCGGCTTTACCACCAAAAGGACCGCGCGACGTCCCAAGTCGCAGTCGAATGCGTCGGAAAAACGTGCTTCCGTCCCTAGAGTTTCCGGAGAGGGTACGCAGGATCTCAAGAGGCGCTTGGAAGAGGCGTTGAACGACGAGCATTCCGACGCCGTCGTTGTCGACGATGTAGCTACGATGGATATGGACCTTTCAGAACACAGCTCGGTCAAGCAGGACTCGCCCGCGCAGGGGCCTCGTTCCCTGCCAACAAGCGCTTCACAGGCATCGTTGAATGTGGACAGGACGCACATTGAAGCAACGCCGTCCAGGATCGGTGCCAAGGCCGCCTTGCGCAACATCTCCATCATGGCGGCTGGAGGCGTGGCGTCCACCTCGGCACCCGCCAACGAGCTTCTTCGATCCGTTGCGTCCAGACTCGGCGTCTGGAACGGCACAGCTCAAGCCTCCTCGTCCGGAGAGCAAGAAAGCGACACCGACTCGCATCGAGAGGCCGAGGGCACGCTCACGCCGGCGCAACAGGACGACATCAGCGAGTCGTTCAAGGAAGCGCAGCGCAGGATTCAAGACGATCTGCCCGCTCCGGGCACAAAGCCAGCCGAGGCTGCTGCGGCCGAGCTGGAAAAGCAGGATCAGGATACCACCCAGGATCCGGAAGAAGGCGAGTGGGACGATCCCGACGCCTTTGACGACGAGGAAGAGCGGCGCGAGGCTCGCGCTGGCAGCGGACGTCCTCCCGAGCTGCTGCTTGCCATCCATGGCATCGGCCAGAGACTCGCGGGCGAGTGGAAGAGCTTTGACTTTACGCTGGCCATCAATACCTTTCGTGCGCTGCTGCAGTCTCGCATCGACACCAACAAGCCTCCGAGCGACATTGGCGGTCGAGGTCTGGGTGGTCTGGCGGCGCAGCGTCACGTGCAGATCCTGCCGGTGCACTGGCAGACGGGATTCCACCAGATGGAGGACGACGAAAAGTGGGCGGACCACGACTCGGACACCGAGGATCCGGACTCGATGATGTACGACAACGGACTCGAGCTCGAGATGGACCACATCTTTGGCGATGATGGCATCCCCATCGTACGCACGTTGGTCAAGGACGTTTTGATGGACATCCCCATGTATCTCTCGCAGCACAAGAGTCACGTTATTCGGTCGGCCATGTTGCAGGCCAATCGACAGTATCGTCTATTCGCCAAGCGCAATCCGGACTTCGAGGCCAAGCAGGGACGCGTGCACATTGTCGCGCACAGTCTCGGCACTGTCATCTCGTCGGATCTGCTTTCGCAGCAACCTGATCGTGTGCCCCTGACCAAGGACCTGAGTGCACAAGAGCTGCACGAAGCCACCCAGCGACACTTGCTGTTCAACACGCACAGCTTCTTTGCAGTCGGCGCACCCGTGGCGCTGTTTTTCGTGCTGCATCGTGCGCAGCTGATCGCGCGAAGCAAACGCGTACGTTCGAGCCGGTTCGTGCAGGACCAGCCGGGCGTAACGATGGATCGCGAGGGTAAATATGGCTGCCTTGCCATCACCAATTTCTACAACATCTGGAACCAGTTTGACCCCGTCGCCACGCGAGCCAGCCCCTGCGTCGATGTGGAGTACGCCAAACTGCTCAAGCCGGTGCCGCTGAGCAAGGTGGTGCGCAGCGTTCTGCGGGCCGATCCGGAAGCCGACAATCACGACATCGCCGAGGATGGCGGATCGCAGTCGTTTGGCTATGGCAGCAACAACGAGTCGGACGCAGGTGTTGCCAAGCGAAAAGCGGCGGCGGCCAAGCGAACCAAGGGCTTCTTCGGGTCGTGGAGTCGCAAAGCGGGTGGAGCTGCATCGTCGTCGCTGGGACAGGCGCGGGCAGCCGCCGCTGCGCGAGGAAAGTCCAAGGCGTCGGCGGCAGAAGGAGGAGACGACGATCAGACGGAAGATGAAGGTGCGCCACGATCCAGCCTGGATGTCTCGGAGACCGAGGGGGACAAGGAGGCTCGGGACAAGGTGGAGAATCTGCGCAGCAAGATCGCCGCCAAGGCGCTCGAAGAAGAGGCGCGCAGGGAGGAGCGAGAGCGCAAGGCGAGCCAAGAGAGGAGCAAGGGCATCAGCGACAAGCGACGTGCGCGGGCCGAGGCGAGGCTGCGAGCGCTCAACCCGCTGCATCGCATCGACTTCTACATGCCTGTGGAAGGATACAGCCTGCTGAGCTCGATCAACCAGTACGCCGAGCTCATGACCGCCCACATGAGCTACTGGACCAAGACCGACTTTGCCGACTTCCTCATCACGCAGCTCATGGCCGACGACGAACGGCTCGAACGCAGTCTGGATTACAAGGACGTCGAGGGCTGGGAGTAGTGTTATCTTCCGCTCAAAGCCAGGGACAGTTTCTGTAGAGATGTCATGGATTCATCTAGTTTACACATCTGATGTCGACATGGTGGGTTGAGGATCGCCGATGCAAGTCTGGGGTGGGTTTGCAGAAGTTGAGTCTTCATGACGGCTCTCCGCATGAACGCACGCATGCACGCGTCCTTTGGCTCTCGGTTGGCCCAGCGGATGCGGATGCAGCTGAGGCCTCCTCAACAACAGCGCGGGGGGTGCGAACGCGGCCAAATTCGACTTCAGGGTCCCTCGGATGGCTGTGTTGGGTTGAAGCGCCAAATTCGCAGTTGCAGAAGGCGGTGCTCTGCTGCTGCCAACAAACTCCACATGCAATCAATCCCTCGAAGCGCTCAACCCATCGCGACTTGCTTCTCTACCCACAACACACAGCAGCGCGGCTCTGACCATGTCGCAGCCCAAGCTCACGTTGCGGCCGCCTCCGCACCGCGACTTCATCCAAGGCTTTCCAGGAATCGTCGGCTCGGGCAACCGTCCACCTGCCCACGTCGCTGGCACGGTCGAGGTGCGGCTCGGCACAAAGGGCCTCAAAGCAGCATGGTTGCGCATCGAGCTTCGCAAACTCGAAACGCTCCCCGGCGGCGAGAGCTGGGGAGAACTTATCGGTAGAGGCCCCATCGACGTCTGGTCCGCACGCAAGGACGAGGCGCACAAGTCCGAGGCAGACAAGGGCTGGGAGCTTTTGCAGACCGCCGACTTTCCCTTTCAGGTCACCATCCCAGAAGGGCTTCCACCCAGCGCCAAGCTCGAGAAGAACGCAGGCATAGGATACGAGCTCGTCACTTCGCTCTGCGTCAGAAGCAAGAAGGGCCTGCTCAAAAAGGAGACTACCAGCTCCATCATCCAGAACACCCATCCTTTATGGCTCGACAAGCACGAGCTCCACTCCACATGGCCGGTTTACTCGCTGCCTGAGGATCACGAGACCATCCAGGACGACATCCGCGCCAAAGTCATGCGCAACCGCACCTGCTACGGCCCCGGTGACTCGGTCGATGTCCGCGTCACCCTCATCTCGGAGCGCGTCTCGCCCATCAAGGTCAAGAGCGTCTCGTTTGCCATCCGCGAGACCATCACCTTCAAGGGAAGCGCAAAGAAGACCTTTGGCTCCAACAAGGCTGCCTCCCAAAAGACCGAATCGCTCTCGTCAAAGAGCAAGAGCTTCGGCAAGAAGGTCTACAAGGGCGACACGCACACCTTTGACCTCTCGTGCCAGATCCCACGCACCCACACCCTCATGACCATCCAGACCGCTAAACACATCGAGGTCTCCTACACCCTGCGCGTCCAGATCGAGACCGCAAAAAAGCCCATAATCATCGACCACCTGCCCATCACCGTGTCCAACTTCCCCAAGACCGCCAGCGATGCCCTCATGGACCGCATCGGATGGGTGCCCGGCCTCTCGACGCCCGCCGACGGCACTCTTCCCGATCCTTACTTGAACGAAGCCGCTCCCAATATGCCGCCTGGACCCATGGGACGCCAGCAGACCATCGCACGGTCCATCTCGTTCAGCGCAGGGTCAACGTATTCAGGCAGCCGAAGCAGCTATCCCGGCTACCCGGGTGGCGATCTGCGCCGCAGGGACACCGTCATGACGCAGGGAACGGCCATCAGTGGACCCGGCATGGCGGGTCGCGGCGTGCCCGGCCAGGTGTTTTCGTGGGGTCAGTACGGATCAGCTCAGCCCTTCGGCGCCGGCGACGCTCCTCGTCCGGCCTTTGCGGGACCGCCGAGTATCTACGAGGGCCGCGAGCTGGCGCCCGAAGAGACGCGTGCGCTCTTCCATTCGACCAACCGACCCCAGAGCGCCATGGTGCTCGGCACGGCTGTCGATCCCGTCCTCATGCCGCCCTCGTCGTATCACGGTCACAGCGGCGCTGTCACGCCCATCCGTGAGCAGAGCGAAGACGGTCATGGCCCGTCTCAGTATAGGCACTCCCAGTACGGAGCGAATGGCTATGCGAGCAACGCTGCGCACTACGCTTCGATGCCAGGATCGCCTGCCCTTCATCGCGACTCTGCCTCTGCCTCGCCCGCAGACGGTCGCAACCCATACGCCGAGGCGCCACACCGCATGTCGGCCACACCGGAGATCGGGGCTACGAGGTACGTTCGGCCCGAGCCTGTGCATCAGCCGATTCATACGGAGCGCCAGGCCTCGCCGGCGCAGCGACAGAGCACGTTTGACGCCAGCGCGCCCATGAGCTCGGCCGAAGCAGAGAAGCAGCGGCTGTATGAGCGGGCGCGCCAGCAGGCAGAGCGCAACCAGCGCCGCGCGGACGAGCGTCGCGCACAGCACCAACTCGCGGCCATGTCCATCTCAAATCCGGCCTCGCCCGTCGCCAACGGTGGCAGGCCGCATAGCATGATGAATCTCGGCTCGACGAGCGCATCGCCTGCACCGGGGCCGTCGGCAGGTGCTGGCAACTCGTTAGCGATGCAGGGCGCGCCGAACGGTGCAAGTGCGAACCCAACCATGCAGGCTGGTGCAAGCGCCCCCATCGTGTCGGGACGACCGGCACCGTATCCATCGTATATGACGGCCGAGGAGGAGAAGCGACAGCTGTACGAGCGCGCCAGAGCCGAGACCGAAGCGTTTCATCGCGGCGAGGCGTCATCGTCGGCTGCAGCAGCAGAGGCGGGCGGCTCGTCGCAGCCTGCCGTGGCGCGTGGTCAAGCATCATCGACCAGCGATGGGGCCGTGCAGTTGCCGGGTGCATGGCCTCAGGCTGCGCCTGCGCACGCGTCATCGAGCACGCCAGCGCCCGTCGCGGGCCCATCTGCGCCTGCCAGCTCTTCGAGTGCCATAGTTGCTGGTGCGACGTCGAGTGCCGTCAGCGAAAAGGAGCAGCTCAGAAGGTACTACGAGGCACGGGACGCGGTCAACCAGCACTTGCAAACGGGTGGCTCGCGCCAAGTTTCGGGTAGTGCGGGCATGTATGCGCCCGAAGTGGCGTCTGCCGTGCACCACGCCACGCCGCATCAGCCTGCGGATACTCTGGGCTCGCCCGTGCGTGCGACGCCCACCGACGGCGTCGTGCCGGTGCAGCCTACACCGATGCGGGCGGGCGCGGCGACGATGGGCGTGCAGTCGTATCTCACCGAGGCAGAACAGCAGTCGGCGGAGGAAAAGGAGCGCCTCGCTTCGCACTATGCGCGCAAGGCGGCCAAGGCCGAAGCCAAAGCTGCCGCTGCAGCCAATGGTCAGTCTCCACCGTCGGCAGGAGTACGGTCGGCTGCTGACGCGTATGCCAGTGGTAGTCCCGGTGGTGGAGCAGCATTGCCGGCAGGAGCGAGCGAAAAGGCCCAGTTGGCTGCCTACTATGCAGCGCGCGATGCAATGCAGCACAACCTGCAGCAGGAATCGTCTTCGTCGGCCCAACCTCAGAGCCACAACATGCATCAGTGGCAGCCCAGATACAGCTCGCTCGACGATGATGAACCCGCCCCAGCACTGGCTGCTGCACCTCCTCCACTGCCGCCCAAGATCCCACTCGGCACTTCGGCGTTTGCACCATCCGCACACCGCGCCTGGTCCTAGTCCGCGTGCGCAATGGACACTCCCTCACCTTGAGCCAATCTTCAGCATGTGCAAAAGAAAAAGAGTGGGCACAACATTGTACGATTAGTCAACGCTGTACAAGTGAGCGTCGAGATGGAAGGGGGGTGGGGAGAGAGCATGGAAGATGCACGATCGGGTACCGGGATGGCGGGAGAAAGAGATACTGCCTCGCTACAGCTTTGGCGGGAGGGACGTGGCATTGGCGGCGGGGGTCTCAAGATGACTCTTGCGCCTTGGCCGGCTTGGCAGCCTGGTCTGCTGGATTGGACTGTGCCTTTTCTTCTGTAACTGGGTCGACTTTCTGCTGTGTTGGTTCGTCGGCGGATGCTGGCTCTTGTTGTGCTGGTGCGTCGTCTTGTGTGTCTTGCTGCTCGTCCTCTTCGTCGTAGAATGCCTTGAGCGCCTTGGCGGCCTCCTTGTACTGCACCTTGACGTCGCGCAGCGTGATGGTGAGCTTCTTGAGCGCCTCGTCCTTGGTGAGCTCGCTCATGCCGTCTTCGCCGTGGCACTTGCCGTAGTGCTGCATGTGCTCGCAGCTGTCGCGCACCTTGATCACACCCACCGCCGCCGAGGAGCCCTTGAGAAAGTGGCCGAGCGTAGAGAGCTCGCCGAGGTTCTGTGACGAGAGCGCAGCGTCCATCTCGTCAAACGTCGTCTCGGCCTGATCAAAGTAGTTCCACACGATGCTCTTGGAGAACTCGCGGTCGTCCTCGTCGTCCATCTCGAGCAGCTGCGTAAAGATGTCCATGTCGATGATCGACGGCGACAGATCGCCCGCCAGGCCGTTGGCGCCATCGGCACCCTGTTGATCCGCGCAGGTGGCAGCGACGGCGACAGGTGCAGGAGGTGCCGAAGCAGCCGGTGGAGTCGGTGGAGCGAGGAGTCGCACGGCCATAGTTGCGCAAGCAGAGAGTCGAGCGCCGAGTCAATGCGGAAGGGGTGGTCGAAAGATGAGGAGAGGGTCAAAAGCTGATGGTCAGTATTTGCAACAATCGCAAAGATGGAAAAGCGCCAGGCGAGCAGCAGCGGAAAGTTTGGTTTCCCACGATTGAGGCAAGTGTTGGGATGAAAGGCCACCGCGCGCACCGAGTCAAGCAAGTCGAGCCCCACGCTACGCCGGCCGCGCTCCGCGTCGAGTGCAGGCACGGCGCAGTGTGGACTGCCCACCTCCAACGGCAGAGCCGATGAGGCTTTGCAGTCCAAGCTTGAGCTTAAATGCGGCTTGCGGCCGTTGGGGGCAGACTGCCGAATCCGAACGGCGCCTCCTGCTGCTGCTGCTCGCTCGCCTGCGTTTGGGTTGGGCTTGTGAGCCGCGTCTCTACCTACAGCTTCACTCGACATGATTCCGGTTGATTGCGGATGCTCAGCCGAGCTTTTGACGTCCTGAAGAAGGTGTGGTTTGTGCGTCCACGTTCGGCGGGTTCCGAGACGACGTCTGCTGCTCGTTGGCGTGTGACGGTCCAAAGCAGCGGCGAGGAATAACGCTTGCACGGTGATTCGGCTCTACCGGATGGCACGTCGGCTCAAGAAAAAGCGCCAGGTGATGGTGGAGGGTTTGCTCGTTGCAGCTGCGGTTTGCGGATGCGAGAAGCTTGGGATGGTGTGAGCTGCCGAGAATTCGGTCGCAAGTGGTGGGCCAAGGTGCGCAGATGGTGGCGGTCGAGATTGGTGGTCAATGTCGAGATGCAAGCAACAATGCTCCACAGAGCGGATGAACGGAACACGACCCACACGCACCCACCCACACACACACACGCGCCAGGACGACGTCTTGTTTCCACCGAGAGAAATTGAGAGAGAGCTGGGCTGCAGCAGCCACACGCAAAGCCACGGATCTGCCGCGTCATGGCCGTCATCCGGCGCTCGGGAGCGTGTGAAGCCTCGGCACCACGACCCTCTCTTTTTTTTTGCATTTCCACTCGCCCAGCGCCTTTCCTGCACGCCTTGGTCACCTTTTCCATCCCCCTTTGCTGCAATCTATCTGTCTCACACCCTGCTCCGCTCGTCTCTTCGCCTCACTTCCGATGCTGCCCTCTTTCGACTGCTTTTGGCTGTGATGAATTTCCCGCTCGACCCCCCCGCTACCACACTGCATTCCATCCGAGGTTGTGGGGATCTCGCCGTGCATCCATGAACAAGACGGCGCTTGCGATAGCTGCTCCCGAATGGGCGATCGTCTGATCTGATCTGATTGGGCCAAGTCAGGGCTGTTGCGCGAGTGTGTGCCTAAATTTTTGAGCGTGCACTTTGATCGCCCTGACTGGAGCGGTGCGCCAAATTTCGAGGCTGGGAAATCGTCATGTCGTCGAGCTGCATGGCCGACGAGCGAAATGGAACGCTGAGCTGCTGCGGTGCTGCTGAGCGTTCGACCCCAGCTCCAAGCACAGGTTGGCCGATTTGCCCCCCGCATCACTACCGGCAGACGCACGTCGGTGGATCACAAAGATCTCGACACTTCGCCTAGATATCCGGCTGCTTCCATTCGTGCCACGGCCCAACACCTTGTGCCCTCGTGGTTCGTCACTTGGCCCTCTTCGTGGTTGCTTGCCCTTCGTGATTGCGCAGCTGGTCCGACTCGATGGACTCAGTAGCGTCGAACTCGGTCCGCTCCGTTCCAGCTCGCTCGCTTCTCTTCGGCTCCACCCCAGTTCAGTTCATGCGGAATCCCTAGAACACCGTCGTCCGTCTCTCTCCCCCCAACACGCTCGTTGTCTGCCGCGAGCCTCATCCGTCACCGCGCACAGAAGGGACCTCGCCCTGGAATGAGACACAAAAAGAGACAGTGTACCAGCAAGGTCAAAGCCATTCAGTACCTTATTGCAAATGCCCGATCCCCGCCATTTGTGTGAGCTGCCTCGCCTTCTGCCCTTCTACACTCACTACACCGCCTGAATCGAGAGCCAAACACAGGCCCGATCAAACCCCAAGACACCAGACGGCCAACACAGCGGCGGTGCCGAGCTTCGGTGAAAAAGTCGCACATGTCGATATTACACTGTTGCGAGAGGAATACATAGACGAGACCTGCCGTCTTTTCCGTCCTTCGGATGGGCAGCCCGGGAGCCGAAGCGGTGGCGGAGGCGGCAGTCGATTCGTCCTCGCCCACACCTCCTCCCGACTCTTTCCGTTCGAGACTCGACGATGGGCTCTAAGACATTTAGGCCTCGAAGGTGACCGAGGCACCCAGCTTGTGGGCGTTGGCCGAAGCCTGCGCGTCGCTGAGCTTGGCGGTGTCGAGCGCAAGACCGAACGAGGCCTTGACGCCGGGGCGCAGCGCCTGGGTGTAGCCGAGGCAGAGGATACCCGAGTTGTTGATCTTGGCCTTGACGAAGGCGGCGTTGTCGAGGTAGGTCTTGGTGCCGACCTCGAGGTTGACGTTCGAGTTGGGGCTCTTGGAGTCGTACGTGGCACGGGCACCGGCCTCGGTGTCGGCGTTGACACGGTGGTAGTAGCTGGCCGAGTAGGTCGACAGGTTGCCGAGGCCGTGGAAGGTGACGGCGTAGTCGGGGGCGTGGAAGCCGGCGCCGAGGTTGTAGCGGCTCAGCTTGCCCTCCTTGACGTCGTAGCTGGCCTCAGCACCGGCGAGGAAGCCGTCGCGGCCGAGGACGGCGTCGGCAGTGAAGGTGGGGCCCTTGAAGAGGTCAAGGTGCTGGCGGGTGTGCAGACCGGGCTGCTTGTAGGTCGAGGCGAAGAGCGCGTTCTTGGTCTGCTTCTCGGGCACGAGCGTCGAGACGAGCTCGAGCTTAAGGCCCTTGGCGATGTGGTTCTCGAGCTCAATGTGGTTGCGGAGCACGTTGGCGGTGGACCAGGCCTGGGTGAAGGTGACGCCGTTCTTGCGGTCCTCCCACTTGGCCTCGAGGTCGCCGTTGATGGCCTGCGACTTGGAGTCACGGATGCCGAGAACGCGGAAGGTGACACCGTTGGGCGTCTTGGTCTTGACCTCGAGCGAGTTGCCGTGGATGGGGTAGTCCTTGGACAGGAGGTCGTTGGCAGCCTTGCCTATTGGCGATCAACGCGATCGACGCGACAAAGTGGGCGCATAGGAGTGGCAGGTGTTCAGCGCCCAAACCCAATATCTGTGCGACTTGTTTCAAGTGGAGTCACGTTGCTACTTACCAAGGTCCTTCCAGGAAGGGGGAACGGGCTGGGAGATGACGGGAGCCATTTTGCTGGTGGTGGCGATAATCATGAAGGGAGAGACGGGATGACGGTCAGTTCGACAGTCCTTGCAATGTAGAGAGGGGCGAGCCCAGGCACTCTTTCCATCAGGACTACGTGATCGAGCCAGCCGTATAAACCGAGAAAAGCTGGTTGTCGGAAATTAGGCTGGCCGGGGGTGGCAAGCTCGGCATGCAGTGCCAGCAGCGGATCCCCTGTAGCTAGTCGAGGAACACTTACAGCAATGAAGGTGAATGGACGAGGGAACGTGATACGAAGGGCGACTGGGATGGTGGAGCGGAGGAGACAGGCGACGGTTCTCTGGTGGAGGATGATGCCCGGATGTCTCTCTCTGTCTCCCTCTCTGGTTCTCTGTTGCACTCTCGACCCAAACCGTGCGACGAGCGGACGGCTGTTGTTGGGCTTTTCGGCCGCGAACGGATCAGGCTGGCTGGCTCAGTCTGAGAGCCCGGGCGCGCGCGCTCTCAAAAGCAACAGCCAACAGCCAACAGACACGCACACCCACGCTCTCGATCTGAGGCGCGTCTCCTCCGCAAGGCCATCTCCATTTTGAAAAGAGGGGCGGCGCCATTTTGGTCTCGAGGCTTCTCTGGCGCTTTTTTGGCTCTGACTGCCGCCCGATTTCCGCCCTGACTCTTGCCTCTTTTTGCGAAAAAAGGTGAAAGAACGTGACCGCAAGACGTGGTCGCGGCTCGGCCAACACTGCAGTGCTGCTGCTTCACGAGGAAAAAGCGGCTCTCCTCGGCGGGGGCGGGCAACGCTCTTTCGACCGGGTGTAGCGGGCCTGAGCCAGGCTTCCGACTTGCTGGCTTCACCTTGGCCGTACGCACCGAGCAGAACGACAGTTGCAATCGGCAGCTTCAAAGCGGATCGACACCGGTGACGTGGACATGGATCAGAGACGGGCTTGCGAACGACACCAAACGAGAGTCAGGCATGGCCACTCGAGGGAGGAGGTGATTGCGGACGAGCAGCAGCTGTCGAGATCACTCCGGTATCGGAATCGCCTTCCATCTGGACGTGAGTGAGTGAGCAATCGGGCGAGCTCTGTTTGCGGCGGCTGTCGAGCGTGAGCACACGCGGCGGCTTCGCAGCCGAGGTGCCAACATGCGATCCATGCCGGAAATTGGTTCACACTCAACATGCTCACGGGCTCGCAGCCTCGTGCGGTGAGGTCACGACACGTCGACGTGACTGACTGGCTACAGCGACACTGACGTCGCCACGCTTTTAGGGCAACCGCTCCCACTTTTGACTCTTCTCGGCCGTATGCATGCTGGCAAAAACGAGCTTGGGCCCTCCGTCGGGCTCGGCACGAGACGAGAGCACGGAACAAGGCCGCCGTGGTGCAGTCGCTTAGAGCGACGGGTCCGGACAGGTGGTCCGTCCGTCCGTCCGTTTGCAGGTGTAGGATCAATGAGCCTCATGACCTGCCTTGGTCTGCTCTCATGCGCTCGACCCTTGGCCCTCCATCCACCCGTGTCACCTCTAGCGCCTCGAAGTGGCCGAGCGATTTCGCACGCGGGCCCGCCCTCTCTTGCTCGCCTCTAGCGAGCTAGCGCTGTTCGCGAGGAAAAGCAATCTGTTGCCAGTGCGCATGAAGTGGTCCGTGGGACGAGGGGAAATCCAGTGCCTGCCTGCCTGCCTGCCTGCCAGCCTATTGTCACCGCGCCTAGCCTCGCATCCCTCAGCACACTGAATTCGGAGGGAGGCCGCTGTGGTGGAGCTGGCAAGCAATTCTCAAAAATCACACTTCGACCCGTCTCTGGCTGCTGAGAGAGTTTGAGGGAGCGGAAAGAGACAGTGACGGATAGACAGCGGATTGATGCCGTGAACCCTGAGCCCGCCGAGCGAGCCAGGCAGCAGATGCAGGACCGTAGCAGCTCCATCCTCACCAAGGTTTTCGTTTCGGCGACAACCGCGCCCACCATCTTCCTTCACCACCCTTACATCCACATCGGAAGCCTACCCTCGTTGATCCCACTCGCTCACAATCATTACCTTGCGCACGCACGCATTCCTTCCGTCCAAAGCCTCTCCCAAGAACTCACGCGCCGTGCGCAGTCGTTTTCTCATCTTGCTGTTGCAGCACTCCACGCCTACATCCTCACGCCACGCTCGCGATCACCGCTCGCCATGCTGCCCGCCCAGAGAAACAAGGTCGACATCTCGTCGCTCAACGAGGAGGAGCAGAAGCTCTTCCGACTTTATGGCAAGCTTCCCAAGAAGGACTTGCTGCAGAACAGGCTCAAGGAGCGCAAGTACTTTGACTCGGGAGACTATGCGCTCTCCAAGGCAGGAAAGGCACCGCAGCAGTCGGTCGGCACCGCCATCCCCAACCCCGAGATGATCCCTCACGCCTCGACGGTCACCTCGCCCGGCGCGAACGCGGTTTCGCCTCCCGGCTCCCTTCCTGGTCAGCAAGCCGGTGGCCTGGCCGGTCCCGTCAACGTCCCTGGAGCAGAGCGACTCGCCTCGCGCCCGCAAGTGAGCGCATTCCCCATCAGCGGAGCTGGATCCAGCCCCGGCAAGGAGAGCAGCTCGCTCGGTCGCGAAGAGCACGTCGTCAACGCAGACGATGCGATGCAAGACTAGACACCAGCACCGGTGCGGTTCATCATCCTTCCCCCAGCGTCTACAGCAGCTTCCTACAGCGTGCACATCATCCGTCTCCACTCCGTCTCTACTCTGTCGTCGTCACCCACCGTATGCCTCGGACCGCGCTCTCATTCGCAAGATTTTTGGAACAACTCGGCATCCCCCTTCTCTGCGGCTCTGCACGCGCGCGCCGGGCCATGGCAGCAGACGCCCGGGTCGCTCGTCGCTCACGTTGGACAGCGTCGCTGTCATGTACGGCACGGCCGGTCGAAGGCAAGCTCGCGAGTCTTGCATTGCGAACTGCCCTCGTCGCGATGCTCTCTCCATGGTCGTGTCGAAAGTAGACGACGCCTTGCCCGAGTCGTTTGCATCCTGGCAGTGAGCGTGGCTCCGGAAGGCGTTCCACAGGCTGGGCGGAAGGCGCAGCAATATGATCTCAGCATCGCGCTTTCCCCTTTGCCTTTGAAGATCCCGAGGTCGCGCGTCAGGATGCCAGTGGGCGACCGGACGTCTCGGTCCCGTTCGACGCGACATAGCATTGGCACTGAGCGCCTTTCTGCAGCGCAGGCCGGCATCGAGGCTCGCTTTTTGATCCCGTCGCCCCTTGGTTAGCTTTCTTGTCTTGATTAGTGTATTTGGGATCCCGTATTGCAATGCAGTTTCCTCTCGTCCTGGCGCGTGTCCCTCTTCTGGACACGGATGTAGGTCGAAGCCGTCGGTGAGAGTCGTGCCTCCTGAAGCGGACAGGACGCCGCCGCCTGTGGACGAATTCGCCTCGGATTTTGAGACCTCAATTCATTGGCCATATTTTTGGGGTTCTTTTCAGCACAAGCAAAAGCGGCAAGTGTGGAAATCAAAGGCCCTTGAGACGGCGATGTCGAAAAAGGCTCGGCCAGGAATGGGGATCACCGATTCGTCCTCTGCTTCTTTCCCACTCTTTGCATAAATTACAGGCAAGTCGGCGATTCGAATCGCGCTGCACATTCCAACCCAGCGGATTGGGCGCAGCGGTCCACCGCTCGCATGCGGAGAGAGGCGTGCGCGGTGGGTTCCACCAGACCAGGCGAGAGGTGGCAACCACCCCGCATCTCGCTCCACAACTTCCGTCGAGTCTCTCTGCGCAGCAACGGGCGATGCGTTGGCGCAGTCGCAAATCGATCTCGGAGGTTATGGATGCCGGCAAGTTATTGGACGAGATGCAGACAGCAGGACAGAGCGCAAAGAGCAGGGCGTGCGGTCGCATGACAGGATCGGCATATCTGCTCGGTATATCGCGCCTCGCTCGCGTTTCACTGCCACCTACCTCACTCGCAGATTGCGCGCTCAGACAGCAGTTCGCTGAGCACAGCATGGCTGCTCTGCCACAGCATTCGACAGCGCCAAACGTGGCGCAACTCGTAAATGCTCGATGTCAGACTCGAAGGGCTGTCAAAGCAGAATCGTGTGCGCAGTTGGTGAGGCTGCGCTTGAGCTTATCCTGCGGCATGAGCGTGAAGATGGCTTCTGTCAGACGAGTCTGTGACAAGCACAGCCAGCTTGGACCTTTTTGGGTGCCGAGCTCGGCGCCGAAAGAGTCTGCCGAGACGCTGTTGCGCACCGTCCCCCACCCACGGACCTCGAGCATGTGGAGATTTCGCACCTTTCACGATCCGCCGAGGTTACCGCCCTTACTTTTTTTTTGGCGGAGGAAGCCCTCCCCCGCACTCACGCACGTCCTACCTGTCTCCGCCTGTGCTCGCACGACCTACTATAAGTAGACCGACCGTTCCTGGATTCCATCCACTCGGCAGGCTTGGAAAAGTCGCTGCTTCTGGACTGTCTCGATCGCTTCTCGACGGTGCCTTCACAAGGATGCAGTACAAGCTCACCACTTCGTCGCTGCTGGGCGACTCGGCGCTGGGCAAGCTCGCAGCCCTAGCACAGCGACATGCTCCACAGACGCCGCTCGGCTACGTCGCGGCTGCAATCGGCACGTTGGCATTGCTGTTCGGCCTGCTGGTATTCGCACTCATCGTGCGCATCATCTACAACACCACGCTCTACCACTACTACGTCTCGCCGCTGCGCCATCTCAAGGGGCCCAAGCCCAAGCTGTTCATCGGCAACATGGACGAGTTTATCACCAAGCCCGGTGCGGTGGGCGAGATCGAGTGGTCGCGCAAGTACGCCGAGAACGGCGTCTTCCGCAGCACGTTCATGTTCGGTCGCGAGGCGGTGCACTTTATGCGGCCCAAGGCTCTGCGCCAGATCCTGGTCGAGGATCCGTACAGCTACCCGAAACCATCCATGGCGTGGAAGCTGCTCGGCCTCATTGCCGGGTACGGTCTGCTGACGGTCGAAGGCGACACGCACAGGAAGATGCGCAAGACCATGAACCCGGCCTTCTCGCTCACCAACCTCATCGAGCAATTCCCAGTGTACTACGACAAGGTTTATCCGCTCGTCGATGTGTTGCGCAAGAAGATCGACGAGTCGTCGGAGGAGCATGCGATCATCGACTGCGATGCCTGGGTCAACAAGGCGCTGCTCGATATCATCTGCCTCACTGCGTTTGGCTACGATGCCGATTCGGTCAATAACCCGGACAACGAGCTGGCAAGCGCCTACCACGCCGTGACCAGCATGCAGAACGGCCAGAACCAGGCCCGTCTCAACCTCGTGCTCAATCTGCCCTTTGGCGACACGGTGCTGGACTGGGCGTCGGACGTGAGTGGATGGGAGTGGGGACTCAACAGGTTCGGCAAGGATTCGGCGGCGCAGACGTTCTTCCAGCTGCTCAACGGCATGCACCGTATCAAGAAAGTGTCCAAGCAGATCCTGCACAAGCAACTCAACTCGGGCGAGCGTGCGGCTCAAGCGGGCCAGTCCAAGGCGATCATCGACATTATCGAAGAGACGTACCTCTCGGAAAACGACGGCAAGCCCAAGAGCCTCAAGGAGGCCGAGCGCAACATGATTACGCAGGTGCTCACCTTCCTGGGCGCAGGACACGAGACTACGGCTTCCGGTGTTTCGTGGACGCTGTGGAATCTGGCCACGCATCCCGAGGCGCAAGACAAGCTGCGCAAGGAGTGCAAGGAGCTCATGGACCAGGACGAGCGTCCGCCTTACTCGGCCGTCAAGGCCTTGACGTACCTGGATGCGGTGATCAACGAGTCGATGCGCATCACGCCGCCCGTGCCCCGCACGGTGCGCTGCGCAAGCAAGGCATCATACATCGACGGAGTCTACATCCCCAAGGGCACGCTGCTTCCCATCTCGAACCGTGCCATCAACATGGACCCCGAGGTATGGGGTGCTGATGCCGACGAGTTCAAGCCAGAGCGGTGGTTCAACCTCCCCGAAAAGTACGACCGCACCTTTTCCATGATCACCTTCATCGCAGGCGCACACGGCTGCATCGGCCGCACCATGAGCTACCTCGAGATGAAGGCCACCATCTGCATCCTCGTCTCCAACTTCCGCTTCGAACCCATCTCCAAGGACCAGAGCCCCGTCATGGACGCCCTGATCACCATGAAGCCAAAGGACGGCCTCCCGCTCAAGGTGTTCAAGGTGTGAATGCCTCGAGCTGCACACATCTCGCATGCTCCTGTACATCGTATATTTCTCCTCGTTCGCACTGTCGAGTGGAATAGCATACTCGTTGTCTCTATATTTCTCCGCCAACCGTGTGCACCACCAACTTGACTCCTTGACATGCTCATGCCAAAAAAGTGCAAAAAGAAATGCTCCGTACTGGGCTCGAACCAGTGACCTTCCGTTGTAAATACTCAGCTGTGCTGAGGCACCGTGTATTAGACGGATGCGATAATCCAACTACGCTAACGAAGCGCTTGTTGTTGAGTGGCAGCAACATTGTACATCTATACCGCTGTTCGTGACCAAAGAATCACCACTTTTTTCAAACCTAGCGCCCCGCCGAAGATCACTTGCTGGTACGGGCACGCTTTGGATTGCTGCTCTTCAGCTTGCACTCTTACTTCATTCCAATCATACAGAGGAGCGTGTGTCGCAGCGTTGTTGAATGGCAAGACACTATACGGGTTGAGTGGTGCTGCCACTACTGTGGTTGAGGAGGTCAAGCTGCACTGCAACGTCAGAGCAGGCTCGGGCTCCTTTGATTTTTTTTTCTCTTTCTTTGGTGTGGGTTTTCTTCAGTCGGACGAAAAGGAGTGAATTCTTCGCGTTGGCGGGGCGTGGAGAGTGTGGAATGAGAAGAAAGCGGAAGGGCTTGAGCAACTTTGCGGGCTCAGCTCTTGGGTTCTGTGCAGCTGCGCTGTCGGCCGCAAGACTTGCAGATCTTCGAGGCTCGCAAATCGAGTCGAGAGTGACTTTTGTCACGCCGCAGCGCTCGCGCATATCTGTCTTCACACCACATTCATTCCCAACTCCCCCCGCATCACATCCATCACCATCATGTCGTCGACTGCACAGAAGGCCGCTGCCGCTCCGGCCGCACAGAAGGAGGAGAGCTTCAACGACTCCATCCTCCCCAAGTACAAGGTCGCGGGTGAGATCTCGGCCAAGGCCATCAAGGCCGTCATTGCCGCCGCTGCCGAGGGCAAGACCGTGCTCGAGCTGTGCGCCGTCGGTGACAAGGTGCTCGAGGACGAGACCTCGGCCGTCTACAAGGGCAAGAGCATCGCCAAGGGCATCGCATTCCCCACCACGCTCTCGCTCAACAACGTCGTGTGCAACTACTCGCCCCTCCCCACCGACGAGGACCAGATCGCGCTCAAGAAGGGCGATGTCGTCAAGGTGCAGCTCGGTGCCTACATCGACGGTCTGCCCGCCATCTGCGCCGAGACCTTTGTTGTTGGTGCCGATGCTTCCAACCCGGTCGAGGGCCGTGCGGCCGATGCCATCAAGGCTGCCCTTGTGGCTGCCGACGTCGCCATCCGCGTCATGAAGCCCGGCGTGCTCAACACCGAGGTGAGCAAGGAGATCGAGGCTGCCATCAAGCAGTTCGAGTGCAAGGCCGTCGAGGGCATGCAGTCCAACCAGTTTGCCAAGAACGAGATCGACGCAAAGAAGAAGATCGTCCTCAACGCCGAGCCCGGCTCGAGGCCCGACACGGTCAAGCTCGAGGAGGACGAGATCTACGGCGTCGACATCTCGGTCACCACCTCGGCCGACGGCAAGACGCGCTCGGACGACAGCAAGACCACCATCTACCGCAAGACCAACAACACCTACCTTCTCAAGCTCCAGACCTCCAGAAAGGTGCTCTCCGAGATCCAGAAGAAGGCCGCCTCTTTCCCCTTCAACCTCAAGAGCCTCGAGGACGTGCGTCGCGCAAGGATCGGCGTCCAGGAGTGCTGGAAGCACGGCCTCCTCACCCCCTTCCACGTTCTTGAGGACTCGGACAAGAAGGCCATCACCGCCCAGATCTTCTTCACCGTCGCCGTCAACTCCAAGGGCGCCATCCGCCTCACCCCGGCCCCCACCTGGGCCAACGAGAACAACCTCAAGCCCACAAACCAGGTCACCGACGACAAGATCAAGGCCCTCCTCTCCACCGCCGTTCGCCAGACCAAGAAGAAGAACAAGCCCGCCGCTGCCGCCTCGGCTTAGAAATCTTCCTCTGGCATTCTACCTCGTAACTCGCTTGGGATCATTGTAATTGGCAACACCCCCCAACCCGCTCCCCCATTCCTGCTTCCGGTCTCGACCCCGCAATCCAACCAGGCATCATCCTCCGCGGCCGCACTGCCTCGAACACCGACAGTGGAACACGGGCCCCCAAAACACTGCACTTCACACAGTGCTTGAATAAAAAACATCACAGCCGCCCTGCTTCTGAGAAAAATGATCATGAGATTGTAAGAACATGTCTGCTTTGACTGTGAGAGGCTAGAGAGCGAGTTCATCGAGCGCATCGGGATCATCGGGCTCCATGAGCGTGCCCTCGTTCTCCACCATGGCGGCATACGCGAGCAGCTGGCTCTTTGCATCGTCGAGGCTCTGCACCTCGTCCAGCCCGCACGGCATGGCGCTCAGGTCGAGCGCCGCGAGCATCGGGTCCGCCAGCGCGCGCATCGTCGCCGGCTTGTCCGCACCCGCACTCTGCTTCTTGCTCGGATTGAACTTGGCACACCGCGCCTCGCTCAGGCCGTACAGATGCTTCAGATGGTTGCGCAGCAGCAGCGCCGTGCCCGCCACGATCGACATGCGCGCCACCGCCATCGGGTCCACCTGCGCTTTCGACGCCGATGCCGCCTCGTCGTCATCCTTGGCTGCCGCCGCACCACTAGCTGCAGCGTCGTTCGAAGTGCCTAACGTCGCAGGTTGGCCGAAGATCTGCATCGGATTCACCGTGCCTGCCAACGACGGCGCAGCGTCACTCGCAAGCTCGAGCTGCCACTCGCCCGACAGCCACGGATTGCGCGAGAGCTGGAAAGGGCTCACCAGGTCGGCGCCGGGCAGTGCATCGCCGGGCGGAGGCGGCGTCTTGGTGCCGTCCTCGGCCGACGCGGTCGGCGCGGCACTGAGTGACATCTGCTGCTGCGGCAGATGCGGCTGCGCCATGTACAGCACCTGCATGCCCGACACGGCCAGGATCGAGCGCAGCTCGCCGATGACGACAAACAGCTCCTCCATCGTCTTGTAGTCCAGCGTGGCCAGGTTGTCCGCCATGAAGCGCGCAAACAGCACCTCCTGCATGCTGCAGTCCGACGCCGCCGTATTGACGTCGAGCGCCTTGACGATCTGCTTGAGAAAGTCGAGCCGCGTGGCGCGTCGGTCGCGCAGCAAGCTGTACCACGCATCCAGCACCGCTGTAGGCACCGAATCCACCCGGTAGCCCCGCAAGTCGCCGTCGCTCTTGACCGACAGTTGCAGCTGGAACCGGAATGCGGATCGCGCCGTGTCGAGGAAGCGCGCCTGCACGAGCGAGGCGTGCTTGGATGCCAGATGGCTGTGCAGCTCCATGGCTCGACTGCGGAGCTTGCGATCCTCGAGCGTCTCGAGCGAGACGAGGTACGGCACACACTGAATCGGGTGCGAGAGGCCCTGCAGCACGGTGAATCGCAGAATGTCGATGGCGGTGCGCTGCAGCGAGGCGTTCGAAACCTCGAGCGTCGCCTTCAGCACGTCCTCCGAGTAGCGCTGCATCATGGCCGAGCCCACTCCCGTGTCCGCGAACGTCTCGGTGTTGCCCACCAGCACGGTCATATCGACGCTTCCTGCGTCCGGGTTCTCCGGCTTGCGGCGTCCCGTGCCGACGTTGACCACTGCGTTGTCCGGATTACGGCGCAGGGCGTCGGCGCTCAGGAAGTCGAGCATGATCTTGAGTAGCGTGGCGCGATCCTGCAGCGAGCCCGAGGCGAAGATGCCATCCATCATGTCCGTGATCGACGGGCGTGTCATCAGCGTTGGATGGGCACGGAAGATGAAGCCGAGGTTCTGCAAGGCCACCGAGCGGACCATCTCGGAGCCCGTCTTGTGGATGTCAAGTAGGGCTTCCGACACTACGTCGACGAGCGATCGCTTGCTCAACGCGTCGATCTCGGCTGCCGTCTCTGGATGCTTCTTTCGCATCTCGTCAAAGTTGGCGTGCTCGCATAGCGATGCTGTGAGAGACATGAGCGTGCTCCAAGCCTTGTTGTCCTCGATCTTCTGGCCCTTGAGTGCCATCTGCCGCATCGACTGTACTCGAACAAAGCATGCCTTGAGCGTTTGAATGAGCAGGCGAAAGTTGTGCGTGTGGGTCGTGATGACCGCGCAGTAGCACGCGATGAGCTCCTGAAGAAGGTGCAGACCGGCTTTGGGCGGCGGTCGATTGACCAGCGGGCGCAGACTCTTCTCGAGTGCTTCTGCGAAGGCCAGAGCCGTTCTGGGCATATGCGGCAAGCACGAACGGAAGATGCGGAGCAGCAAGTCCATGATTTGCACCTCTTCGCTCGTCTGGGCAGCCTTGAGATACGGTAGCAGCAGCTTGGCCTTCGAGATGGTGAGTATGGCCGGATTCGTGGAGACGAGCAGCTGGACGATGCGGATACGCTTGACGGTATCGACGCTCGAAGCGCCGCTCGACTCGACCAGGCTGTCGATCATCGAGTCGCCGAGCTTCTGCAGCTTGGCGTGCAGCTCGGCAGCCTCTGCTTCGCTCTTGTCCTTGAAGAGGCGTCGGAACACCTCTTCGAGCGGCGAGGGTCGCTCCTTGATCAAGTCAGCGACCGCCATGATGATCTCGATCGTAGCGGCCACCCTTTGATCCGCTTCCGTGCCTTCAAGCGACTCTTCCGCCCCGGGCGGCGCGTCATGGTCTCGCATGGGTTCGTCCTGTGCTCCGACTTGTGACGCATTGCTTTCTTCCGGGCGAGGAGCCTCTGGCTCAGCAGACGCTGAAGGCGCATTAGGCAACGGGCTCAACCTGCGTCGGGCGCCTAGACGTCGGGCATCGATGTCGAGATCGAGCCACATCTCGCCGATCGTGAGCACAGCCATGTCTTGGACCACCGTGTCTTCGTCGTTGACGCAGCGAACGATGCGAGCACACGAGTCGATGCGAATGCGCTGATCATCTGTCGCCTCGTGGATGCTCTTGAGAAGGCGCACCATGCGCTTGCGCACCGACAAACCCGTGTCAAGCACACGCGCGGCCAGCTGCTTGTAGTACTTGGGGATGTGCTGCGGCTTTCTGAGCACGTAGTTGCCGAAGAGAGCCACGGCGCTGTCTCTCACCGCATTGCTGGAATCGCGCAGGCGGACCTCGATGGCAGAGCGCATCGCGTCTTCGTCAAGCAGGTCGGGGTCGACCTGAGCGATGCGGTCGATGCCGCGTAGAGCCTTGCTGCGATTGGCGATGAGCGAATTGTTGAGGCCCTCGACCAGGAGGTCGCGCAGGAATCCATACGTGATCATGGAGCTGCTGGCGAGAAGGACGCGCTCGGACAGGTCTGTCGCCCTGTCAAGCATCTTGTCGTCCGAGGCAGATGCAGACACCTTGACGTCGCCCGACCCAGGATCCAGCTCGGAAAGAGCGTGCATCGCGGCGTCGAGCTCCTCACACAAGAGCTGCAGCTTTGCCATTTGCACCGTGTGATCGCCTTCTGACTCCGAAAGACCGCGCTTGTCCTCCTCGGCTTTTGCCCATGCGGTGGCGAGTTCGCCTTGGGCCTGCACGAGCAGGAACTCGAGCGCGCCCTCGGTGGAGAGATCCTCGTTGCTCTGGTCAGCCAGGAAGACCGAGATCAACTTGTTCGCCTTGACGAATTCGCGGATGGCAGTTCGATCTCCTTCGCGCACGGCCCGGAGCATCGAGAGGTAGTCCCAAACCGTCCATTTGGGCCGCTTGGTCGGGCTGGGCGGCTCCAGCTGTGATGCGACCATGTCGGTCGCTTCGGTGCTGGCATTGGCTTCGTTGACTTCTTCGTCAGCGCTGCTCGCGCGGTCGTGGCGTGTCGGTTGCAACTGCAACTGAGACTGTCGCACTCTTGCGGCGACCAGACTGAGCTGCTCAAGCGCCACGCCCTTGGCGTCCGGATGGCTTCTTGGATCTTCCAAGTAGGTGCCGAAGACGCGACAGAAGGCGCTGAGCATCAAGGCGGCAGCAGGCCACTCTGGCAGGAAGAGAGCGCTGAGGAGATCCTGGATCAGCGACTCGATCACGTAGGCGTGGCTCATCTCGGAGGACGATTTGGCCACCTTGACCTGGCCGATGCGTTGCATGAGGTAGCCGGCGATGGACCGAGCCGACTGATTGGCGCCCTCTAATCCGCGTCTCCAGATGGCGACCTCGGCCTCCCTTGCCTCGTTGGTTTCTGGCTCTAAGTGGGAATTGAAGGCTTGAATGACCACCTCGAGTACTTGTGAGCCCTCCTGGTCGGCCGCATCGGCAGCTTCGCCGAGAGCGTCGCTCTCTTTCTTGCGCTCGAGTCGATCTGCGGTGGAGCGCGCATAGCTCGCGACGCCATGCGATGCTGCCTGGATGAGCTGCAGTAGCAGTGCATTGATCGCGTGGATACCCTTGCCGTTGCGAAGGCTGTACTGACGACGATTCTTCTTCATGTCGGTGAGCTTGGTGAGCGAGGTGAGGATCTCTTCGATCATCCACTGCCTCTGATCGGCAGACTTTGCAAAGATGCTGCGCAGGAGGTTGAGTGCTGGAAGGCGCAGAGTCTTCATGGAGTTGGATCCTCCCAGGGAGAGGAGCGCCGATCTTCCGCGAGCCGCCGCCTTGGCCATTTCGCTGCTTCCGCCTCCGCTCGCAGGCTCTGGCTCTAGCACGAAGAAAGGGCCAAGCGCTAGGTAGACGGCGCTGATGATGATGGAGTCGGCCAGTGCAATGGACGGCATGCGCACCATGCGGTGGACGAAGAAGAGCGCCGAGCACAGATGCGCAAACAGGTCGGAGAGACTGTTGCGGCAAATGATGCCGATGCTGGAAGTGGCTTCGTCTGTCGCGGCGGCGCCTTTCTTCTTGCGCGCCTTCTGCGGCGCCAGGATGTCGATGAGCGCGGCGAGATTGGGATGCGGGGCGGTTGCAGCGCCGCCCGAGCAAGCCTCGATGAAAGGAAGCACGACTCTGTCGAGACACGATTTGACTGCCTCGAAGCAGGAGCGGATGTGCTCCTCGGAGAGGATTTGCTTGGGCAGCACGTCGCCGGTGAGGATTGCGAGACTGCATTCGGCAGCAAGAACGGCTCGGTCCAAGACGGCGAAGGTGGCGTTGAGTTTGTCGAGCTCCTCCTCAGAGGCGGGACCATTGCGATTGCTGGGGGTACTTGCTTCCTCTCCATTGGGTTCGCCTTGAGCACGATCGGGCGTGGCGGAAGGCTCTGGCGTCTTTGACGGCGACTGATCCTGCCTCTCGGCCCTGCGAGCCTTCTTTGACTTGGTCGGAGAGACTGGCTCCGAGGCGGGAGCGCGCTGGGACTGGGATGGGAAGGGATCCACATCTTCGCCGACGCGCACGGTGCGCTCGAGAATGGCCAAGAGCCGAGTGAGGTCGGCAGCAGCAAGCGTTGCGAGGCCTGGATTGGTGACCGACTGTGCCTTGGCAGAGATGGCTGCGAGTTCGGCGTGGGGACGCGAGCATTGGACGACGAGCTTGAGGAGTTTCTGCAGCACAGCAGCACGGAGGACGAGCAGAGATCTGGATTCGCCGCCTGCGTGGGAAGGCGACTCGATCAGCTCAAAGAAAGGATCGGCGGCCGCAGAGATGGCTTGGCCTGGCAGGAGGTCGTGAAGAGCATCGCGGTCTGGCAGAGAGTCGTCGGCTTCAAAGATGTCTTCCATGAGGCCGCGCACCTTGGCCACGGGCACTTTGCGATGCGAGCTCTTGACGGGACCGTTGCTCATCTTGGCGAGGCTCTTGGGGCCCTCGGCGGAGTGCTCGGCGTTGGGTGCGGCGGGAGCATCCCAAGAGTCGAGAATGTCGAGATCGTCCCAATCGCTTCCCTCTGCATCCATGGCCGAGTCGCTGTCCTCAACGATGGCGTTGACGAGATCGGAGAACGACTTGCGACCGCGCCTCTTCTTCTTCTTCTTTTTGTCGGAAGGTGCCTGGTCGAGCTGGTATGCTGGTGAGAGATTGTCTGCGTTGAACGCGGGGATCTCGACATAGGCCTGAGGAATCGCGCTGATATCTTCATCTTCGCGCTTGACCCGGTCGGCATCTTTCTTCTTGGGCTTCTTGGGCTTGGACGCTGCGATCGAAGGCGCGGTTTCGCGTTCGGGCGTGGGTGAGAGGTCCTCGACCTTGAGATTGAAGGCGGGCTGCCGAGGCTCGGATTGCAGGTTCTTGCTGCGCTTCTTCTTGGGCTTGTCTGGCGACGGCATGTCCTTGCGCTTGCCCGACGAGGCAGCGAGAGGGGGTTGTGGTGCAGGCATCTGAGAGACATTGCCTCGTGGCAGTTGAGGCTGCTCGTTGGATGCGTTGCCGAAGTTTGGACGAGGCGGTGCGGGAACGCTACTGGGATGCTGCCAGAGCGAAAAGTGACCTTGAGGGGAGAGGAGGTTTAAGGGGTCCGGACTTTCTTGCACCGTCAAAAACTGCGGCGGCATTGGAGGCGGAGTCTGAGGCTCGTCGGAAAAGCGCATGCGGATCTCCTGCGTGGCTTGGGACGGCATCGCAGACGGCATCGCTTGCGGAGGCGGTGGTCGGGCAAAGATCTGGCTTGGCGATGCGTATTGAGGCAGAGCCGACGCATCCGCAGAAAGGCTGGTTGGCTGTCGGAGATCGGCCTCTGAGAAGGGTCCGGTGCGCGCGGTGTTGGCCGTCGGCGCATGAATGCGATCGGAAGGGTCCGATTGTGCCTGACCTGTCGAAGTGCGCTTAGGCTGCTTTGGCTTGCTCTTCTTGGCCGCATGGCTCGCCTTTGCCGGTGCCGGCGCATTTGATGGCACGGGAGCAGGCTGGTTGACCGTCGGAGCGCTGCGAACCGTTGCTGCCATGGCGCCATCGAGGGTGGACGAGGCGGCCGAGGACGAAGCATGCGGGTGGAAAGATGAGTGAGCATGGTGACTCGGCGCGTGAGAGTGGTGTCTGGCTATAGCCAGGCTTGGCGAGCCAGGCTCCGCCCGGGGAGGCATCATGGAATGCTGTGCGCTCGTGTCGAGCGACGAAGAAGACGTGCGCGCGGCGGCGGGCTGTCGAGATGACGGGACTCCCCACGCAGCATCGAGGCTGTTTGCCGAAGCGACCGGTGCGGGAAGTGCGGCGGCCCGCATCGGCAGCTGGCCGACGCTGCTGCTGGCGACGGCGTGTGGATGCTGCGATGCGGACCGCACGTCTGCTGTGATCATGCTCGGTGAGAATTGCGGCGCACTGCGATCGTGTCAAATATTCAGGCGGAAAGACCGATCGCGCGACGATGAAGGAAGCGGAGAACGGGAAGCGGAAAGCGGAAGGAAGAATGCAGGCTCGGGTCAGAAGACTGGCTCTCGGTCAGCGTGGAAGAGCCGATGCGGTGCGGACTTACCTGTTGGCAGCAAACGACTGCGGCCTCGATTGCGCAGCCGCACGAGTCGGCTCGCCCGCAGGCGGAACGTTGAAATAAGCTCCAGGAGGCGAATTCCAGGAAGTCACATTTGGGCTCTGGCCGGGGCCGGCAGCGTGCGCTGAGGGTCGGGAAGCGTGCGGCTGTGATCTTGCGTTTTGGTGTGCGGGCGGCCACTGCTGCGAGAATTGGTGGGCAGCGGCGCTGTGCGGGTCAGCGGGTGATTGTGCATATGGCGGCACCGTGGCATGTTGCATAGTCGATGTCGGATTCGGTCCGAAGCCTGAGCATGGAAAAGGAGCGGAAGCTCCGAGCTTTGGGTCAGCAGACGTCCTGGCTTGATCCTCTGGCAACGAAGAGGCGGGCCACTCACCGTGATTGCCTTCGTAATAGCCGTTGGCGTTGTGCATCGAGTTGATCGTTGCGTTTTGGTGGGATGGCCGGCGTGTCGGCGAAGCCGGCGACGGCGGTTCGAGACCGGCCATAAGATCGAACGTCTTGCCCGTCGACGGACCCCTTGGGAAGACGTCCGAAACGGGAGATTCCGAGACCGAGGCTCGATGCCTGCCAGCGCTAGATGCAGCGTATGGCGAGTCGTAGGCCAAGTGCTGCTGCATTGCGGAGATCTGCGGGAAAGGCTGGGCATTCGAGTGGTTGGAGGGTGACGAGAGAAGCTGGGGAATGCCGTGCTGGTGCTTGTGGGGCGTCGGCGCTGATGCCGATGGGCGTGACTGCACAGGAGGGCTCGAGGCGACGGCGTATTCCCACGCTGCATTCGACGGGTGGCGTGCGCCTGATCCGCTCGATGAAGCGGTGGGCTGGGGAAAAGCGCTGCCATACTGATGCCCTTGCTGCAGCTGCTGCTGATGCGACGGAGGATATGGAGACGGCTGCTGATGCTGAGTCTGCGCTTGACCGTACGAGAAGCTCGATCCGGCGAGAGAGCTTGGACCGTCCATGTTGACATCGCTCTTGTACGCATAGGCCGGCGAGTGATGTGCTGCGCTTTGACTCATATGCATCGGTTGCGACAGGCGGTCAGGTGAGCCGACCTGCTGGTATGCTGGTGCTGATGGTGCATATGGGTTGAAAGGAGCATTGGAGCCTGGTCCAGCATGCGGCGGTTGAAGTCGAGGCTGCAGAGGCTGCTGCGACGGGGGCTGCTGGCCGGCATACCAGCCGTTGTGACCGTCCATGGTGCGAATGGCACACGCTCCTGGCTGGTTGGCATCGGATGAAAGCTGCGCAGAGAGCTTGAGCTTAAGCGCTCATCGTGGTCTTGCGGCTATGGCTATGGGGTGCTCCTCTCAGGTGCAGCGCTGATTCGTCGTCCTTCTTGTGGTGATGTCGACTCATGAAGGAAACGCGGCCCGATGCAACCTCATCTGCCAACGGTGCGGTGGCCAGGGTCCGGGCCCAACGGTGCGAGTAGAGTGACTTGGGCGCGCTGCATTTTTGGCTCCTCCGCCCGCGCCCGCGTTCGCGTCTTTCGAAGCGCTTCGCAGTCGGCTGCTCCTCAACTCAATTTCCGAAACCCGCGCATCTGCGTTCAGAAGGCACAGCAGCAGTTCCGGCCGGCTCAGAGCGAGCGGTCCCTTCCAGAGCTCACGGGCCTTCTTGAGCGATCAGCAACACGCGCCAGGCAGGGGTCCAAGTAGCCCCCAGCTTACTTCTTGCCCTCCATCCAACCCACCATCCATCTCAAGTTCACATCACCTTTGCGCATCATTTCGCTTGATCTGTCCTTGCTCCGCATTGCCATTGGGCACTCAGATTGGATTCCTTCGGCTTCTCTTCTCTCCTTCGTCACGGCGAGGCGCAGACACATCCACCTTTCCAGATTCGGTATAGGGGCTCGACGCAGGCAGAGCATCGGCGTGCCATGAAGCGCAGCTATCCTTATGCCACCGGCGTGAACGCGCAGGCTCAAGGAAACCAGGTTCCAGCTTACGGTCAGCCTCCACCACCTGCAGGGCCCGCACCCCCGCTTCCCTCGTCGGGACCTTCCCCACCAGCCGCATACTCGAATTATGGGTATGGCTCCGTGGCGCCGGTTCGGCCTCCGCCTTCCAACATGAATGGACCAGGCGCCGCTAGTGCTCACCAGCCCCAGTGGAATCAGCAGTGGAATCAGCAGTGGAGCCAGCAGCAGTGCTATCCCCAACAGTCCGGCGCCGCTGGTCCTTCTGCCGCCGGCCACTATGGCTCTCCTCGACCACCGTCGCAGGCGCAGCAACCCCAACACCCACAGTCTCACCAGCCCACACAGCCGGCTCCGTATCGCTCCATGGCAGGTCCCGCTGCAGCCTCCCCTCCAGCCGTCCAGGCGGCTGGCTACAGCCCCCACCAGCCGCAGCAGCCCATGCATTATCCGTACCAGTCCCAGCCTTCTGCCATGCAGCCCCCCTCTTCGCAGCATCAGCACAATGCTGCAGCTCAGAGCCACGCTTACAGCCCTTCCGTACCCCCACAGCCCAATGCTGGTCCCAACGATGCATCTGCATCGTCGTGGCCGGGGGCTTACGCTCCAGGTGTCCAGCCAGGTCCGCCTAACAAAAAGCCCCGCTACCCGGCTCCTTCTGCATCCGGGCCAGCTCCAGTGCCTCCATATGCACCCGCGGCTGGTGCCATGGGGGGTTACGCTGCCCCTCCTCTGGCTGATCCGGCGTCACAACAGCCATACGGCTGGCAGGCCCAGAACGCCATGCATCCTCCAAACTCCCATCCGCCTTTTCAAGGTCAGCAAGGCCCCTTTGGACCCGCTGCCTATGGCAGCGGAGTCCAGGCTAATGCTGTTGGTCGAGTCGGCCTCCCATCGAACCCTGCTAGAGGAGATAGGGGCTCAAGGGGAGCTGGAGGCAAGGGTGCTTCAGGAAAAGGATCTGTCGGAGGTGCGAACCGTAGTGGCCAGAACAGGAACGGAAATCAGCAGCGTGGCAACCTGCCATTAGGCACACCTGCTCAACGAGCCGGACTGCCAGCCAACCCCATCGCCTCGGCCGGTGGAGCACGCAGTCAGAATGGTCCGACTCCGGCGTGGGGTCCGAACGCTCCTCCAGGAAACATCAGGGGCCCCGCCGGCTCAAGCCCCGCTGCCAACACAGGCAGCGGGGCTCACAACGGGCGCCGTCTTTCCTCTGCCAGCTCCGTACACAGTGACAAGAACACTCGGCGCACAGACGCGTCGGGCGCTTCCGGTACCGGTTCCGTGAGAAAGCCGGGATTCAGCTCGGAAAACATGATCCCCATCAAGGCCGCACGAGGCCCGAACGGCGCTAGGAACAATCCAGCACAGCCTGGCTCCGACGCTTCCGGCTCAAGGGCTGGCAGCGCAGCTCCTCGTCAGCGTGCCCAAAGCTCCAACGCCTTGGACGATGCCGAGGCCGCCGCTGGTGCTTCCACCAAGGACGGCGCAGCTGGAAGCAGCGCCAGCCACAAGAGAGCGCATACCGACTTTCGCATCCTTGGGCTCGAGATCAAGGAGCTCGACTGGTCTTGGTCCAGCCCTCTGGCCGTGCCAAAGGATGCTTCTGCTGAGGTTCCCCACTCGTCGGAGGCCGCGGCGGCCGACGTCTCCCTACGCAGCGAGCCAAACTCACAGACCGACGCTGCCGACGCCTTGGGCGCTGTCGTTCAAGAGGCGACCGCTGCAGCTGCCAATTCGTCTGCTGAGGAGCATCTTGGCGAGGACCAGCAGCCTGCTGACGCGGACAATGGTGATAACGCCGGCCTTGATGACAAAGCTGATGCGACCATGGACGCCGACGCCGACGCTGAGGCTGATGCTGATGCCGACACCGATGCTGATGCTGATGCCGACGCAGACGCAGACGCCGACGTCGATGCTKATGCTGATGCTGATGACGACGCTGACGCCGACGCCGATGCAGATGCAGAAGCAGTTGCGGATGCCGATCTGGACGCGGACGCAGATGCGGACGGTGATGCTGAGGTAGATGCCGAGGCTGATGCTGAGGCTGAGGCTAATGCAGGTGCTGAGCCCATCGCGGACTCTGCCGATCTGGAAGCCCCGAAAGCAGAGCCGAGCGAGGAACCACCCACAAAGCTAGCAGGTGAGGTATCGCAGCCCAGTCCAGCAGCGGCCACATCTGGCCGAAATCGAGCTGTGGCTGCGCTGCGAGAGTCTACCAAGCTCCGCCTTTGCTTTGCTGCCATGCCGGCTGCATCTCACGAGAGCGTTTCGAAGGACAAACCTTTGCAGAGCCAGCAGACAGCCGCGCCTGCAGCGAACGGTCTCGATGAACCGACGGGATCCGAACAAGTCCAAGAGAAGGTCGCGGTGAATGAGCAAGACTCGACTGGCGACGCGCAGGCGGCCGCACCTACGGCGCTTGCAGATGGCGAGAATATGCCAGCCCCGGGCGAGAACGATGTAAAGGAGGTGAAGGACGAGCCGATGGAACAGACTTCTTCGGTGGCTGTCGATGCACCGGCCGACGCGATAACCGCAGAGCAGCCTGCAGCTTCCGAAGCAGCAGCCGCTGTCAAGACAGAAGAGGAGGAGCCAACGAAGGACGCAAGAGACAACGAGGCTACGGAAGAATCTGTACCTGCCAACGATGCGGCAGAAGCGGTCTCGACGGACGGCACTCCCAGAAAGACGCGTCAGGCTGCCGATGCGGCCCCCCAGTCCAAAGGCCCGCCGCAACTCTCGCTGAACCGCATCTTCCTCTCGTTCGCAGCCAACAGAAAGCGGCTGGCGATTGACGCCGAGGCGGTGCGGTCGGTCAAGATCCACCGGTCGGAGCACTGGATCGAGATCCGGCTCCTTGCCGCGCGCGCAGCCAGCCAAGCGGCGCGCAAGAAAGGCGACGAGTATCTGGTGAGCCGCGGCACGCTGCTCGAGAAACGCGACAAGGGGCAGGACAACTACACTGCGCTGACGCGGGGCGAGATTGCGGCGGCGTGGGAGAGCGCTGGGCCAAGCGCTGAGGCGAGCAGCGGCGCAGACGACGGAGGGCACCTAGAGCTTCCGCCTTTCTTCCGGCTCGGCGACGAGGCGGATGCGGGCGCGGAGCTGACGCTGCTCGTGCATCTTGATCCGTCGGCGCCGCTGCCAGAGCCGGCGTGGCTGCGCAAGAACGAGGTGGATGATCTGCTGGCGAACCTGCAGCAGCGTTCGGGCGGCGTGGAAGCCGCGCAGCACGTGTGGTTTGGCAAGGTGGAGGTGGTGGATCCGGATCCGCCGCCGTCGATGACGACGGTGCTGTACGAGTGGGTCAAAGAGTCGTTGATCGGAAGCCAGAAAGAGCGACGCAAGTTTGTCGACGATCTGCTGCGCAATCGCCCACGCCCCGCGCTGGTGGAGGTCAAGAAGGAGGAAGTCGAGCCCGCTGTAGGAGTCAAGACGGAGCAGGGTGCGACCGAGGTGGAGATGGATAGCGAGCGGGATGCGCGCGTGGCACGCGCGTATGTCGAGATGGTTCTGCGGCTGCTCAAGGGCGAGCGTGCTGGTGTCAGCGCGGGCTCGGGCGAGGGTCTTGCGGACGTGCTGGGACAGGCTACGCTGACGAGCAGCACGACGTGGCCGGGGCTGGTGATGCTGGCGCTGCTGCAGCTGCCGCTCGACGCGGGCGTGGCGCCGGCACACGTGCGTGCCGCGATCGATGCGCGTCTCATGCAGATCCCGCACGCCACCCTCATCCGAGCCATCGATCTGACTTGGAAGGACACCGTCGAGGCCGAGAGGAAGACCGCCCCGCAACCGGCCGGTAGCCAGCAACAGCAGCAGCAGCAGCAGCAGCAGCAGCAGCAGCAGCAGCATGGAAGACATCGACACCATGCGCACGGTCGGAACCGGTCGGGCCATGGCGCGCACAAACGCAAGCGCAACTAGATGTGGAATTGCGATTCATCAGACGAATGAACACCCAGTGTGGCGATGAAACATCAGCCGGTTGAGCGACCATGTGTGCGTGTGGCAGTGAAAAGCTCATTGGAACTGAAGCGGGGGAGGGAAGGATGTGTGGCGACGCGATACCATTTGCGGATGAGGTGTGCTTTTTACGGGATGCGCACCGAGAATCTGTTTGGATGCTGGATGATTTGCTGTGGTTGAGTTGGGGATTCGCATGAAGCAGCGCGGAGGAATCATCGGCGCTTGCATCAAGCCCGAGCTTCTCAAAGCATCGATTTGGCGGTGGAAGACAGCGTTCTCTCGCGCGTGGGGACAGATGCATGCTGAGACGTCGAGAAATGCCCGAAATCGAGCAGGCAGGGTGGTGTTTGTTCGGCTTATGATCTGGAAGATATGCAGTACCCCACGCGAGTGGTGTGTTGGCAGCCAGGGCTTGGAGCATTCTCGAGCAACGATGCTCACAAGAGCTTTTTGGCATGTGGATGATTCTAGCGCCGCATGCATTGTACGTGCACCGCTCCCGCACGATGCAATGCGATAAGAGCTTGTGCTAATCGCTAGCGCGTTACGATTTCAGCATGCCAGGTCGGTAAACTTTCGAAACATCCTTGCTCATGAGAGAAGCTGCTCGCGCGAACGACAAGCACCTCTAGCTGGGGCAGAGCGAACTTCGGACTTGTGATGCTGGTAGCATGTTTTAAAAAAAAGCGATTGAGCGCTTGAGAAGGTGCATCTGCATTGGATGGGTTAGAGGGAGTTGTTGAGGTTAAGCTGTGCGGGAGAAAGGTTTGCAGGCTGCCATTGATTGAGAGATTGACCACCCACTACTGCCTGTGCAACAACTTCATCCGATCGTACCGTCCAAGCATTCTTCGAAGACCGATCGCTATTCGAGCGGGCACTGTCGAAAACTGGGCATTGACATTCTTGTCGATCGCAAGAGCAGGATTCACATTGAACGCTCGTGGCCCTGCTTCTACCATAGCTCTGCGAATCCAGCACCCTCGCTTGGTCGAACCATTCTTCAAGGCCAATCGCCAGCCGAGCTACGATTCGAGCATACAGTGCACGTCGGGTGGCGCCGCCTCGACTTCGGAAGCCAGCCCGCCCACCGTGCGTTTACAGTCGAACGACATTTCGAAAAGATCAATCGCTATTCCGAGCGAGCCCTGTGCAAAAAGCCAGCATGCAGTGGCTCGAGGCACAGAGCTTCTTGTTGGTAGCAACACACAGTCGACCCGCGTTTCCAAAAGGCCAATCACTGTTCCAGCGGGGCGCCGTTGCGATACAAATGTCCACTTCTGGGTTCCACGTCCAGCCATAGAGCTGCTTGTTGATCAAACGCACGCCGGTATTGAGCTGCGCCTCGAGCGAGGTCTTTGAGTCCACACCGTACAAGACGATCTTCAAAGGCCAATCGCTATTCCGAACCTTCTCTGTGCGCAAAAAAACTAGTATACAAAGGCATCAGGCGTAGGAACTTGTTGTTGATCAAATGGACGAGCCGATTGGACGTTGACGCACACCGCGGCGCGAGCTGTGAGACCAGCCCATCCGGACAGTCGAACCACTCTCCAAGGACAAACGCTTTTTTTCCAGGTGGGGCGCTACGATCCAAGCTAATCGAGTCTGTGCATGCAACTTGTTGTTGCTAGGCAACGCGCAGCTTGACGTCGACCTAGTAACTCTGCACCACGCCACCCATCTCGCAATCGACGCATTCTTCGACGCCCAATTGCGTTTCCGAGCGTGCCGTGCTACAACAACAGTACAAAAAAGCGTCCACGTTGGCGTCCATGTCCTAGGCGCACATCTTCCTGTTGATCAACTGCCGAGGTTGGGACGTTGATGCACGCCATGGCAGCACCTCTACTGAGCACTGAAAATCAACCTCTCCAGTCGAGTAATACTTGCCAAGGGCGGGTGAAGATGAAGCCTACTTCTTCCACCAGACGTCGGCCGCATACGGTCTCGTTGCAAGCCTCCGCCGCGGCGATATACTCGTCACGGGCTGTGGAGGTGGCACTTGCCGAACCAGCCGAAAGCCATGTTGAGCATGGTGTAGACTTTCGAGGTGACAGTGTCCCCATACGCCCCGCCTAGACCCAAAGACCTTGTCGGTCGCAATGACCAGGATTACAACAGTAACACCATCCTCGAGCTCTTCAGCAAATCCACCCCGCAAAAACCATTCCGAGGGCTTGTGAAAGGCCAATCGCTATTCCGAGCGGGCCCGCTACTTTACTACAATACAAAAACAGTCCACGTCTGGCTTCCACATTCTAGGCATAGAACTTCTTGTTGATGAGGTGGACGAGCAGGTTGACGTTGACTTGCGCCGTCCCATCCAGCACCGCCAGACTCGTGGCGTTGTTGAACTGCGCCTCTAGCAGGTCTTCGATCCTCAAATCCGAGGCCACCCCCGCGTGTGGGCCATTGACAACATCGATGGTAAACACCCCCGCCTGATCCGACGAAATCGTCAAACTAACCTCCCCCCCACCGCCCGCTGCTGCATCCGTGGCGGGGGTCTTCGCGACGCCATCGATGGAAACAAGCACGCCCTTTTCGAGCAGCTTCGCAGCCGAGTACTTGTACGAGCCGAACTTGGGCACCTTGCCACCGTTCTGCTTGAGACTGCGCAGGTGGAAGTACTGCTGTGAAAACGGCAGCACAAACCTCTTCTTCCCCTTTCTGCCCTGCATCGTCTGCATCGATGCGTCGATGTAGCTGTGGTACGAGTGGATCTGCTCTTCCAGGTACGACTTCTTCTCCCCCAGCGTCTTGAGCGTCGCATGCATGGCTTGCTTCTCGTTATACCGCTGGATCCGCTTTCGGTGCTTGTTCCGAATGTCAATCGCAATGGCGTTCAGCATGTCTTGGTACTTGTTCGCCCGAGACACTTTGCCGAGCTGCTCGAGCTGAAGCATGTTTTCGAGCGTGCGCGCCTTGAGCTCGGCGAAACTCAACCGGCGCACATCCTCCAACCTCCCCCCTGCCGCACCTCCGTACAGCGGAATGCCAGGAGGTCGCTGCCCGCGCTGCCGCTGTCGCTCAGCGGCGACCTCGAGCGAGACAATCTCCTCCCACTGCAGCTCCTCCTTATCCGTCACGGGTGCGACAAAGACATCCACCAGCGTCTTGCCCGACTGCACCTTGAGCAGCGACAACACCAAGCGCTTGGTCTCGACAAACAGAGCTTTCGTCTCCGCCTCCGGGTCTTGCAATGTCGCCATGCGCGAGACGAGCTCAAAGGTGATCTCGCTATCGCGCGCCGAGTTGAGCTCCTGCGTATTCGACACGGGCGCCGCACCCAGCTCGCCGAGGATGACGCGCAGCGGATCGTCCGCATGCGGCGCCAGATGCTCCAGCTGCTGCGTGAGCAGCACGTGCATCGAGTAGATCTCGTTGGGCGAAATGTAGATCACCGGCTTCTGCTGCACGGTATGGTCGAGGAACTCGTCGGCGCTAAACTGCATCTCGGCGTCGGCACAGTCGATGACCGCATGCAGCCACTTTGTAAACCGCTCGGCCGCATGCGAGACGTACTCGTTCAGCGGCTGCAGGTACGGATTGTCGTCCGAAAACAGCCGCCCCACGGCGATCTGCGTGAGCATCTTGGACACCTCGGCCAGATTCTTGCGCTGCACCGGCCCGACGATCGTGTCGACCACGTCGTAGCCCTCGGGCGCCACAATGGCCGGGTTGAGGTAGCGGTAGTACACCAGGTGGCCGACGACCTTGATCAGCGCCTCCTCGGGCTCGGCGGGGAACTTGGCCTGCAGCGCACGGAACACCTCGCGCGCAATGTAGCGCACGCCATACGGCATCTTGCGCGTCGACGCGACGATCGCCGAGAGGAACGCCTCGGTGGTGGCACGCAGCGACTGCAAGTGACGAATAAAGATGGTGCGCGCCATGGGGTCGGCGAGCGCATCGTTGAACGCCACCTCGAGCGGCCGGCGCGACGGCTGGCCCGTCTCCATCTCCTCCTGGTTGATCGTCGCGCGGTAGATCGCGCACGGGTCCGTCTCGAGATCCAGGCCGTCCTGCTGCATAATGTCGTGCACCAGCGGCGACAGCACGTCCTGCAGATACTTGCGCTCGCGCGTGCCGCGATTATACTGCGCCACGAGCTTGATGAATTGCGCATTGCCGCGGATAAAGTCCTGCACGGTCGAGACCAGGCTGAGCTCCTCGTCGATGCAGCGCTGGAAGAGCTTGAGCAGCAGGAACTCCTCGCGTGCCTTCTGCGCGTATCCGAACAGCGTGAGCACGATCTTTTCGACTTGGCGCTTGTCGCGGTCCGCCATGTCGATCTTGCCGACGCGCGCAAACAGGCGCGCGAGGTACTCGGGCCGCGTCTGGAGCGCATAGAAGAGCTCCTGGTACAGCTCAAACTTGCGTCGCGAGGCGCGGTCGAGCGCATGGTCGGCAAAGGGGTCGTTGGCAGCCACGAGCACCGAGTTGCGCTTTTGCACCGCCGCCGCCGCATCGCGCTGGCCGAGCAGGCCGCGTTCGTTCTTGGCCTTTATCAATTCCTCGATGCCGATCTTGTTCTTGACGAGCAGTGCGATCTTGGTGTCGAGCTCCGAGACGTCCGACTCGAGCGTGCGCGACTCGCGGATGGCCTGGACGACGAGCTTGCGCAGCCGCTCGACCTCGATCTCGTCTTCAAAGTCGGCGTCCGAGTCGTTGAGGAGGTGGCCAAAGTTCTTGATGGTGGCGACGGGCACGTTCTTGCCCATGGTGAGCGAGCGGTACTGCTCGCCCTGCTGGCGGCCGCGGAAGAGGCTCTGGATCTTGACGACCTTGTCCATGTGGTCGTGGTAGTGGCGGAGGCGCGCAAAGAATTGGCGGCGGCCGAGCGTGCCGCGGATGAGCGACTGGAGGTGGACGGCGACGGGCTCGCTCTGGACGAGGTGGTTGCGCCACCAGACGTAGTCCTGGCGTGCGATCATGCCGCGGATGGCGGCCTGGATGCCGACGACGTCCGGGGTGACAAAGTCGAGCTGCTTCTTCTGCTCCTGGTGCTTGCGACGCGCGAGGGCGGCGCGCGCAAACGACTGGAGCCCGCCGACGGCCGCCTTGACCTCGACCTTTTGGAGTGCGGAACGCATGCGGACGTGGTCCTTGCGTGCGAGCACGCCGCGGATCTGCGCCTGCACCTGTGTGATGGCGTGGTTGGAGCGGCGCAGACCCTGGATGGTGGCGAGCAGCTTCTGTTGGGCGAGCGCCGAGCGACATGCGGCCTGGAGCTTGATGACGTCTTCGGTGGAGTCGGCGAGGCGGTAGATGAGGTCTTCGTACGCGCGACGTGCGAGGCGGCCGCGGACGTGCGCCTGCAGACCGACGACGCCGGTCTCGTGCTTGTCGAGCGCCTTGATGCTGGCAAAGAAGTGGCGTCGGTAGAGCGCGCCACGTGCGCACGCCTGGAAGTGCTCGATGGCGCGCGCATTGTTGGCACCATGCACGCGCTTGACGCGCTCGACGTGGGTCTGGCGCGCGAGCTTGGCGCGCACGGCTGCCTGGAGGCCGACAAAGGTGCGCGTGCTGGTGTGTAGTGCGGCGTGCTTGCGGTGGTACTGACGACGGGCGAGCAAGCCGCGCACCTGTGCCTGAAGCATGGGTGCCCAGCGCGAGACGATGCGATCCTCCTCGGCGCGGCGTTGGCGCTCCGCCTCGGCGGCCGCAGCGGCAGCGGCCCTGGCTTCCTCTTCCTTGCGGCGAAGGATCTCGGCCTGGACGCGATCTGCAAAGCGCATACGAGCGACAAAGGCGCGCGCTGCGGTCTGGAGCGCCAAGACCGAATCGATGTTCTCTCTGAGCTTGCGATCGATGCGTTCCTGCTCGGACTCTGGCTCTGGTTCGGGCTCGATGTTCATCTCCTTTGCGAGCGCCTTGCCGACGGCGCCAAAGGAGGGCATGGCGACGCCCGAGGCGTCGAGGCCCTTCTGAGTCTTTTGGAGCTGGTCGTCTGTGAATTCGAGCTTGCCGATGAGATTGCCGACCTTGAGCGCCCTGCCCTGGCGAGCGAGGACGTGGCTGAGTGCGTGGATGCAGTAGACGACCTTGGGGAAGTTTTTCTTTTCGTAGAGGTCGGTGAGCTCGAACTGGAAAAAGTGCGGGAGGCCAACTTGGTTGATGAAGCTGAAAAAGTAGTTGATGTTGTCCGTGTGGCGGTACTGGAGCTTGGGGTGGACAAAGATGCGCGGGACGCAGTTGGGCTCAAAGGTCTTTGCGAGCTTGGCGAGGAAGATGCCGTCGCGCATTTCGTTTTCCATTTCGACGACGTGGCCGAGGTCTTCGCCGACGTGGAGCTCCATCCATTCCTTGGCCTCGCCGCAGTGGCAGAGGTACTCGTAGGCCTGGAGGAGGTGGCGCTGGGTGTCCATCCACTTGCTCGAGCTGGTGAGGGGGAGGGTGGAGGTGGTGGCCGAGGGGCGGCCGAGCGCCATGGTGCCGGGACCGTCTGCGCGCGCGAGACGGATGCGACCGTGGAGGCCGGCGACGTCTTCTGCGCCGGTGGTGATGCCGGGGAGGACGATTTCGCCCTCCTGGTCCTCGCTCTCCATGCGACCGGGGCGACCGGGTTTGTGCCAGCCCTCGTCGATGGTAGGCTCGAGGTTGAGCGAGTTGAGCGAGTTTGCGAGTGGCGAGGCATTGGCGTCGATGCTGTGGGTTCGCTGGCCCCTTGCGCGGCCTACAGTCATGCGGGTGTGTCCGTGCTGGTCGCCGAGGGCGGAGAGGTCGTCGGTCTTTTGGGTGAAGTTCTTGATCATCTTGAGAGCGCCGACGCTGGAGCGCTTGAGGTCCTTGACGCCTCCGAGGTGGAGCTGGGAGGGAGCGTGGGGAGCGGCGCTACCGCTGGTGCCGAGTGCGCCGTGGCTCCAGAAGCTGCCTTGTGTGGGAGTGGAGGGCGAGTTGATCCAGGAGGCGTCGTCCTTCTTGGGCGACGAGAGGGGCGAGTCGCGGCTGCGCTCTTTGGTCGGGGAGACGGCGCGATCGTAGGGATCCTTTGTGGGCGAGTAAGGACGGGCAGCGCGACCGACGGTGGCCGAGTTGAAGAGGTTGTCGCGCGGTGCGGGAGGCATGGAGACGGGACGACCAGTGGCGGCGCGCGATGCGGCTGGGAAGGTGGCCTTGCTGAAGGTGGCGGCGGATGCTGGCGAAGTGGTCGTTGCGAGGGAAGAAGGATTGGAGCCGGAGCTGGAGATGCTGCCGTTGGAGCCAAAGTGTGCGGAGGATGCGGTGGTGGGCGATGCGCTTGCGGCCGCCGCTGCTGCTGCGCGTAGTTCTGCTGCGCGCTGCGGATCGAGCGAAGCGGTGTGACGGTGAGGGGCGGGGAAGCGACGGACTGATCCAGAGTGCTGGAGCGGCGTTGCGGCTGGGATGCGCTGTGTACTGTCGATGGGCGAGGCGAGCGAAAAGGTGCTGCTGCGCGATGCGGAGCGCTCGAGGTACTTGGACTGGTAGGCAAAGGGGCTGTTGCGTGCGTTGGGGCTGGCAGCCGGGAGCGCCGGCTTGGAATGCTGATCCATCATGGCTGTGTGTCGTTATGGGTCGTGCATACAGTAGAAGTTGGACGCTCGTGTGTGCGATGTGTGAATCGTAAGTGGTGATGACGGAGCGAGGGTGTATGCGTGCGCTGCGTTGACGTTGAAGGACGGTGGGTGCGTGTTGACGCTTGACCGGGTTGATGGTGGTGGGCGAATTGAAAGATAGCGATCGACTCAGCTTTGGTTGCGAGGGTGGAGGAGGAGGAGGTGCCCAGCGCTGCACGGCAAGTGGACTGCAGGGTTGCGGCGGAGGCTATGCAGAAGAGCGCCTTCTCTCAGCGCGCCCCAAAGTCCAAAAGTGGAAAAATTAAAGGGGCGCGTTTGAATTGGTGTTGTTCTCGGGCGCTGTATTTGGCGGGCGAGCCGTTTGTATTGGCCACACGCGGCTCAGGGGCTCTCTTTGATGCTATTTCATCGCGCCCACCCCTCTCTTCACTTGTGCCCCTCAAGCACTGCCCTCGCCGTCGTCATCGACGCCACTCTCCATCTCCATCTCCAACCCTCGCTGTGTACGTGACCTAGCTGCACGACAGTCCACTCTGACCTTCGAAGTGTGATGTGACCGGCAGAGTGGACGCCGCTGTGAGCTGGGGTTGTTGCGCGTGTTGGAATCCGGCTTGGATTCGCGTGCGGGCGCGTCACGTGCGCTCGCCTCCCAACTTGCCTATTCGAGCCGGCTTTCACGCCGCCAGAGCTCCAAAATCCCCTCCCCTGCACGCACTCTTTTTGTGCATGGACTTGTGCGAATAGATCGATTGACCATAGATTCAGTTTCGGCGACTGCTACATGATGGTGCACTCCTCGTTGCCACCTGCACCGCCGAATCCAGGCAGGCTCTCGAGTTCCGCCGGCATATCGCCCACGATCTCCTTGGGCGGCGAGCCGCAGTCCTGCATCTGGTTCATGAGCTCCTGCACCCTCGCTGCCATCTGGGCATCCTTGGCATCGTACTTCGGATCGTCGAATACGGCGACGATCTGCGTGATGTACGCGAACTGCTGCTCGTAGCGCTTTCGATCGTCGGCCGAGATGTCGCGCGAGTCGGAGCCGGCGAGGTAAGCGGGGTACTTGTCGCGCAGCTCCTTGAGCGGCTCGTAGAGGATCTCGCGCGACATGAGCTCGTCCATCATGCCCTCGAGCATCTTGGTCAGCTCCGGATTGTCCATCGCCCCTTCGAGCCCGGACAAATCACCCGATCCACCGAGCGCGGCGAGCAGCTTGGCCATCTCTTCGCCTTCAGCTCCCGACAGGCCCGCGAATGGGTTGTCTGCGGCAGCGGAGGACGAGGTTGCAGACGCATCGCTCTCTTTCAGCTTGGCCATCGTCGCCGCGATTGCATCGTTGAAGTTCGCCGGCTTCGATCCAGAGGCACCGCCGGCAGCTGGGGCTGACGACGATCCGGGGGCGGTGGAGGTGGAAGCAGTCGTGGGGCCACCGCCGAATCCGGCCATCATGGCTTCAAACTGACGCATGAGCTCCTCCTCGTTGAACTCGGCCGCCGCACCCGCCTCACGAGCCGCTGCACCCTCGCCACCACCCATGAGCGCTTCGCCATTGGCATTCGCCTGGCCACCCAGCTCCTTCATCAGCGCCTGCATACCCTCGGCGAGCTCCTTGGCGAAATCCTGCGACACCACATCCTCCCCCGCCTCTCCTCCCGACACCTTGCTCTCCGCTGCATCCTCCACCTGTGGCTTGGACTGGGCTTTCGGCGCCTCTCCAGCAGCACCAGCGGCGGCGGCTTGTGTCGATCCAGAAGGCGCGTTAAACTCGTCCAGCACGTCTATTCACGCAACAACACTGTCAGCGGATGTCCACCTTGCCAACGCAATTCCGGGCAAAACACTCACCATCGAGGTCGTCGAGATCGTCCACGTCGTCTACATTGGCGGACGGTGCTGGTGGTGGAGCTGTGGTGGCAGCTGTGCTTTGTGCGTTGGTGTTGGACATGGTCGGCGATCGCGAGTGGTGTGCGGTGTGGAAGAGGGAAGGCAAAAAGCGAGTCCGATACGCGGCGATGTGTGGGGAACCCGAGACAGCCGGTCACTTTCAACAGCCGGAGCCCACCCAACGCGCGTCTCCGCTTCCGAACCAATGCGAGGCTTCCAATCAAAAATGAGCCGGAAAATAGTTCTAACTGTTACGCCTTCTGTACAAACAACTTGGCTCGGTGATTTCGGCCCGAAGCACGGCGTCTTTTCGGCGAGATCGAAGGGACGACGTCATGTGGCACTGACCGCCGCCCCCCTTCTCTCTCTCTCTCCGCGCGGGGCGAGCTTGACGATCCACATCCACCATCTTTCCCCACCTCTTCAGCTGCATTTATCGTGACCATGTCTTCTCCATACGTCTGCAAGTGGGGCATTCTTGCTACGGGCTGGATTGCCGAGACCTTTGCCAAGGACCTTCTCACCGACCCTGCGACACGATCGGTGTCGGACGTCGAGCATCGGATCGTGGCCGTTGCTTCGTCCACCTCTGCCTCGCGTGCCGGCGAATTCCTCACCAAAATCGGCGCTTCTCCCGAGTCGGCCAAGACGTACGGCTCGTACGAGGCGCTGGTAGCCGACGACGAGGTGGACATTATCTATGTCGCCACACCGCACTCTTTCCATTACGCCAACACGCTCCTTGCGCTCCGCGCCGGGAAGCATGTCTGCTGCGAAAAGCCGTTCACGATCAACGCGGCCCAAACCGAACATCTCATCGCAGTTGCAAGGGAGAACAAGAGGTTCTTGATGGAAGCGGTGTGGACGCGGTTCTTCCCTATTGTCAAGGAGATCCAGCGGCTTGTGCATGATGAAAAGGTGCTCGGCAAGGTGGGTCGCGTGTTTAGCGACTTCGGGATGCAGTTCAAGCCCGACCCCAAACATCGACTCTTCAACCCCGAACTCGGTGGTGGCGCCCTACTCGATCTGGGCATCTACGCCCTCACCTGGCAAATGCTGCTACTTTACGCCGACCCTGCGAACAACAAAACCGCCCCCGAGGTATCCAGCAGCGTGATCAAGTCCAAGCTGACGGGGGTGGACGAGTTTACAACGATGGTTCTCAACTTCAACGCTACGGGTGCGCAGGGTGTGGCGACTACGAATATGACGATTCGATCGGCTGGAAATGTGGTGCTGGTTCAGGGGGAGAAGGCGGATCTGACGGTGCCTTGGGCTCCGTACAGGCCGGAAAGCTTTACGATCCACGAGAAGGATGCAGAGGGTGTCTATACGGGCAAGAACGAGACGCGCAAGTTCCACATCCCCGGTCACGGAATGTTTTGGGAGGCAGATGCCTGTGCCCGTGCCCTAAGGGATGGAAAGCTCCAAGAACCCACGTGCTCACTCGCCGAATCCACCCTCACCATGAAGATCATGGACCAAGTCAGGTACTCTGCCGGCTGCACCTATCCAGACCACATCGAAGCCATCGAACACTAATTCCCCTCCCCCCCACCAAACACATGTAATCAGAAAACTGCCAATTTAAAGATGACAAGGCTAGGCACGACCAAAGAACCTCTTGACACGTTGGGCGAACGAAGGAGCGATGCTCTTGCCCTCGACAGCACGATCGATGCTGCGGATCAGACGCGAGTAGTACTCGGGCTGACTCTTGGGCTTGAGCATGCTCTCGGGCAGCGGATACTCGAGCTGCACCTTGTTGTCGCGCAGCTCACGCAGCAGCTTCAGACTCTGCTGCGCATACTCGAGCTCGGCCTTGGTGAGTGTGCGCGTACCGGGTAGCGGGTCTGGAAGCGGAGCACCACGCGGTTTGTGGACTTGCTCCGGATGCACCGCCGACTGCGACGCAACCGAAAGCAACGCCGTCTGCGCAGCTGCACTGATCGACGCTCCAAAATCAATGTCCGGACGCAGTGGGTCTTTGGGCCACGACGAACCCAGCTCGATAAACTGCTTGTACACCGCCTGGATCTCTGCTGCCGATGCCTGCTCACCCCCCACCCCCGCTCCCGCAGCCGCTGCCGAGGTGCGAGCAGATGTGGAAAACGCCCGGACCTGTTGCTGCTTGCTCGAAGAGACGGGGGTGGAGGTCGAACGCTGCATCTCGTCGCGCACGACGAGCAGACACGACTCGATAATGTCCACCGCCTTGTCCACCTGTTCGCGCGTCACCGTCAGGCTCGGCAGAATTCGGATGGTGTCGGTGCCAGCGGTGAGGATGAGCAGTCCACGCTGGCGGGCGAGCGTAACTACCCTACCCGCATGCGAGGGATCCCTGGTGCTCACACCCACAATCAAGCCCTTTCCACGCGGACTCGGCTTGCCCGCCGCCGCATCGTCCAGCAGCACGTCCGGGAACATGGCTACAAGCTCGCGCAGTCGACCCAGCAGCGCATGCGAGCTCTCCCTCATCGAGTCGCCCAGCTCCTTGCTCGCCAGCCTACCCAGCACGTGGTGCGCAATCCGGCTCGTCAGCGGTCCACCCCCGAACGTCGTGCCGTGGTCGCCCACCGCAATCAGCTGCGCCACCGAATCGCGCATGAGCACCGCGCCGATCGGAAACCCGTTCGCAAGCGGCTTGGCCATGGTCACCATGTCCGGATGCGCCGAAGTCGGGTACTCGCTATGGCACCACAGCGTACCCGCGCGGAAGAGTCCACACTGGATCTCGTCATAGATCAGCATAGCCCCCACCTCGTCACACCGCTTACGCAGTGCCGTGAGGAACTCGATCGACGCCGGGAAGATTCCGCCCTCGCCCTGAACCGGCTCTACAATCACGCCCGCCGTCGTCTCGTCCACCAGACTCTCGATGCCCGCCACGTCGTTGTACGTGCCCGTGCGCACGTCGCCGATGAGCGGCGCAAAGGGCGCCTGGTACTTGGGGTTGGGCGTCATAGCGAGCGCGCCCATTGTCCTGCCGTGGAAGGCGTTCTTGAAGCTCACCAGCCCTGTCTTGTGCGCCCCGCCCTTGGTCGGGTGCGACTTGGCCGCCTTGCGAGCGAACTTGAGCGCCGCCTCGTTCGCCTCGGTTCCCGAATTGGCGAGGAACACCTTGAGACCCGCGGTGTCCGGGCTCGTCGGCTTGGAGCCCTTTGCAAAGCCCAGACCGCCGTGCTGGTGGGTGAGGTTGACCATACGATCGGCGAGCTCACCGGACCACTCGTTGTGGTACAGGTTGGAGGCATGCACGAGCTTGGCGCTCTGCTCGGCCGCGATCTGGGCGATCTTGGGATCGGCGTGGCCGAGCGAGTTGACGGCGATGCCCGAGGAAAAGTCGAGGTACTTGCGCTCGTTGTGGCCCTGGTTCGTGTTGGGGTCCGCCGCGGCGTACAGGTCGAGGCCGTTGCCGCGCGTAAAGATGAGCTGCGGCCGCGAGTACGTCGCGAGCACCGAGTGCGAGAATCGGTCGAGCGTGTCCGCGATCTTGGAGCCGCGCGAGGCGTCGCCATCCGGATGCGAGAGCGAAATGTAGTCGGCACAGGGCTTCTTGGTGGATGCCGCCGTGGCGGGTGCGGCGTGGGTGGCGAGCAGACGCAGCTGCGGACGCACGCAGCGCGCGGATGAGGCGGCGAGCATGAGCGACGCACAGGGTCGCTTGGCTGCGCTGGAGAGAGCAGCTCGTGTGGCGGCCATGTTGAATACCAAAGCAGGCGCAGGTCGATATCGAGATGGTCGTTGCAAAGACCGATGGAGGGCTCGGAAGCGCCTTTGATAAGGCAGCGAAAATGCCCAAAAAATGTGGAGTCACGCCCGTCCACGTCAGTTCAGAGTCACCGAAAAGCGGGCAAAAGGCGGGCGAAAGGCAGGGGAAATCGCAAATGGTTCTTTTTCTTTTTCAGTTGTTCCTTCTCGCTGCCGCTGCAGCGCCGCGCCACCCGAGCGCGCTATCGGAGCATCACGTAAACCCGCCGCCCACAGCGTCGGCGCGTGCAAGGCGCACAACTGCAACCCCACCACCCGCAGCCCTTGCCGCGGGTGTCTGCCCTCGGCCCACTCGAGCGCATCAAGTAGCGACTCACTCTCACCGCACACGCTCTGCCTGCTCAGACCCAATCGCAGCCTCGAATGCGAACATCAAAATGCACTTTGAAAGCGGGTGACACGAGACGAGACACGAAACCTCCCCAATCATCGAAACAAACGAGGGAGTGAGGATCAAAAAGAACAAGGTCGATCAAGGCTGCGCAGCGATCGCACCGACGCCGCCGACGTTGCTGCCGGCACTCGAGAGGCGCGCGCCAAAGCTCATGCCATTGCCGCCAAAGCTCGCGGCGCGCGGACTGGCGCACAGCTTCGACATGGCGTCCTTGCGCAGCCGGCTGTTCATGCGCGCCTGGAAGTTGACCTTGGCGAAATCGCTCGGCTGACCCTTGGGCTGGCGCCGCGGCTGGATCGGGGGCAGCGTAAGGCCGGCGTTGTTGATCGTCTGCACGCCGTCCGACGAGCCGTTCGCCTTGAACGCACGGTGCTGCGGCGCCGCAGACAGGTGGATCGCACGCGGGATCGCCTTGGGCGCGCTCATCGGCGGCGTCGAGCTGGTCGACGTAGGCGCACTTGCACTCGCACCCGCACCGGCACCGGCACCCGCATTGGCACCCGCCCGGCCGAGCGATCCGTAGCGTCCGCCGTTGGCCTGCTTGTGCAGCTGCGTCTGCGTCTGCATCTGGTGCGGACGCGGTGTGGTGGCCAGCACCGCCTTGTTCATGGGCGTCGTGTGCACCTCGAGGTCCTCCTCGCTCGTCTCGGGCGTCTGGTCGCCCTCCACCTGGTCAAACTCCGAGTGGGCGCGCGAGCCTTCCGAGGCGCTGTCGTCGATGACGATCGAAGGCGTCATGGTGCGCGAGCGCATCGACATGATGCTCTCGGCCGTGCCGGACGACGGACGCATCGGACGGCGCGAGTCGCTCACCGAAGACGCGGGCGAGCTGCCGCGGTGCGAGGGCGGCGTGGGCATCCTCTCTTCGCCCGCCATCGCACCTCCTCGCCAGCTCCTCTGGTCGAGGGGGACGCGCGAGTGTGCAGCGCCTTCGTTGCTCACCTGGCGCGTGTGGCGGTTGAGGATGTTCTGCAGCTGCTGCTGTTGTTGTTGCTGCTGCTGCTGTTGCTGGATCGACTCGTTGTAGTTGGGAGCCATTCCGTGCACGCCGTTTTCGAGACCCATGGTCTGGTAGAGTTGCTGCACCTGTCGCTGACGCAGGCTGGCTTGGAGGCTCGCCTGTGCGGCTTGCCTCTGCTCCTGAGCAGAGGCGGCAGTGGTGTTGTAGAGCGAGCCCATGTCGAGCTCGCCGTGTCCGCCTTGAAGCTGCGAGAGAAGCAGACGCTGCTGAGCCGCCAGCTGCTGCTGGTGGCTGCTGTTGTTGTTGTTGCTGTTGTTGCCGTTGCTGTAGAGCTGCTGCTGGCCGTACTGGAGCTGCTGCTGCTGCTGTTGCTTCTGCAGCGCCTGCAGACGGAGTAGCTCGATCTTTTGCTGCTGCACGGCTGCCTGCTGCTGGGCAAACTGCTGCTGGAGCTGCATCTGGAGATACTGCTGTTGCTGCTGCTGCTGCGCATATTGGTGCTGATGGGCGTATCCGCCCTGGTTAGCGGCGTGGCTCTGGTAGCCGAGCTGGGCGTCCGAGTTGTGGCTGGACTGAAGACGCATGGCGGCAAGCTGGTCCTCGAGGCTGGCCTGAAGCGCCGAGATGTCACGCAGCGAGTCGGCAGTGCGGTAGGCATTGTTCTGCTGGTTCTGCTGGTGGTGCTGGTGAAGCGAAGGATATTGCTGCGACTGCTGCTGGCGAAGGCGAGAGTCGTGTGCGCTGTCCTGGCCAGGGAAGATGGAGCCGAGGCCGAGGCCTTCGGGACGCAGGGGTGCGTACGAGTCGGTGCGGTTGGCGTAGGCGTTGCCGCCGTAGTACTGCTGGTGGTTGGAAGTGTTCATCGTGATGATGCGAGAGGCCGAGATCCGATGCTCAGCTTGTGAGAGTGAGGGAGTGTGTGTTTACAGAGGCTCGTTGCCAGACGAGGAAGAGTAGTGTTGATACAAGACTTGCAGAGAGTTGATTGAAGCTCGGTGCGGAACGAGTGGCGAGTCGAGTGGAAGCAATGGGAATCTTGAGGGTTGCTGGTGGGCAGGTATACAGTTCGGGCGATTCGACGAACGTGGCAGAGCAAGTTGGACTGAAGGCGAGAGCGAGGCTGGTGGGAGAGGGCGGCTGCGATCAACGCTGTGAGAAAGCTGAGGTGGCCGGGGAGGGGGTTTTTGAGCGTGGTGGTGGTGGAAGTTGGTCAAGAGTACCGGCTCAAGAGGTTTGAGCGGGTGTGCGAAGTTGTGGCAGTGTTGGCGCTCGGTTGCGGTGACAACGAAGCGGGATCGGCACCCGGATGGGTAGAGAAGAAGATCGAGATTGATGTGGCTTGTTGGGTAGTGGCACCGAAGTGGGCTGGAGTGGGATTGTGACGGAGGTGGGCGGAGTGAGTTTGGCAATGCACCGAGGACGGGCCGGTGCTAAAAGTGGTTGCGTGTGGAGTGGGAAGCGGAGATCAAGCCAGGCGAATGAATCACAAGGCGATGTTGCAGTGAAATGGGAGGGCCGCTTTGTCGAGTGCGGTGAGATGGGCGGCGGCAGGAAGGAGTTACCTGGCGCTGGCACAATGGGGCGCAAGGGAGGTGATGATGTCGAGTGACGGAGTGAGAAGGAGAGACGTCTGTTTTTGTAGGATTTTCTCTTGGATAGTGTCACTTGTTGTGAGGGCGAAAAGGTGATGCTGTGACGATGAAAAAGATTCTTCGAAGGGCTGATTGAGCGGCTCGAATGGGAGTGGGATTGTTGACAGCTGCGGGAAAAGTTCGAAAGTCGCAGACGAACGAGGAGGAACCGATGCTGGGCTGGGAGCCGAAGAAGGTGAGAAAGAAAAAAGGGCCAAAGGCGAGGATGAGGATGGTAGGGTGATGGCGATGATGGGATAGAGGTTGAAGACGAAGACGGGGCGATGACCGGAGAGAGAGATGGAAGGGAGACTAGGGAGTAGGGGGAAAGGGGGAAATGGAAAAAGGGAAACCACGACGGGACTGATGGAGGAAGGGAGTGATGGCGAGGATGGCGACGACGACGACCAAAACGACGAGATGGCCGAGTCGAGTCGAGTCGAGTCGAGCGAGGCGAGGCGAGGGCAGCAGCCAGGGTCGTGGAAAATGCAGGCAGAGAGCCGAGCTTGAAGCGGAGCGGGAAGCAGATTGACTGAGCCGCTGTTGCTGCTGAGCTGATCCTTGAGCAGGCGGCGACGGGCGGCGGGTCGAGGCAGCTCAATTTTGCCAAAAATGCAAGCAAGCGAGCAAGGCGGGGCCTAGACAGCCCGCCAAGCCAAGACCGACGAGATGCCCTCAATCGTCGTCGTGGGCCAAACCCTTTTTGGGGCGGCTGGCTGGCGCGTCGTCAATTTTTTTTGGGCAGCGGCGAAAACACGCCAGAGAGAGTCTCTGCAGCGAAAGGGTTCCGATGCTCTCTGCCTCGACACCGCGCTAGACATGCATGCACGCCATGCAGGCAGGCATGCAGCCTCCTCCCATGCCAGCCAGCCAGCGCTCCATCGCTCTGTGAGCCAGCGACACGAGCGAGCCAACGTGTAAATTGCAGATCGTTTGCCGGCCACCCAACCGACGGTCGATCGCTCCCCAGCTCGCATGTCGATGCTCATACCGACGACCCAAGCGCCATGAAAAGAAGGCGTGTGCAGCTGGCCAACTCGTCGCTCATGCCTCTCGCCATTCCACGCCACCAACCCTCACCAACGGCTCATGGCTCAGTCAGGTCTCCTTCTCACACTCGCCGGGTCTCGGGCGGTCCCTTGCGGATTCGCCTCTGCTTCGCTTACGCGCCCTCGCTGCATCTCTGAGACCCGCGCGCCGCCCCGTCCTTCGCTGGCAGTTCGAGAACAACACGCGACCGATTTTCGCCCACTCCAGCAATGTTTAACTTCATTGGCTAACAGCTTTGATTTTGAAATTTTGGGCAGACCGTCAAGGCCGACAATTCAAGGTTGGCAGCGCATCGGCTTTAGGGCGGACGGAGCACCGAACGCGGCTTGCAGCGCCTCTTTTGGTGGGGGTGGGTGTGTGGGGTAAACGGACGACGACCCTTCCCCAGACCGGGACAGGCGCCGAAGAATAGATCCGCCCCGCATCTGCTTCTTTCCCCACCATCTCCTGTCTGCAATCATCGCTACCGCCGGTCAAAAGTCTGCAAATCAGGATGATGGCCTCGACGACTTCACGTGCTGCACGCCAGCTGCGATTCGGGCGTCAGCTGTGCCCTACCGCGCGCTCGTCCACCGCCAGCAGCTCGACGATGCTCTCACGCACCTTTGCCAGCACGGCGCTTGCAAGCAAGGACGGCGACGAGCCGCAGGGCCATTTGCCCGGCCATCCATCGTCGGTGTTCCTCACCTCGCTCAACGACAGCTTCTTCGACCGTGTCAAGCCCAAGCAGCTTTCGGGCAACTCGAACGCCCAGGGTGGCATCCCCACCTTCCGGCTCATGGACGGTGTCGGTCGCCTCCTCCCCGGCGTCACGGACCAGATGGTGGACATCACCGAGCAAGAGGCGGTCAAGATGTACCGAACCATGCTGCTCCTGCCCCAGATCGACGTGATTCTGTACAACGCCCAGCGCCAGGGACGAATCTCGTTCATGATGACATCCTACGGCGAAGAGGGTGCTGTTATCGGTAGTGCCGCGGGGCTCGATACCAAGGACGAGGTGTTTGCACAGTACAGAGAATCCGGTGTACTGCTGTGGCGCGAGTTCTCCATGGACCATTACATGTCGCAGGTGTTTGGGGCCGAAGATGATCTGTGCGGCGGCAGGCAGATGCCCATCCACTTTGGAAGCACCCAGCACCACTTTCACACCATCAGCAGCCCGCTTGCTACGCAGATCCCCCAGGCGGCAGGTGCAGGTTATGCGCTCAAGAGGACCAAGGGCAGGGAGAACAACGTCGTCGTTTGCTACTTTGGCGAAGGCGCCGCGAGCGAAGGTGATTTTCACGCGGGTATGAACCTTGCTAGCACCACCAAAAGCCCCGTGATCTTCTTTGTGCGCAACAATGGGTATGCGATTTCGACGCCTGCAGCCGAGCAGTTCCGAGGTGATGGTATTGCGTCTCGCGGACCGGGGTACGGGATGCTCACCATCCGTGTCGACGGTAACGATGCCCTTGCAGTGCGTTCGGCCGTACAAGCCGCCAAGGCCAAGGCGATCGCGGAGCAGCGACCGGTGCTGATTGAAGCCATGACGTACCGCGTGGGCCACCATTCGACCTCGGACGACTCGTCGGCCTACCGCAGCAAGCAGGCAGTAGAAAGCTGGAAGCAGATGGACAATCCGCTCCACCGCATGCGCAACTTCCTCACCGACCGTGGCTGGTGGAACGATGCACTCGAGGAGCAGACCAAGGCCGAACATCGCAAGACCGTCATCGAGGCAATGGGCCGCGCAGAGAAGAAGAAACGCCCCCAACTCAGCAGCCTCTTCGAAGGCACCTACCGTGGCGAGTTGCCGGGAAATCTGAGGGAACAACGCGCCGAACTCGCCGAGCTGTTGCAGAAATACGGCGCGCTCCCGGGTTGGTCCAAGGAGCTCGCCAAGCACGCCAATGCTGGCAAGGACATGGAGCAGTACCGCGAGAACAAGCTCTAGCTGGCTGTCAGAATGAACTTTGCTGTGAATCAAGACCTGCTCACAATTGCAGACTGACGGCGTGCAGTGAGGATGGACTGACGAGCAGGAGGTGTTGGTCTTTTGGACCCTGAACCTGAACTCCCGCTAAAATGGCCAGAAAAGAAAAAGAAAAGGGCGCAAAAAAAAAAAAAAAAAAGTGCGCTCGAAGCTGATGAAAAAACCACCGCTTCGATTTGGCGACGCACCTTTCTTCTCGGCACCATTTGCCTCTGGACAGCTCTGTGACCATGTCGTATGTGGTGCAAGCCGGACTCTTTGCGAGTGGTCTAGCGGTTGGAGTTGGTGGAGCGGTCCTGCTTGCGTCCAACCGCAAGCCCACCGCCGCTGCCATCTCGCACGACCAGCCCTCTACCCCCGGTAAACCGGCCATCACTTCCACCCCCTCCTCCTCATCTGTCGCCGTCGTCGACTCGGGCTATACCTCATCGGACTCTCTCGGACCCGCCGGCTACCCTGGCCCTGTCTCGGACTTCCTTCGCCACTCGGCCTACGTTTCATCCTACGACCGTCGGTTGCGCCACCCCGCATGGACGGCTGAGCACCTGACGGCTGCAGCGCTGCAGCGTCCGCCAGGCCCGAAACCGGACCGCTCCAACTCTGTTTTCCGCGAGGATACTCGGATCCCAGAGCTCTTCCGCGCCAAGATGGCCGACTACTTTCGCTCGGGCTACGACCGTGGCCACATGGTCCCCGCTGCCGACGCCAAGATCTCCCAGCTCGCCATGGACGAGACGTTCCTGCTCACCAACATTGCGCCTCAGGTGGGTGCCGGGATGAACCGCGACTACTGGGCTCACACAGAGGACTTTGTCCGCCGCCTCACATCGAGGTTCGCCGACCTGTACGTCTTCACCATCCCGCTGTACCTGCCCCGCCAGTATCCAGATGGAAAGTTCCGCGTCTCGTACGAAGTCATCGGCAACCCTCCCAACATCGCCGTCCCCACCCACTTTGCCAAAGTCATCCTCGGCGTAGGGACCGCCAGCGAAGCCAACGGTGCACCAGGGCCCAAGCCAGAGTGGAAGGCGATTGGAGCCAAGGTCGGTTTGGGCAGCGGCATGGTGATGGGGGCATTTGTCATGCCGAACAGTGTGATTCCCAACGAGGCACCGCTGGAGAGCTTTGCCGTGCCCGTCGAGACGGTCGAGAGGGCTGCGGGGTTGACGCTGTTTCCACCCGCCGTCAAGGGCGCAGCTAAGAGGCTGTGCGATACCGTCCAGTGCTCGATCGTGGTGAGGGATTTCAGCGACAAGAGCAAGACGCTGTCCGCTGCTGCACCCAAGGCCCTCCCCGCACCCAGTGCCAGACTCTGATCTCAATGCATTCCCGTTGCAGCAAAAGTGTGTGTGGTTTGAAGGGATGGTCGAACGGAGTGTGCAAAAGGATCAAGTGGAAAAAATTGCGTCGAGCGAGGTAAGGGTCAAAAGGTGGAGCCCGTGCGCGCGTGTGTGTGTGTTGGGTTTTGACCATCAACCACCATCTTTTGGCGCACATCCACATTCGGTCTGGCATTTGGGAAACGATGAGTGTGTCTACGCTGGCGTCTTTGGGGATGGCGATTGGGGCGCCGCTGGTGTACGCCGACCAGGCCTACTCGATCTATCGCAAGCAGGACGCGCGCGGCTTCTCGCACGACGTGTGTGCGGTGTTGCTGTTGGCCAACATTACGCGCTGCTTCTTCTGGCTCGGCGAGCGCTTCGAATTCGCCCTGCTGCTCCAGAGCATCCTCATGATCGCGGCGCAGCTCGGACTGCTCTACCTCTGCATCCGCTTCAAGCCCGTCACGCGCTTTAGCAAGAGCATCTCCTCCGACGGCGCACGCGTCGTCTTTAACGCCGACGAAGATCAGCAACCCTCGCAAACCTCCCAACCCTCGCGATCAACTACACACGACCTGATGGATGTGCATGCTGCAGAGCAGGAGGAAGACCAGTTGTATGCGGATAAGCAACCTCTGCTCGTCACGTTGGGGTCGTTGTTTAGGGGCAATTCGTACGGTCGACTTTCGTCCACCGACCCCACGACCTCGGCAGGCGGGTTGCCACCACCCAACACCTCGTCGAGAACGCGCTCGCTCATGGCAGCTCTCAAACCTTCCGGCTCTCGACCGCTTAACTTCTGGCAGTGGGCCGACTACAACTCGTACCTCGTCTTCCTCGCGCTCTTCTCGCTCCTCCTCCTGCTACTCTACGTCATCTTTAGCAGCTCAACCACCTTCATCGCCGTGTTGGGGTATGTGGCATTGGGACTCGAGTCGACACTGCCGATTCCGCAGCTTATCGCCAACCATCGTCGTAAGAGCCTGGCTGGCTTCCGCGCGAGTGTGTTGCTCGGCTGGCTCGGGGGTGATAGCTTCAAGCTGCTCTACTTTGTGCTCCGCAGCAGCCCCGTGCAGTTTACGTCGTGTGCGGCATTCCAGCTCTCGATCGACCTGGCTATCTTGGCGCAGAGCAGGGTGTATAGGCAAAACACAGAGCGTGACGAAGAGGCTATGCGATCCAACGCGCAGCCAAACACGCAGCAGCAGCGAGCACAGGATGAAATCGAAGAGGACGAGCACGTCCCAACCACATCGCAACCAAAGCCCAAGAACAAGCAAAAGCAAAAGCAAAAGGTGGCGAGCGAGGAGGACGAACTGTTGGATCCTCACCACGTTATTGCCATCGAGGCCGACGATGAAGGCGATCTCTCCAACAGCCGCACCTAAAACCCCGGCCTTTTGAATGCAATAGACAAGGATTTGCCATTCTAAGCGCGGTAGTGACTAGCCAACAAGCTTTTGAATCCAGCTTTGCCTCTTTCCCGCATCGGGGGCCGGAGTACCGCCCGAGTCCAGACTGAGCAGTGGTCTATTCTTCTCGACGCTCTTGTCGAGCCGCAGAGCCTCTTCGGTGCGTTCGAGTGCGAGCTTAAGCGTCTTGGGCTGCATGCTAAACGTGAACCTAAACCATCCCTTTTTCGGATGGTGGTACTGCGCACCGGGAGCCACAAAGACCCCGCAATCCAACAGTCGATCCACAAACTCCTCCTCCCTCCTCGCCGCCTCCTTTTCATCCATTCCGGGGGTGATGTCGATCTTTGCGCTGAAATCGAGCATCACAAAGAAGCCGGCGTTGGAGGGGTAGTAGGGGACACCGGCGAGGCGTGCCCATTCGACGGTGTATTCGTAGGCGCGCGCAAGGCGTCGACGGTTCTCGGCCAGGTACCATCGCAAAAAGGATTCGTCGCAGAGCCATGTGTGCCAGAGCGATGCAGCTGGCGAAGCACTCTGCGACAACAGTCCCACCGAAGCCATGGCTCGTAGTAGTGCCGGGTTGTGTTGGGAGACGAGCACGCCCAGTCGGAACCCGTTGACTGCAAAGTCCTTCGATGCCGACGTGACCACATGCACGTACGCTGGGTCCAACCCACACTCCTTGTCTACATCCACCGACAGGATGCTGTGGAACACCGCTGGGTCGGGTACATCCGTGGTGGTGAAGCACGAGCGCGCATAGATCTCGTCCGACACAAAATGCATCTTGCGTTTGGCGGCGAGTCGGGCGAGTGCGATCACGGTTTCGCGTGGAATGATCGTGCCCGTCGGATTGTGCGGGTTACACAGCAGCAGCGCACGCACCCTCACCCCCTGCTTCGCAGCGCGCTCGTACGCAGCCTCGTACGCCGCCACCGTCTCTCTCGCAAACGCCGTCTTATCCAACCTCTCCCCCGCTACGTCAGGTAACGGCAGATGCACCGGAACCACCTGTGCCTTGGCGCGGCTGGTAAGGTCGTTGTCAAACGCATTGTAGTACGGCGTGCTCAGCAGCACGCCATCGCCCTCGTCGCACAGATTCCAAAACAGCTCGTCCAGGATCCCTGTCGCGCCCGACGCAATCGCAATATGATCCACCGTCACCTCCTTCCTTGGCCTGGGCGAGTGCGTCGTGTCGGGCCAATCGGGGGAGTACTCGTTGAAGAGCTTGGCGATGGCCTCGAGCAGCCGCGTCGAGGTGGTGAACCGATCCGCGTACGTCAGGTCGGCAGGGGAGAGCTGCAGCCTGTGCGGCGCAAGCAGATAGCGCAGCAGCTCGTCGCGGCACAGCGAGTTGTCTGCAATACCGGCGTTGATGATGCCTTGCGGGTTGGTGGCCGGGTCGTACATGTTGGCCAGCAGCCGCTTCAGGCCCTCGGGCAGCTGGAACGTGTTGGCGCCGTGCTCGCCGCGGCGCGAGAGTGTGGCGCTGCCATCGTCGGAGAGCGTGGCGGACGACACGGCAGCAGTGAGCGTGGACAGGTCGGGCGCAGAGGATGCCGGCGCCGCCGAAGCAGCAGGAATGTCGGCCATGGTCGGAATGCGCAGATGAGCGTGGTGGTGGGAGGGGAGGAAGAATGTGCGAGCGGAAGGGGGCGACGGCGTCTTTATCGGAGCGCGCTCAGTCGGCCGGCAGCGAAGCGTAATTGCGAGGCGCAGTTAAAGCGGTGGTCCGGGCGCAGCGCATCGGAGCGGCGTTAGAACAGTCAGCCGCTGCTGCTGCCGCTGCTGTGCTAAAAATGGAGGTGGAGGCCTCATCTAGACCCTGGTGCTCTCCATCCATCCCCGACCTGCTCCTCCATCGACACATCTCTGCAGCCATGGTGATGCGACGTGCAGGCAAGACAGCGCTGGCGGGGCTATCTCGGCAGCCACCCTCACGCTCCGGCCTGCGCAACCTCGCCATTGCTCTCCGGACACCCACAACACGACCGCTTTCCACCACACCCCCTCGCTGGCAGAACGCCAACCACGCCGACGCCGCCAGTGGCACTGGGCGACCAGCTTCGGCTCCACGTAGCGCCAAACCTGCTGCAGCGAGCGGCGACGATGTGCAGGCGGACGTGCTGTCGCGCTCGCGTCGGTCGATGCTATACGTGCCCGGGTCGTCGGAAAAGATGATCAAAAAGTCGCAGTCGTCGTGTGCGGACACGATCATTTTCGACCTGGAAGACTCGGTGGCCGCACACAAGAAGGGTTCTGCGCGCGAGACGGTCTTCCTGGCGCTGGAAGCGGCTGCACGTCCAGGTCCCGAGCTCGCCGTACGCATCAACCCGCCGTCTTCGGAGCGCGCACTGGCCGAGGACGATCTGGACATGATCCTGCCGAGCCAGCAGCTGCAGGCGATCGTGATCCCCAAGGTGGAGCACGAAGACGATGTGCGTGTGATCATCGACAAAGCCCGTGCGCTGCGTCGAGTCAATGATCCCGCACCGCCGCTGGCGCTCGTGCTGTCGGTCGAGTCGGCAGCGAGCCTTTTGCGTATGCCCGTGATCATCGAGGCGGTGCGCGAGCAGCTCGGGCAGCACCCTCGGACGGGCGAGGCTACGGGCGAGACGCAGGTGGCGCAGATTGTGGCGCTGCTGTTTGCGTCCGAAGACTACTGTGCCAGCACGGGGATCCTGCGCACGCGCGATCGCAAGTCGCTCCTCTTCCCGCGCGCGCACATGGCGACCATCGCGAAAGCATACGGCCTCGCCGCCATCGACATGGTGTGCATCGACTACAAGGACGAACCGTACCTCGTGGACGAAGCCACCGAAGCCAAGCAGCTAGGCTACGATGGCAAGCAGGCGATCCATCCGGTACAGGTGGACCCCATCCAGCACACATTCAACCCGACGCAAGAGTCCGTAGTCAGGGCAGCAAGGATTCTGCATCTGTACGAACACGCGAGTCAGACCGAGAACCGCGGCGCCTACGGGCTCAAGGAAAGCGGCGGGGGCATGACGATGATCGACCGACCGATGCTGTTGCAGGCGAGCGCGGTGGTGGACAAGGCGCGCAAGGCGGGCATGCACATTCCCAGCGCCGCCGAACTTGACCAACGCGAATGATGCTCAACTGTATTTGTTGTGGATCAATGAGAAGATGTTCCACCGATACGCTCTTTACTGTGCACCGAGGGCTGTGAAACTGCCGAGCTTGGGGTGGCGGGGCGGAAATTTGTGGTGGACACTTAGGCGCGATGAAGAGGGAGAGAGCGCGGTTCGGGAGCCGTTTATTTGCCGGACTGCCGGCCAAAATTGGGTGGTGGGTGTGCGGGGTAAAAGTGCATAAAGGGCGCACTGACACCGAATCTCTCCACCACCACCCCTCAACCAAGACAAACATGTCGGGCGTCAACAAGGTGCTGTTCTACTTTGACGTTGTATCGCCATGGTCTTATGTCGGCTATGTGATGCTACGTCGATACGAGAAGCTATGGAATCTCGACATTGTAAGCCCGCCCTCCCCACACGCTACCCCGATTCTTCATCTCTGACTGACACGGTTTTGGCCTCGCAGACGTACAAACCCGTTAATCTCGGGTACATTATGAAGGTAAGCCGTCTGCTTGCCTCTGTTCTTCATCTGGGTAGTTGAGCTGATGCGGGGTTGTTGGATAGTTTTCGGGCAACAAGCCGCCTATTACAGTGGCGAATAAGGGCGTATGGATGTGGGCGGAGCGCGAGCGGGCGATCAAGTTCTACGGCGTCACACTCAACCAGCCCAAAGCGTTCCCGATCAACACGATGCATCTACAGACGTTCCTGGACACGCTCAGCGCCTCGGCGAGCAAGAGCGTGGTGGAGCAGGCGATCGAGACGTGTTTCGCGGCCATTTGGCACGACGACAAACCGTGCGCCACACGCGAGGATGTCGAAGCCATCTTGACCCAACTCGACATGCCCAAGTCAAAGCTCACCGAGATCCTGGATAAGAGCATGGACAAACCTGCGCGTGCAAAGATGCAGGAGGAGGCAAAGGTGTTGGTGGAGCAAAACGGTCTGTTTGGTATGCCGAGCTTCGAGATCACGCGTGCCAGCGATGGCGAACAGGCCATGTGGTTCGGCAGCGATCGCTTCGAACATATGGCCGCCTGGTTGGGTCAATCCTACAAGGGACCGTTTGCAAACGATTCGCGCCCCAAGCTCTAGATGCCCAGAACAAATACAGTGCGTTCCAATTTCGGAAAGTGTGAGGGTTTAGGGGAGTGAGGAGAGATGGTGGACTATATCGAACAGCGCTTCGAACTGGTCGAGCGTTTGAACCATGCGTGCTCGGTATCGGCGCAGATGCTCCACGATGCGCACGGGCAGGTCCCAGACATGCGAGTCGGATTCGGCTCGCATGAAGAGTGGTAATGCCTCCCGATCTTCGTGGTTGGAGTGTTTGGAGACGTTGATGACGGCCTGGGCGATGAGTGCAGCTGCAAGGGTGCCTGAGCGACCCACACCGGCCGAGCAGTGGATCCACATTGGCGGCGGCGGGTAGATCTTGGGCATGGGCACCAGCTGGATCTCGCGCATGAGCTGCATCATCATCGTCGTTGGAAACACGCCATGATCCGGCCACGACGTAAGGTGAAACTGCGTGATCCCCCATCCGTTGGCATTCAGCCCCTCGGCCGCCTCTTCGCCGGGCTTGATCTGGATCGTCCGCCGCTCGAGTGTCGCCTCACCGTTCTCGAGCTGTATCCTCGTTGCCGGTTCGCACGTCAACCTCCATCCGTTCTCGAGCACCATATCTGCATCCTCGTCCGGCCAGTACTGATGCGCCTTTGTGCGTCCCTTTTCGACGAGCGGCGTAAGGTTCACCAGCACGCGCACGCCGTGCTTGACAATGTGGGTATAGAACGCCGTGTACGTGGAGGGTAGCGGTGCCTGCGACGCGATGAAGCTCAAGCTGGTGGGATGGAAGGGTGGGATGAACGCCGCGTTGAGGTAGGGACCGGGGAGCAGCGCATGGTCGTATGCGAGAATGTCGCGGTACCGGTTGGCATCGAGGTTGTCCGGCGTGAGTGAGGCGGTGGTGGTGTAGCCGAGCGAGCACTCGGTGAGACGTAGGTGGTCGGTGTAGTCGAGCGCAGAGTAGAGCGACGAGAGCACGCTCCGTGGCGGGCGAGCGCCGAGAGACATGGCGAGCAAAGAGCAGAGGTAGCTATGGAGGAAGCCAAAGTCGAGCCCGAGCCCGAGTTGCGTACGGTTATGGTTTTGGGTTGAGGTTGTGGAGGCCGCGGCCCAAAACAACGGCCAAAAGAGGCTCTGCAGCGGTGCATTCGGTGGTGCAGCGTCGATCTGCGCCAAATTGAAATCAAGCGCGCCCGAATGCATTGAAGCGCAGAGAGAGAGACAAGGCGCACGGCCGGTCGGGCATCGGCAACGCTCCGAGGCTGCTTGCGCTTTGATCTTCTGCCACCACCACCACCGACGCTTTGTTCCCACGCCCATCGCAATCGATACGGCCGCTTTCGATGCTCGCGCGCTGATCGGTGCTGTTCCGAGCGACCATGAAGCGCCGACCATTCGCGCTGGTGGCGGTGCTGCTACTGCTGTTGGCACACGCTTCCCTCGGCCTGGCTGCAAGCAATCGAGCGCATCGCCAGATCGCCTTTTCCGATCCTGCTCTCGCCGCATCCCCAACATCTGAACCCAACGATGAAAGGCAGTGGCATGCGCATGCCAACGCTGCGCTCGTCGACGACGACGATCCTGCGCCCGTGGCGGCGCTCCGACTCTCGCATGCGGGTCTCTACATCAACCAGGCACACGCGCCGTCGCTCATCCACCGGCCCGATCACGACAATGCAACGCACGCCTTCCAGCCCCATCCGCTCGTCGTCCACATGGATCCGGCGCTCTACAGCACTGCGTCGGCCACCGCCTCGATCGGGCCCGTAAGGTTGAGAACGCGCGACCAGGTCATGCTCCACTGCGGCAACGACGTCGGCGGCATCGAGAGCTGCGAATACGACGACCTCCATCCCTCGTTGCGCCCAGCTGCTGCGACGCATATCGAATTCGAGCAAGCCGACGCACTGGATTGCCGCGCAACGCCGCTCTCGGTGGCAGCCGACGGCGCATTCTTCCTCGACCAACGCTCCTGCCCGGGCTGGAGCAAGTACTGGCGCGCCGTCGAGCTCGCACGTTCCACGTCGCCGCACGAGCTGCTCCAGAGCTTCGTCGTGACCATCAACGTGGCCAAGCTGCCGCCGGCTTCGGCATCGTCGCAGTACGAGACGCACCGCTTCTGGATCGGTCAGCTGCATCTCGAGCAGTCGCGTGCGTCGTGGCCGCTCGCCGGCAATGCGAGGGACCGCAGGCCCGGTCAGGACGACCGCACGTGGCATCCGCACGACGTCAATCGCATCGCGGGCGCAATGGAGAATCCCATGATCCCCAAGTCGTCGCTCTTCACCAACGACCGCAACTACGGCGTGTACGTCGACCAGTCCTCCTGGACGCTCGGTGTGCAGATCAAGATCCCACTCTCGATCACCAATCCCCGCGGCGACGATGATGACGATGACGACGACGACGAGGGCAGCGTGCATGCCAACATGATGCTGCCGCCGGAAGAGGTGTTTGCGCCCGTGAGCGGGCAGGTGGTGTGGGCGCGCGACTACACCTTCCGCCGGCCGCCGCTGTTCGGGCCGGCTGCGGGCTTGAACGACGAGGCGAGCTTCTGCGTGATGGTGCGCGACGAGTGGTCGATCGTGTATCAGATCTTTGGGCTCGATGCGGCCACGGTGGGTGTGCGCGAGGGCGACACGGTGCTGCGCGGTGATGTGCTTGGACATGCACTGCGCGAAGGGCTGTCGGTGGAGCCGCCGTCGACTGAGCCTCCGGCCGACCATGCGCCGTCGAAGCCCGACGACGAGGTGTCGTTCTATCCGCACCGCTACCGCACGCTCGAGGTGCGTGTGGCGCGTCCAAACCCCAACTGGAGCGAGTGGAAGCATCCGGACGAGAGCGGATGGCAGTACTTCCACCCGCTGCACGTGTTTACCGAGGGCAACTCGTACCGCTCGAGCATCACGCCGTACGGCTCGCCCACCATCATCTACTTTTCCAAGCCCTCGGTGGATCCGCTCAACACGCCGCCCAATGCGTACGCGACGAGCAACGACTTTTGGACGCCCACGCTCCAGGGTCCCACCGAGATCATCGTTGGCTTCGAGTACTTCCAGCAGACCCCGGGCGATCCTGCGGATGGGATGGAGAATCTGGCGATCTATGCGCTCGACGTGGGCATCCGCAAGAAGCGCACGGGCGAACGCGAAGCTGCGCGTGGCATGGAGTGCGATCTGGGCGGCGATACGGATCCGAGCGGTACGGACGACAAGGATCGAGCGTACTGGCGTACGGTGTTTGAGCATGCCAAGCTGCCCAACAACTGGACACCGAGCGTGGAGGGCGGCAGCGAGTACGGATGGAGGAGCAAGCTGTTTTCGCACTACATGCCCGCCTTTTCGCACGGCCGCTTCTTTCCCGAAAAGATCACGAGCCAGTTCGACGACAAGGAGCGCAGGCTCTACTACTCGGCCAGCCGCACAGTGCGCGGCGAACCCAAGCTGGGCGGCGCGCTTAATGTGCAGTCGATCATCGAGCGCGACGGCGACGAGGGAGGTAGGGGAAAGTACCGCCTCGTGGTGCGCGCCCGCGACTATTGGGGCAATCTTGGATGCCTCGCCTCGGACGTCTTGCTTGCCTGATACATACACAGTCACCAATTGGACCGGATCACAATATGGACTCTCTCTCTTTTTCCTTTTCCTCCTCGGAGCGATGTTGGCGCATGGTGAGATGGGAGATGGTGTTAGGTTCGTGCCGCTGGTCTAAAAAAAGAGGGGGCTGGTGAGCCAAAGGGCGCTTGCGGGCGTCGGCGAACAAACAAACCCGCTCATGCATTCAAAACGCTTTACCGAGGTTCGGATTCGCACCCAGCTCCGTTCCGCATCGTTGACCTCGCTAGACGCACACAGCACCCCGTCCATGGGAGTATGGCGACCATCTTCGGTAGATACGCGAGCTGAACAGCTCGACACGCGGCGAACACGGCGAGGTTTGACTTATGTCCAGCCAAGAGGCGCCGTTCCAGACCCGCCTGCCGCCCCTGACAGCGCCTGAGAGAATCGCCCGAGACACGATTCTCGACCTCGTTGATTCAGCCCCTGCGCCGCGCCGCGCCGCGCCTCAGCCAGCCACTCGACGCCCGCAATGCACGCTGCGACGCACGCTGCATACGGTCGATCCTGTCTACTCATCAATCCGTGCACGCCCATCCAAGACAGCGCTCGGCACTCACCACACTCAGAGCTTGACCCGCGTGTGTCGAGATGGAGGCAGTGGGAATTGGGCGAGAAATTGAGAGCGGGGGGCCAAGGCGGTGTAACTTTGCGAGGCGTGGCGTGGCGGTGATGATGAAAGGAAGGGCGGCACGCAGTTCTAAAGTCACACCCACCGGCTCCCACGCGCATTTCCGCCCAGAACGTCGCACTTCCGCCCGCCTTCATCTCCTCACCTCCTCACCTCCTCATCACCCACGCATCCCACTCGACGCCACCTCCCCAAAGGTGTATGCGCCATTCTCTCTCGGACCGCTTCACCACCCCTTCCCCACTTGCAACGACGTCGTACCAACACGCATGCTCCGTCTCTCTCGTCCTGGATCAACATCGCCCACCGTATCAGCTCCACTCGTTCCTGCACTGCAACTCCGGACCTGCATGCACGCCTTGCTCTGAACCCTTCATCGTCATTCTCTTGCACACGCGGCGTCCTCCCACCCACCCCTGATCCACCCGCAGAAACCTTGTGCTCTTGTCTGCATCGGCCGCCGTCCATGTCTTTCTCGTCCTCTGCTAGCTCGTAACTCGCTTCCATAAGCTCAGGCCTCGTCGCTTGTCGCGCAACCCTCCCTCGGATCTCTAGCTTGGTCCCGCCCACTCGCTCGGATCCTGCACCGGCCCCAACGCTAGCCGCACGCTTGGGCCCTCTTCCGGCTCGGGCCGCTCTCTTCCCACATGCCCTTCACTCGCGCTTACTCGTCGCAGCACAGCGCAACCATGGATCCGAGCACCAGCACCCACGCCTCCTCCTCCTCCCACCTTCCCTCTTCGCCGCGTCAAGCCGACTCTCCCCACCATGCCTACGCGAGCCCAGACGCACCACTTGAACACGACTCGTCGCGTTCCCGCCTCTTTTCGTCCGGCCGCAAGTCGCCAGACCCATTTCGTCGCTTTCGCCGCAACTCGAACAACTCGCTGCACATCTTGACCGCTCCACCCACCCTCGACGCTGCTCAATCTTTCGATGCGCAGCAATACCACCTCGAACGTCAGGACCGCTCCATCCCCGACTATCCCGCCGCTCTCAACACGCCCCGCTCTGCTCCGCCACCCCTCCCGTCGCCCTCCACCAAACCTGTCTTCCAGCGTCCAAAACGCACAAAGTCGTCCAGCATCTCCATCCTCTCCTCCGGCTTGGCCAGGCGCCCAAAGGACTCGCTACCGCCCTCCTCCTCCTCTCCGGACGTCCGAAGAAGACATCGCAAGAGCGCATCCCTCTCGGGCTCCGACGTCGACTTTTCCTCCAACAACAACATCCTCGACTCGACCCACTCACGTCCCGCTACGCCAATGATGCGCCCAGCCTCGCCTTCGCCCTCCCTCTCCGATAGCCTCGCATTCCCGCCTGCCTCGGCCGCCTACCGCTCCAAACAGCACAAGCAGGCTTGGTATCAGGCCCAACAAAAGACCATCGAGCTCGACGGAACATACAACCGCGGCGTACACTCCCCAGAATCCGGCAGTGCGCATCTCTTCCCGCTCAATGTCACCACCACACAGTCCAACAGCGGCCCCGCCACCGATCGCGCGCGCAGCTCACCCACGCACTCGCGTTCCGACCGTCCCGTCGTAGAGACCTTCCTGTCCGAGGAGGAGATGCTCGCCGCCGGAATCCACATCATCCGCAGACGCGACCAAGACGCTGCTCCAACCCCTCCCGCTAGCCACAAACACCTCCCCTCGCTCTCCACCACCACCCTGGCGCCCACAAAGCCACCACGCTTGGACGGCGCCGATCAGCCCGACTTTCTCGAGCTCATCGACTCGCCCATCCCCAGCAAACACGCGAGCCCGCTCCTCGGCCAGCTTGTCGATCCGCCCGCCTCGTCAGCCACACTGCAACGCGCCATCTCGCACACACACGCAAAGTCCAGTAGCGGCAGCATCTCCATGTCCTCGGCAGACTCCAACGACTACCTCCCGCTCTCGAACTCCCAGCACCAAGTGCACCGCGACGACTCCTCTTCACTCAACAATGGCAGCACAAGCAGCCTCGGCAGCACCGGCAAACACTCCTTCTCCTTTGCCAAGCTCCGGCGCAACGGCGCAAAGAACAAGGACGCCGCTTCCTCATCCCGCCCCTCCACCGCCAACTCGTCCAACGAGGAGGTCAACAGCGTCAAGTCGTTCCTCTACCCCACGCGCGCAGCACAGCCTCAGCCTCTCCAGACGCACCAGTCTCGCCAGCAGACGCCCGTGCCGGCCGCACCGCAGTCCGATGCACCGGCGCCGGCTGCTGCTTCGCCACCAGGCTACCTTTCGCCAGGTCCCAGCTCCTCCGCCTCCCCCTTCCTCAACAAGCACTCTGCTACAGTTGGACGTGCCTCGGGCAGCTCCGTCGCCGGACACACCGCCAAGAACGGCCTCACCCAGGTCTTTGGCGGTGGCTCGGGCGCCGCTTCCCTCGGTCCATCGTCCTCGGCAGCCAGCGCTCGGGGTCTCGCATCCACCAACGGCGTTCCGCCTCCCAAGCCGCCAAAGCCCAAGCCGAGCTTGCTCGCTGCCTTTCCGCGCTCGGACAACGCCACGCCGGGTGTTTCGATTTCCGCGCCCACGTCCGCCAACCTCGACTCGCGCTATCCTGTCGACGGCGCCTCGCGCAATCTGCTCAGTCTGCCTGGCCAGGCGGGCTACCCACAAGAACCGGCAGGTAACAGCATCTATCGCAATATTTCACACTCGCGCTCTCAGGAGGCCGTGGCCGAGGCCAGGCTCGATGCCGAGGCGTTGCGCGCGTCTGCAGGCACTCCTATGCCTCCGCCGCGCAGACTCAACCAGCACCGAAATGGCCTCACTGGTGCTGATGCAGCCGGCTCGCCCGCATACTCGGCGTACTCGAGCTCTGCCATGGGCAGGAGCACATCAGGCGGCGCTGGCGGCGTGGTCGGCGCGCTGGGCCATGTCGGCCAGTTTGGTGCTGCAATGGGTCGCAAGGGCTGGGACTTTATGAAGACGCTCCAGACCTCCAATGCCGCTGCCACCTCGGCTCGCAACGGCACTCATGCCTCCGCTTACCGCGCTGGGGGCGCTGGTGCATCGTCAGCTTCGAGCTTGGCCGCCGCAGCTGAAAACGAGCCGACTCGTCAGTGGCTGCTGCTGCTCGAGGCGCCCGAGTCGTCGCGTTCCGCCTCGCTCCGCGGTCCCGGCGAGGTGTTTGGCGCGTCGCTCCAAGACGCCGTCTTGCGCTCGCGCCTCTCGAGCATCTCGACCGACAATGTGCGCGCCGAAGACCACCTCGGAGTGCCAGATCTGGGCCAAAAGTTCAGTGCCAACTTTCTCGACTCGCCCGGCGCCACGCCGCGTGCCTCGGTCGCCAGCGCGGGCGCTGGTGAGCCCGTGGACCGCGACGAGGCGCGTCACCTGTATCTGCCGCGGCTCGTGGTGCGCTGCATCCAGAGCCTGGAGCGCTGGGGTCCGTCTGAAGAAGGCATCTACCGCATCAGCGGCCGCAGCAGCCACACGGCCAAACTGCGCGCGCACTTTGCCGACCCACGCAACGACCTGCGTCTCGACGAGATCAGCCCGGCGGACCTGGACATCAACTCGGTATGCAGCCTGCTCAAGAGCTATCTGCGCGAGCTGCCCGACACGCTCATCCCGCCCGCGCACACCGCACAGATGGATGCGGTGGTGGCGCGCCTGTTTGCGGGCATCGACTCGTCGGCGCCTGCAGCCGAAGTGCAGAGCGCGGCGGCAGGCAAGGCGAGCGAGGCGCGTGCGGCGCAGATCCCTGTCGAGCACGTCGCCAAGGAGCTGACGCCGCTGGTGCAGAAGCTGCCCGTGCACAACTGGTACCTGCTGCGCGAGCTCACGCACCATCTCGGGCTGCTGGCGCAGCCGGACGTGGTGGCGCACACCAAGATGCCGCTGAGCAATCTCACGCTCGTGCTCGCACCGACGCTGTCGATCTCGCTCGCGCTGCTGCAGGTGCTGGTGCGCCACCGCGATGGCGTATTCGGCGCTGCGCCGCACGTGGACGTCGCTTCGGCGGCGGCGAGCGCGCTAGCGGGCGCGTCGAAGGACAGCGCACCTGCGTCCCCCGCCAAGGGCGTGCGGCCGCCGCGGCCGGTCAAGCCGGAGCGGCTGAGTGGCGCGAGCAAGCTGCCGGTGATGGTGCGCAAGCGCGCGTCGTCGATGGGCTTGGGTGCGTTGCTGTCGTCGCCGACGTCCAAGACGGCGGATGCGCGCGACCGGGTGCGCGAGCAGCACCGGCGCACGTCTTCCACGACGCCGTCGCTCGAGCTGCCTGCGGACATTACGGCGTCGGTGGCGTCGGGCGCGCGCACGCCGCCGCCGCCGTCGCCGCGCGCCGACGAGCCGTACGAGCGTCCCTCGACGTCGCTGGGCCACTTTGAGGCTGCGCCGGCGCGCGCGCGGCCGGGACACGCACGATTCGGCTCGCGCGATGCCGCGCTGCGCTTCGACGCACTGGCTCTCGACGATCGCGGCGACGAGCGTGGCGATCAGGACACGCCGATTGCGCGGTACTATGCGCGCATCCGCGAAGAAGCCGAGCTTGCGAGCACGGGGGGCGACGACGTCGCGCCCCGCGATGGCGCGGCGACGCCCGTGGCGCCGATCGTGCCGGTGGCGGGCGAGATGCATCGGTACTGGGCGGAAAAGACGGCGGCGGGGCGGAGTGGGCGCACGAGTGCGCTCGACCGCCCGCGGCCGCCGACGTCGGGCTCGGCGAGCTTTTTTGCGGGCAGGAGCAGGAGGCAGGACTCGGTGAACGGGCTGGCGGCGTTCAAGCCGGGCGCGCACGAGAGTGCGATTCCGTCGCTGGTGCGCAACGGCGACGAGGGCACGACGCGGCCGCTGCACATTGTCAAGCGCACGCGCGCGCGCGGTGCGTCGGATGCGTAGAGCCTAGCACTGGAATGCCATGGCGTTGCGGCGTCAGTATGGAGCGAGACCTGGGTGGGACCGTGTAGGTGAGACTTTGGATGGGTGAAAGTGCGGCAGAGGGATGTGATTGCGTTGCGGTGTCAGTTTGTACAGAGAGGGAGGCGGTCGAATGTGTGAACCAAGCGACAGAATGTCATAGGCGTTGCGGTGCAAGTATGGAGCGAGGCCGAGATGGGACGGTGTGTACAAGGCGAAGCGTGAAGAATGTCGCTGAATGTCACTTGCTTATGTCGTCAGCATGGGCAGAAAAAAGGGGAGGACTGGTGTGAATTCAGCGGAGTGCTTTCATGCCTGGAAACACGTTCGCGAGATGTTATTGCTTTGCGGTGCGAGTCTGAACGGAGAGGGTTGGGCTGGTGTGGTGGCAGACGATGTCTTTTTTGAGCTAGCGATCCAGTGTGAAATGCCGCAAAGTCATTGCATTGTGGTGGCAGTTGTGAGACCATATTTTGTGGGGGGGTTTCGCGACGAGGTAAGATTGCGTGAAACACGTCAGCGAATGCCATTTCGTTGTGGCGTTTTCAACAGAGCACAGATGTGAGCGAGACCATGCTTTTTGGCAAGCTTGACACGCCATTGTTCAACGTGCTTGTTTGGTTGGTGGCAGCGACTCAACGCAATGTCATGGCGTTGTGGTCCCAGTACAAACCCACACCCGAGGGTGGGCTGGGTGTGAGTGCAGCGTCTGCGTTAGAATCCGTGAAAGTCGCGGAACATCATAGCGCCGCGGTGTCGGTATGATCCACAGCCAAGGTGTCGATTGAATACGTGAAGCATGTGGCTGACAGTCATCGCATTGTGGGGGTCAGCAGGAGAGGAAAGGAGGGGGGGGGGGGGGGGTTCGACTGCGCCACGCACGCCACGATGTGTCATTGCGGTTGTGATGCCGTCTGAATCGTCAGACTACGTTCTGTGGGGTGCCCCCGAGGTACGACTGCGTGAAACCAAGCGACGGAATCACATAGCATTGAGGAGAGAGTATGATCAGACCAAGAGGCGGTCGAGTGTGTGAAGCGTACGCGGCGACGTCATTAGGTGGGCTCAAGTGGGCGCATCGCGGTGCCAGTATATAGTATAATGTGAGACAATCCTGTGCGGGGTGCTTAGAGGTATCAAGGCGTGAAGCACGCCCCCTCAATGCCAGACCTTGGTCTCTTCAACACGAAGCGAGACTCAAGTTGGCTTGACGTGGCTGAATCTTGGAATGCGTCAAGCACGCCAAGAACTGTCATTGCATTGCGGTATCGATATGAATGGACAAGGAGGCGGTCAAATGCGTCAAAGCACGCACCCGAATGCCATTGCGCCGAGGTGCCTCTGCGAACGGGAAAAGGGCTGTGGGTGAGACGATGTCTGGTGGGCGTACGACAAGGGATGAAGGACTAAGGTGTCGCGCTCGAGGCCATTTTGTTCCAGTGTCAGGATGAACGCAGACCTCGGGGTGGGGTGGGTTTCACGAGACGTTGGATGCGCAACGCGTGGGGGTGGAGTCTGGCCGTGTGGTACTGATCAGTTCTTGACGATGGGGTTTCGCTGTGGAATGGGCAAGGCGTGAAGATAGCGAACCTTGGTTCGAGAAGGCTGCGTCGCAATGGCGAGGATGCGTGCGCCAAGAAACGCGTTGATGCTGCTCCCACTCGACAAAGGCTGTAGCATTGTGCCGAATTGATGCACCCAGCTGCGTGCGACGCTGTCTGCATTCGTCTCTAGCAAAGTCTGGAGCTTGGGGGTTTGGGGATTCAGACCATGCTTTGCACGCGTGGCGCACAAGGCTCGACGCGGGCCACAAGGCGCTTGCGTGGGATCTGTGCGGTAGGCTGCCGACCATTGTGCTTTGGTGTGAACGACAAGATAGCGACGAGTTGCATACGCCCTTAAAACACGGGCCGGCCATTCCAGCATTTCGCGGGGGTGCTGTTTGCCAAGTGCAGAATCGGTGCCGCTTTCAATGCTGCCAGTGGTGTCGCCACGCATCTTTGCCCCCGCCGTATCTACAGAGATCACATTGATCCTCGTCGAAGCCAAGATTGCTCGCGCCACGCTACCTGCGCTGCGCTGCTGTGTGGCGATGCTGAGTGGTCTGCAGTGCGATGCCGCCTCGCCAGCCACGACACCATGCCACACAAAGGTTCTCACCCCAACTATGCGCTTTACACTACGACACAGACATCACTGATCGCGTACAGACTGGATTCAAAACTTGCGCGCGACAGGCGTGATCACCTTACCCGGCTTCGCCGTAACCCTGGGCAGGGTCAACCTCTGTTTCTCGGTCAGAGTATTCCACTCCTTACCCAGTGGCTGGTTCATTGCCGCCTTGTACTGCGCCACGCTCGTGTAGGGGTAGGGCAGATCCTTGCGCGTAAACTTGTCCTGCTTCTTGTCCCGCTTCTCGGCAATGATCACATGCGCCATCTTGGCGTCCTTCCTCTTGTCCCTATCTACACCCTGCACCTTCTTGACAAAACGAGGGTTGGCGCTCGGTGCACGCGTACCGCGTCCCGTCCAGGATCCCCATCCCGGCAACCGCGTATCCACTTCTTTGCTCTCGTCCGCCTCCATCGCCGCTTCCTTCTCAGCAGCAAATTCGGACACCACATCGTCGGTGGCAAATGCAGAAGCCACAAGGTCGCGCTGTTGAAGGACGACTTTGCTGCGACTGCGCGGGATCGGCATGGGCTGCTCCTCGTCGGAATCCGAATTGTGCAGGAGCGTGGAGGTGTTGATGTCAATCGCGTCGTCCGAACGCTTAGCTGCGAGGGACGATTCGGAGCGCGAGGCTGCTTTGGATGCTCGCAGCGCCGACTTGGTGGCCGCGAGCGAAGAGGCCGACTGCGCAGCGAGGGACGAGTCGTTCTTCTTGCGCGAGAGCTTGCTCGCCTGACCGCGCGAATCGATCATCAGCCACGGATTCTCCTCCTCCTCATCAGCAGCAGCGGCGGCAGCGGTGGCGGACTTGGGTTTCTTGCGCGACGTTGCCGAGCCTCCCACTTCCACTCCTGCCGCCGCAGTCACGATGCTAGGAACATCCTCCACCGCAGCGGGGGCTGCTGGCGCACTGGGGGTCTCGACAGCGCGAGGCGTGGGGTTGGCAGACGCAGCACCGTACATCGCCCGGCCCTTGTTGCCCTGCACATACGTGGCGCGCGACTCCGCCTTGGCCGGGGCGGCAACCTCGTCGTCGCTGCCGGGTTGCTCGGCGCCGAGCTGGTGCATCTCGCTGACAAAGTCGTCCACGTCGCCGCGGATCCCGGCGTACTGGCGCTCGCGCGCGTCCTTCATAAACTTCATGCCGTACACGCCCTTTTTGCCACCCACACGCTCGAGCTCCTCCTCGTCTCGCTTGCGCCTCGCATCCTCCTTGACCTCCAACGCCTTGAGCTCGTCGAAGGCATCGCGGGCCACCTCGGCCTCGTCCACCTCACCGCCATCGGAGTAGTCGTCCGAGTCGTCGCTGTCGCCCATCTCGCGCGCCTCGATCTTGGCACGCAGTTCGGTGCCGCGGTTGAGCTGCGCCTCGAGCTCGTTGCGCGCCTCCTGGTTGTGCTCGCCGTGCCGGGCGTGGAGAATGTTCTTGGCCCACTTGGAGGTGTTTTTGTGCTTTAGCGTCGCCCTCTCCCTCGCGCGGTCCCTCTCTGCCTTCATCCTCTCATCCATCCCCCCCTCTTCGTCGATTTCGTCCTCGCTCTCGAGTTCGGCCATCTGCGCCTTGAGACGTTCCTTGTCCTTGCGGTGGATCTTGCGGTACGCCTTGGACTTGATCTTGGCGACGCGCTTGGCTTTTTGCTCGGCACGGAAGAGGAGCATGCGCATGCGGCGCAGCTCATCGCGCCTCGCGCGGGCTTCGTTGGGATCGAGCTTGTTCATCGCCAGATCCTCCTGCTGCGCAAGCTGCTTCTCGGTAAGTCCGCCGCTGTCGAGCATGGCGGCGATGGAAGCCTCCATGTCGGTATCGGGTGTAAAAGTGGCGACGAGCCCCGAGGTGGAGGCCTTGGTCTTGGCGGGCTTCTGCAGCGGGAAGGAGAGGTGCTCGGCATCGCGCAGCCGGTTGATCGTCGGCTGCCAGCCCTGCACCTCGTCGCGCGTGATCGAGTAGGCGCCCTGACGGTCCAGCCTGTCCTGCACCACCGATGGCAGCGGGGCAGCGAGAGCACCGCCGCCCTTTTTGGAGGCGACGGGTGCGGAGGAGGGGTCCTTGGCGTTGGCGAGCAGCTTGGTCGACTTGCGCACGTCGGCAAAGTCGACATTGGCGGAGAGCGGCGACATAAAGTCCTCGAGTCGCAGCGTGGAGCCGGAGTGGGTGGCGGCGAACTCGGTTTCGGGGATGGCTTCGGTGCGTTCGGAGAGCACGACACGGCGCGAGCGCTTGGCGGACGGCTCGGCGTCCGAGTCGGCTTGGTCGTCCGAGCCCGAGTCGGAGCCGGCTTGACGCTTGGAGCCGGCGGCAAACGACTGGATATGCTTGGCGAGCTTGGAGCTGGTCTCGTCGTCGTCGTTATCGTTGTCGTTGTCGCTGTCTTCTTCGTCGTCCGAGCCGTCGGACTCGCCGGATGCCGAGTCGAGCATGCGCGAGAGATCCATCATCCCGCCATCCTCGTCGTCGTCTTCACCCTCGCCTTCCTCAGCGTCGTCATTGTCGTCGTTGCGGCTGGACTTGTTGTTGGTGCGTCTGCCGAATGTCCAGCCGTCAAACTTTTCGTCGTCGCTCTCGCCGAACGCCTCGTCCGAATCGAGCTCCTCGTCGGTGCCCTCGATGCCGTCATTCAGCTCGTCGTCCGAGTCGAACACCTTGGGACCGACGGGCTTATCGTCGTCATCGGACTCGTCGTCGTCCTCCTCCTCATCGTCATCATCAGCGCGGCGACGTCGGGGCTGCTTGCCCTTGGCCTGGGAGGGGAGGTCGGCGTAGTCTTCGGAGTGCATGCCGGCTGTGGCGCGACGAGCCCCACGTCCCTGCTTGGCTGCAGCCGAGGTGGAAGCCTGCGCAAAGTCGTAGACGTCGTGGAGGCCGCGTGGGCCGTCTGCGCTGGGACGTGGGCGGCGCGGCTTGTTGGAGGTCTTGTTCGAGTATGCGGAGGACGAAAAGGGAGCGGCAGGGTCGGAGGTGGATGTGGCTGCGCGTCGGGACGGGCCATTGGCGCCGCTGCGGCCACTGCGCTGTGTCCTCGCCATTGCTGAGCAGAGTAGGCGAGATGGTTAGGTTTGATGGTCGAGAAGCAAGAAGCAAAGGTGGTGATTTGCCGGCGCAGAGTGGCAACAAATTTTGACGGCACTGCGCCTTTTTTTTGGTGGGGCTCTGCTGCGACTTTTTTTTTGTGGAAAAATTCTCGTTGAAAAAGAAGGGTCTGCGTCGAAATGCCCGACTATTTTTTCTTCTTCTTCTCGCCGCTGTCCGCCGCTGCATGTGGAGAGAGAGAGAAAGAAAGAAGCTCAACTCGGCTCTTCTTCTCGTCGCCCTCCTAACCTTGCCATCATCCACACGCCTCTACGCCTTGTCGCACGTCGCTCATCCGGCTTCCAGAGCAGTCAGCCACCATGCGTCCTCTCACAGAAGAAGAGACCAAGACGCTCTTCGAGAAGCTCGCCAACTACGTGGGCAAGAACCTCGTGCACCTCATCGATCGACCCGAGGATCCGCACGTCTTCCGCCTTCACCGCGACCGCGTCTACTACGTCTCGGAGGCGTCGATGCGTCTGGCGGTGTCGATCGCGCGTCCGAACCTCATGTCGCTCGGCACGTGCTTTGGCAAGTTCTCCAAGACGGGCAAGTTCCGTCTGCACGTCACGTCGCTCGACTACCTCGCGCAGCACGCCAAATACAAGGTGTGGATCAAGCCCAACGGCGAGCTGCCCTTCCTGTACGGCAACCACGTCGTCAAGGCGCATCTCGGAAGGATTACGGATGATACTCCGGAACACGCGGGTGTCGTCGTGCTCAGCATGAGCAACACCCCGCTTGGGTTTGGTGTGACCGCTAGGAGCACCGTGGATACAAGAAAGCAGGATCCTACGAGCATCATTGTCTTCCACCAGGCCGATGTGGGAGAGTATCTTAGGGACGAAGATACGCTCTTCTGAGCTCATAGTCACAGGATTCGACGCACCAACCATACTTGTACTTTTAGCTTGCAACCGGGCCCATCGGCATCCGGCAATCGCACTTCTGTCAGAGACCCATTGCAGCGGCCGATGAAGCAGAGCGCCATCGCAGCGCCCTATGAAGCAGAGCAGGCTGTGTGCGGCAAATCCACTGTAAGAGATCCATGAACCGCTGCTAGAGTGGTGCGAATTTCTCCGCCTCAAAATGGCCTCTTGCACTCCACATGGATGAGGCGAGAAATCAAGCTGAATCGCACGCCAGAAGCGTCCGCCTTGCACGCCATCTATCCTTGTGTCATGCCACCATCTCTTGGCTCGAGCATGATTGATCAGGGTTCTTTGGCGGTTGTTGCCTTGTCGCGCCTTCTCGGCTGGCTATACACACTTGCATGGTCGCTGTCGTTCTATCCGCAAGTGATCCACAACCACACAGCGCGCTCTACGCGCGGTCTCTCATCGGACTTTGTTGCACTCAACGCCGTTGGGCATGCATCCTACCTGGCCTACAACACTTTACTACTCTACTATGCTCCCGTTCGTAAGGCGTATCGTCATACACATGGTGGTCGGGATAATGTGGTGCAGTTCAACGACTTTGCATTCTCACTCCACGCCACCCTACTTGCCCTCATCACCCTTGCCCAATACCTCCGATACCGTAAAAACGACCAGGAAGTTTCAAGACCCGTCAGACTAGGCCTCGCAGGTGCACTTACAGCTGGCGTCTTTCTGGCAGGTGCAAAACGCCTCAAGCTCGTCAACTGGTTGCATATCGTCAACGCCTTCTCGAGCTTAAAGCTGGCAGTAACTCTGACCAAGTACATTCCGCAGCTCAAGTTGAACAGAGATAGAAGGAGTACACAGGGCTTTGCCATCGAGAATGTTTTGCTCGATCTGGCAGGTGGAAGTCTTAGTCTGGCTCAACTCGTCCTAGATGCGGTAGTGATGCAGGGAAGTTGGTCGGGCGTCGCTGGGGATTGGGGTAAACTCGGACTCGGTTTACTCAGTTGCGCGTTTGATGCGGCGCTCATGTACCAGCATTACATCCTCTATCCCCAACACGAGTCCGATTCGCAGGAACCGTCGGAAACGGATCCCCTCCTCCCATCTTCATCGCGCTAGACAAACGACGAAATGGAGACTAGATTCGCAATGTCAGATGATGGTCACTGCGAGCTGTCCGCTTTGCGCTTGACACCAAATGCCAGACGGAACGGTGCATTGCCCGTACTCGGTGCTGAGTCGGTCGAAGACGCAATCGGTCGGAATCCTCCTCCACCCACCGCAGTTGCTGTCGATGTGGAAGGTGCAGCAGGTGTTGCGCTTCCGATCCTCGCCCATCCTCCACCCGTGCTCGTCGTCACCGTCCCCTCCCCAGCCGCATCGGATGCTGCAGTGCTCGACCCCACCTCTGTCATGCTTGACATGATCTCCCCGTCCTTCTTTGACTTCTGCGATCGCTTGGGTTTGTGCAGCTGCAAGCCGTCCTTTGATTTGCCGTCGAGCAGATCGTTCTCCTGGGGTGCTGAATCGCGGCTGCCCACACTGAGCACCATGTGCGCCTTACCCGTGCGCTCGCTCCTGCTCTGGAACGCCGCCATCATGCCAGTGGGCGTGTCGCCCGCCGCCATGCGCTCGCGCTTCTGCTCGTCCTCGATCCGCTTCAGCCGCTTCTCGGTCTTCTTGGTGCCCGGTTTCTTGCCGTGGAAGACGTGCGACAGATGCTTCCACGCCTCCTTCTGGTTCAAATCGCGCCCGAACTCGTCATGGTACTTGATCGACACATCCGGCTTGTAGTCCCGGAAGCGCTCCTGAGCTAGACGCGCATCTTCGACCTCCCGAGATCGGTTGTGGGCTTCGCGCGTCGCTTGGTCGACCGACGATCCGGACGCTTTCGATTGCTGGCGCTCGGTCGAGCGCAGTTGCTCTTCAAGACGACGGGAGGCGAGCCACGCATCGTATTGGCGCTGCTGCTGCTCGCGTGTGGCTAGCTCGGCGTCGACGTGCGGAACCATACCCTGCTGCCGAAGGAATGAGAGTGTGCTTGCCATACCCCGGCCGATCAGTGGCTCGCTCGCGTCGCCATCCAGATCCGAGGCTTCGGGTTTGACAGCAGCGAGCGCCTCGCCTTCTTCGGGCTCTTCTTTGACCTCGACGGCACCAGGCGCAACATCGGCTTCGTCCCGTGCCTTGATGTCGGAAGAGTTGAGTTCGCGCATAGGCACGTCACCCGCGTCGACCGATTCCTCTCGCTTCACCTGCACCTCGCCCAACGATGCAACGGGCGATTCTTGCTTCACCGCTCGAGCGCTCGATCGCATCTCGCTCTCGATGGGTCGCTCGCGGATCGCACGCACAAACTCGCTCGTCTCGTCAAATGTTAGGCCGCCCTCGCCCTCCTCCTGCTTGATGGCGCCATTGGCTACCATCGGCGACGCTACACCGTTGGACGTTCCCGCCGCAGCCTGCTCGGCCTCCTCGGCCGCGCGCTGTTCAGCGAGGCTCTTGGCGATCATCTCAGGCGTCATCTTTTTGAACGTCTTCTTGGCCTTGAGTCGGCGCGACTTGGCGAGCGAAGCCTGCAGCTCGTCGTCGTCCACAAAGTTGTCCGTCTGCTCGCGCCTCGTCGCGCGCGCCACTGGCTTCGAGTCTTGCATCTCCACATCGGGCGTCGCATCAGCCTCAGCCGCAGCAGGGGTCGACGCAGCGCCACGTGGGGTATCGTCATCGTCATCGTCAAAGCTGATCTTGACCTTGGCTGCCTTCTTGCGCTTCTTGGCCTTGGGCTTCTTGAATCCCACATCGCCCTCTTGGAGGTAGTCCGAGACCTCCTGGTTCTTGGCGTAGTCGAGTGTGAGCAGCTGCTTGTTGTCGCGCCGCGCCGCCTCTTCGGCCTCCTGACGCAGTCGAGCCTGGCGGTCGGCGACAGAGACGCTCGCACCGAGGCGGAAGCCCGAGTCGGTAGCAGAGTCGAGTTCCGACTCGGGCAGGTCGGCGTCGTACTTGGACAGCACGCCCTTCTTGCGACCCAGCAGCATCTCGTCGTCGTCCAAGCCAGAGTACTCCCTGACACCCTTTTTGCGCTCCATGTTCTTCTGGTCGCGCTCGGCCTGATCAAGCGCAGCGTCCATGAGCTCGTCATCGCCGTCGTCGAGCACGTCGTTATCGCGCAGCGTGAGGATGCGCTCTTCGCCTTCGCCGAATTCGTCCGCATCGTGGCGGACGCGCAGACCGACGAGGTCAGTGTCGCGGTACTCTGCCTCTGCACGCGCCTCCTGCTCTTCCAGCTCCTTGGCTCTGCGAGCCGCATGCTCCTTGGCGCGCTTCTTGGACTCTTTGATCCACCGCAGCGTGTCCCTGGACGACGACGCAGAGGCATCGCCAAGCGTCGGTTCGGGATCGCCGAGTGTGGGGCCATTGAGACGACGAGCAGCGTCGCGCTTTGCCTGTGCCCGCGCTAGCCGTTCGCGCAGCTCGGCATCTTCGCGCTCGCGCCGGTCGCGCTGCTGCTTCTGCTGAAAGTTCCTCGCAGCGACTGCATCCGAGTCTAGCTTGGGAGTAGCGTCTTCCTGCGCGGGCTTGGAAGACGAGGAAGGCGCATCGTCGGCAACAAGAGGCTTGAGGCCGAGCGAGATGCGGAGCTTGTTGGTCTCTTCGAGCGAAAGCTCCTCCTTCTGAAACTCTGACATGGCGTTGTGAGCTTGAACGCGGCTTCTTCGCTGTATTCAGAGTCTCTTTGTCTATGCTCACCCTTGTCGAGACCAAGCCTTCCGTCAAGCAGTCGCTGAGGAGAGGGAGATGGCGAGAAGGAGGAGGAGAATGGATGCTCAGCCTCAAAATCGCGACTTCCGGGCAGGGTTCAAATCGGCCGATTGCGACTCATGCAGAGGCCCGCCCGATCGATGTAGCAATCGGAGAGGCTAGGGCGCGGGTGGATGAGTGTGGCTTTTTGGCCGATTCGGGATGGATTGCCAAAAATGGCTCGCGATGAGGTGCCGAATGACGCACTTCTGCTGCGCAGCTCCAGTCACCCGTGCATGCGCTTCCCAGCCTGGCCTTTGAGGGACCAAAATGGAAATGCACGCCCCGCCCGTCACCCAAAGTGGAGGAAGAGATGGCTTTTCCAGTAAAGGCGGCTGCTGCGGGCCAGTCTGGGGTCTCAAATCGGCTCGCGGGCGTGAGACAGCTTCGATACTGCGAGCTAGCCAGAGCGGCATTCCTTCGCTTTGAGCACAGAGGGAGCTGAGAGCGCTGGAGCCGGTTGCGTCGCTCGAGATTGCGCCGCCGCGTTTATCTATGAAGGCTTGATTGGCTTGTCTTCATTCTTGGCACCCATCCACCATCCACGTCTTCCCATCCGCATCCACTACCACCACCTAGACACCACTTGCAATCCCATCGTCATGTCTTCGTACGCCGATATCGCCGCCGAGAACGCGCCGCCCCAGTCGCAGCAGCCGCAGCCGGACCAGGGCTACCTCGAGGGCCACAACGAGTCGTCCACCGGTCCCAACCCGAACGCACCGGACGTCAACAGCGGCAAGGTCAACGTAGTCCCCTCGGATTCGGACCTCGAGCACCTCAAGACGCAGTCGCAGGAGGCGTACGACGAGGCCGTCGCCAAGGCGCGCGAGCAGCGCAAGCAGCTCGAGCAGGACGCGCAGAAGGCGAGCAACGCCGCCAAGAAGACGGCCAACGACGCGCAGAAGGCTGGCAAGGACGCCGCCGAAGACGCCAAGAAGGCAGGCAAGGAGCTGGCGGACGACGCCAAGAAGACGGGCAAGCAGGTCGCCGACGACGCCGAGAAGCTGGGCAAGGAGGCGAAGGCCGAGGCGGACAAGTTTGGCAAGAACGCACGTGCCGAGGCCGAAAAGGCAGGCAAGAAGGCGGGCGAGCTGTACGAAAAGGGCAAGAAGGAGCTCTCCAAGGACACCGAGGCGCTCAGGAAGCGCGGCGAGGAGGGCGCCAAGAAGCTCAAGAAGAAGGCGGACGAGGCTGAGAAGGAGCTCGAGAGCTGGTGGAACCAGTTCTCGCGCGATCCCAAGCAGTGGGTCCCCGCCCTCGCCGCCGCCAACGTCGCCCTGCTCGGCGGTCTGGGCATCTACGCCTACTCGAACCGCGACAACGTCCAGCGCACCGACCGCCGCCTCATCAGCGCCGCCACCGTCGGCATCCTCGGCCTCCTTGGCGCCCAGGGCTACTGGGCCAACGAAACCGCAAAGAAGCAGAACGGCTCGCTCTAAGCACCAACCCTCCCAGATCCTCTTCGCTTCTCGCCTCTGTAAAGTAGCTTCGCTGCCTCCATCGCCTTTCGTATCGGCCTTGACAGAATAAAATCCAGCTCACCACTCGATCTGTGCCTTCACCACTCGGTGTGTGATCTGTGCCGTGCGTGTGTGCGAGGAAAAGATGCATTTCGTACATTCAACAAAGGCGACTAGAGGAAAAGCGTACAAGTGGCAGCTAGCTCAGCGGAGGTTCGGGGGCTAGTCCTCCATGGGAGTCTCGCCTGCAGCTGGAGCTGGTGCGGCGTCGGCGGATTCTGTGGATGCAGCGGTGGCCCTGGCGCCCGGGATGGACTTTGGCTCGAGCCTGTCCATGTACGGCCTGAGTTGGTCGCCCTCTAGGATCCTGAACTTTTCGCCGCTCCTTGCGTTTGGCGAGTCGACGTCTGCATCCGCGCCGGGCCCCACAACCGCCACGCTGACCTGGTCGAGTTCGAGGTCCTTGTTCTGGGGCAGCGTATCGCGCAGCGCATACAGCCCATGCAGCACGAGCTCGTCCAGACTAGCCTCGGAAAACTCTTCGTACTTCCTTTCGAGGTACGTCTTTGCGGACTGGGAGCGCGCGCCGATCGACATGGCGTAGTACTCGAAGCAGTTGGCGGTGGGCGTGAATTCGTACAGATGCGGACCTGTCGAGTCGACGCCGATGATGAGGAAGCCCACGCCGTACGGACGCTTGCCGTAGTCCATGGTGTTGTACTGCGCACGGTCTGCGAGCGAGTCCACCACACGCGAGATCGGCAGCGCGCGAGAGTACACCAGACGCGACGACAGCGCCAGCTGACGCATGTACGTCGACAGCACACGTGCGTCCGAGGTGAGCCCCGCAAAGCCAATCCCCATGTGGTTGTCGATGCGCAGCATCTTCTTCTGATAGCTCGCCAGCTCCGACGGCGCACGTTTCAGCGCCACCAGGATCGCATGTGTGTTGCTGCGCAGCCCCACCACCGCAGAACCTTGCTTGACCGCCTCCAAAGCATACTCCACCTGGTGCAGTCGCCCTTGTGGCGAGAACACGGTGTTGTCGCTGTCGTACGTGTTGCGGAACATGTTGACGATCTAGGCGCCGGCTCTAGTCGTTATGCGGTGCTCGAGTCGAGGCTGTCGTTAGCGCTACCGTTGGCAGTGAAGCGCGAGATGTGGAGCGGGAGCAGGGAAAGCTGTTTGGCGAGTTGCACCTGATGGTTGGAATAGGATGGAAGACAGCAGTCGGCAGTGCGTGCAATGGCGAGGGACGACGTGTCGAATGCAGCGAGTGAGGAGAAGAAGAAGCGTCGTCAGACCCAGGTGATGCTTTCGTCCAAGTCCAAGGTGGAGCAAGCCCGTGCTCGAGCCCCAAAAGTAACAACGCGTCCTCTCGCCCACCCAAATTGGGCATTCGCAAGCGCAGCCGTGCGGTGATCGACTGCCTCTGCGCCCCCGCTTGGCAATTTGCAGCCATCCTCGCCCCCATGTCGCAGCTGCTGACACGTGCTGACCAATCAAAAGCTGGCGACCCGACTTCCGAAATCTCCAACCCAGCTTCAACACCAAAGTCCTCCTCCCCCACACTCACTCTCCTCTCGCCAGTCACCTACACCATCTTCGCGTGCACAACATGTCATTCACCACTCCAGCCGTGCGCTGGCAAGATACGGTGGCGTCGCATCTCCCGCAGCCACTCAAGGATTCAGGAGTGCCGCCGCAGTACTTTGTGCTTGTGCCCGCCACGCTGCTGGCGGTGCTGCTCACGTACACGCTCACACGATCCTCGTCCAAGTCGGCAGCACACCTGGTCAGCGCTGGCGGCTCTACGGACGACGAGTATACGACAAAGCGGTCGCACAACCGCGCGTCGACCGTGGTGCTGGTGGGGCTGAGCGAGACGGGCAAGACGTCGCTCTTCTCGTCGCTAGTATACCAGACCACGCCCGCGACGCTTCCATCACAAAAGCTTTCGCAGGGCATCGTTGCGCCATCTTCGCTCGACGGAGGACTGAAGCCGGTGACGCTTGTGGATGTGCCCGGGCACGCGCGTCTGCGGCCGTTGGTGGACGAGCATCTGTCGCAGGCGGACGGGCTGGTGATCTGTGTGGATGCAGTCATGGCGTCAAAGACGAGCCTCTCGTCGCGCCCGGGCGACGCCGAGTCGATCACAGACGTCGCGGACCTGATCCACGCCACACTTACCGCGCTCGCCAAGCAGCGTGCGCGGTCGTCGTCGCGCACAGCCCCACCGTCGGTGCTGGTGCTCTTCACACGCGCCGATCTATCGCCCCTCCTCGGCGGCGCCGGCGCAGGCACGGACGCGGCCAAAGACGACAAGCGCCGTGCACAGCTGCTTGCACGCTGCCGCACCGCGCTCGAGTCGGAACTCGGCCAGCGCCGCGCCAACATGGGGCTCGGCACCCGCCGTGCGGGCAACGTAAAAATCGCCGGGCTCGGCAAGGTGGCTGAAGCCGACGACGTGGTCGCCAGCGGCGGCGTATTCGGCTGGATCAGGAGCAAGCTCGGTCTCGGTGCCTCGGGCAGTAACGTTTCGGCAGATGCGCAGGAGGAGGACGACGAGCACGACGACGAGGTGGTCGACTACATTGACTGGGCCGCGGCGCAGCGCGCGCAGGCCTCGGACGGCACCGGCATCGGCGCGGCCGGATTCAGCCTCGAAAGGCTCGACGAGCAGGTCGTGTTTGGCGGCAAACTCGATGTGGCGCTCGCGAGTGTCGGCAAGGTGCGATCGTGGGCCCAAGATGCCACGCCCGACACTGACCCCCTCGCCGATTTCAAGACATGGATCGCCGACCTGCAAAGCTAGCACCGCAATCAATCTCTCATCCAGCAAACAGTGTTTCAGACAGTGGTGTGGGAGTGAGATGCTGATTCAATGCAGTCTAAAGTGAAGGGCTAGAGGTGCCAGGGGGTTCCCTTTGGGACGTTCCACTTTTGCCAAGTTCCTTCGATGCCCATATCGAGTTTGAGGTCTCGTTCGATACCTAGGTTGCGGGGCTTCTCGGTGTCGGTGGCGGGGTTGCCGAACTTGATGCTTTCGTACAATCCCAAGCTCAAATGGATGCCCGAGGGACCGGGGGTGAAGGATTGCAGTTGGGAGTGGCCCTGGATGAGCGCGAGGATGTTGCTCTTGATCACGTCGATCTGGCCGCTTGCGGCACGGACGGTCTTGCTGGCGCCCGAATCGGCCACATCTCCGAGCGCGAACATCCTGCCCGCAAGAGGCGCTGTAGTGGAGATCTGCATGGTCGGGTGGACGTTGATGAATCCATCGCTGGTGATTGCGTCGGGAGCGTATGATGCAAGCAGGTCCGAGCGGGGGGTTTGACCCGTGCACATGAGCACCAAATCCGCCCTGATCTTGTCGCCATTCTGCAGCTCCACATCGAACGTCTGGCCTTCGCTGAAGCTGGGGAATCCAGAGGACGGGACGACGACGCGGCTGCCGAGGTGGGTGTGGATACCGCGCTGGGCGAATCGGTCGGCTACAACCGCATGCAGGTCGGGATGAAACTTGTTCATCAGCTGCGTACGACTATGCAGCACCGTAACATTCTTGCTCCCGGGGTAGAGCTCCGCAATATCGCAAGCGACCTGCACACCGACCGCGCCGCCTCCGACAATGACGATGTTCTGCGCTGCCTTTACGGCGTCTTGATATTCGCGCAGTGTCTGTACTGCTTCCGCCTTCGCCTTTGCCGGCTCCGTCTGTTGCGATGGCAACGACCACGGTCTCCTGAGCTGCGTTCCCGTCGCAATAGCAAGATAATCGAACTCGATCGTATCCGCGCCCTCGTGGTTGCGGTCGAGCTTCAACACCCCCCGCTGCGGGTTGGTAGGATCTGCATGCACCGAAAGCGCCTTGGCATGAACGATGGCCGCATTGTGTGCTCCGTCAAGCGCATGCGTATAGGGCACCAGTGCCTTTTCCTCCCCACCGCGATGCAGCACTGCAAAGCGCGGGAACGTGAAGAGGTGGTGGAAGTGCGAGTTGGCTTCCACCACCACGATGCGATGCGAGGGGGGTAGCACGGGCAACAGCGCCTGTGCAAGTCGCATCCCCACGTACGACCCACCCACCACCGCAATCGTGCTCTGCTTGGCTGCGGCTCCAATGCTCATCGTGTCTTGTCGTCCAAAGAGGTGCCAGATGATGGGGAAAAGTACGACGCCAATCCAGCCCCACCGGCTTATATACATCTTTGGCAGCGTAGTTCGGCCCTCCGGCCGGCCAGAAGCGAGTATTTAGGGCTCAAGCGCCGTCCCCCGCGGAGAAGAGAAGGCAACCGGACATGAACGGCTCAAGTGGGGGTTGGCTATGCCGAACCAATCAGCGCTGCCCGCGTGCCGAAGGTTCGAATTGCGCAGTTCATTTTTATCAGATAAACCCACGCGGTCGGCTCCACCACCTCTCTCCCCGTTCGAACCTCGCTCGACGCTTCAACTACGCGGTCGGCGCATGCCGGAACTTCCTCAGACACGGAAACATGCACGATGCACAGCTACACATCGAGTCACGAGTCTGAGCATGCACGCATCGTCCGCGGATCTGATAAACGCCGCTCGCCCAGCCAGCGCCTCATGGCCAGCTCAGCACCGCAGCCTCATCTGCCCACGCGGGAAGATTGTTCTTCCGGGCCGAACCGAGCTCTCGCGTCGCGTCTCGACTCGGCCGGCTCAATACCCGTTTCCCGGCCGACCCTCCGTCTCGACTTCGACCCCTCACCCTTCCCCTTTCCTCATTCCCGCGCTAAGACGTGAATTGCTAAAACGACTGTGTTGCATGCATGTGTGAAGAAAGTATAGAATGGTGTGCTGCGGTATGAGTACCTCTACAGAAGTCTCCTGTGATCGCGCTTGGGCCTTGGTGGCGAGCTGGGCGGCGAAACAGGCGGCGAAACAGGCGGGGACAGCGGTGCACTGTCCATGTCATCGCTCCACCCTGCAGCATCACCCCGGGCCGGCGGCTCAGGCAGCGGTGTAGCGAGGTACTGGGATTGCGCCCACTCCCTGGCAATCCTCGATGCGGGCGTCTCGCTGCCCACGCTGTCGGGCAACCTCGCGTGCCGCTTGAGCACAGGCGATCCGCCGCGCGACACGGGCTTCCTATAGCTCGTGTCCCGCGGACTGATCGGTGCGGTATCGAGCGTGGTTTCCTGGTCGACGCTGCGCATCAGCTGTGGGTCGAACGACGGATACTCGCGCAACGTCGAGTCTGTCACGGTCTCGTGTCCCTCGACGGCGTCTACCGGCTGCGCCTCGCCCGTCCGCGTGAGCATGGGCAGCGAGTAGAGGCCAAACGACTCGGTGACGTCCTGCGGGATCGACATGGTCGCCTCCCTCTCCCTTCCCAGCCACACCCTCGCCGGCGGTCCCGGTGGCCTTAGCGCCGCCCCTTGCTGCCCCTGCGCCCTACCGCCACTGGGGCCCACCTCGATCTCGGGCGTATTGCCCACGGACATGGCCGATGCCAGCTGATCATCCGGCCGCATCACGAATCCACCTTGCCCTTCGCCCATGGCGAACTTCATCGACATGTCGTGCGCCATATGAGGTCGGGACCTCGACACCATGGAAGCCTCGATGTCGACGCTCTCGGGCACGGCGGGCAGCGTCCTAGTCTTGTCGTGCGCGCCCCTGCCCACGCCGCCCTGGGCCTCGCCCGACTCGAGCGTGCGCGACGCATTGCGGTGAAACCGCTTGCGCAGCGCACCGTCTCCGCCACTGCCCTGGCTCGCCTCGGGCTGCGGATTGTCAAAGTTGCGGAAAATTATCGAGCCGATGGTGAGCACGCCAAACACCGCCGACACCCACGCCGCCGTGGCGCCCGCAATGGCAATCGACTCGGCCACCGCCTCCGGGCCCTGCAGCGCATGCTCGTACTCCACCGCTGCGAGATAGATCGTCACGGCGCCAAAGAAGCACGCAGCCGAGATGATGCCGAGGTAGAGGATGAGCAGGTTGACCAAGCATCGCCGCAGGTACTTGTACCGCGACATGGGTCCGCCCGTGATCGACATGCGGCGCGCGCGCTTGTGTGTGCTGGTGCCCGGCTTGTGCGTGCTCGACGTGGCCGAGATGAGCCTGCGCAGCATCGACGGCGTGCGCGGCGACACGGGCGGCGTCGTCTCGGCCGCCGTGAGATTGCTCTCGCCATGCGCCTCGTCCGCCAAGCTCGCCACCTGCCCAAGCCTCGAGTTGAGCCCGGGCGTAAGTGCGCCATGCACCCGCGGCGGCTCCTGGCGTAGCATCGAGTCGATCCCCACCATCTCGTGGCTGCCCTTGAACGATGCCGTGACGCCGCTATGGCCCGTCGCCTCGCTTCCGCCGGACACGCCGCGGTCCTCGTAGATGTCCTCGAGCGCTGCGCCGCGCACACGCGAGTTGGCACCGGACGCATTCCACCCTGCGCTCCTGGGTGCGCTCGGTGCAGTGTGCGCATCGCCCGTCAAGACAGTCGCGTTCTTCTCCTCGTGCGCGAGCTGCACCTCGATCTTGCGCTGGTAGCTGACGAGGATGGCCTTCTGCTTGCGCACCTGTCGAAACAGCAGAAACACGAGCGTGCCGCCTGCAGGCACGTAGAAAAACAGGAACAACAGCGCCCAGAATGCCCAGAGCACATAGCTGATGTCCACAAAGTAGTACGAGCGCGTCCAGGTGTAAAAGATGTCGTACGCCTGTGCGCTCGTCGCCTGCACAGCCGTTGGTGCCACCAGCGCGCCCGGTGCCGTCGCCGCCACCAGCGCCTGCACGCGCGCATCCCACGCCTTGTACATGTTGAAGGCATCCACCATCTTGACGGACGAGATGCAGACGGGCGGGAGCAGCGAGACGATGAGCGCGACGGGCGTGCCCAAGCAGCTGAGGTTGACGATGAGCGGCCAAGGCAGGCGGCCCTTTGCGCTCGTCTTGTTCCTCGCTGCCGACGGCTTGTCGAGCGCACCGGGCGCCGTGTAGAAGCTCCCCCACCCGGTGAGGAAGGCGCCAATGTAGAGCGGGATCCAGATCAACGACCTAAAGGCGGGGAAAAACTTGACCCACACGGCCATCTCGTCGTGGAAAAGCTTCCAGACGACAAAGTTGAACGCGACGGTGAGCACGCCGTAAAGACCCTCGAGGAGGAGGAAGCAGTTGATGGCGTTGGGCACGATGTACGAGCCCTGGGCGCGGCGCTCGAGACGGAAGAGGTCGAGGCGCTTGTGATAGAGGCGGTGGAGGATGACGGGGATGCCGATGACGATGAGCAGACAGATGATTCCTGCAGTGATGGGGTTGGTGATCAGGAAGAACTTGTTGACGTCGAGGAAGAAGAGCTCGTGCACGAAGGCGCGCAGCTGTTCGATCGCCGCCTGCTGCTCGCTCGCATTGGTGGACGAGAGACCCGCGACGATGGCGGGCGGAAGGCCATCGGGTCGTGTAGGGCCGCGAAAGAGCTGCCTGGCTGTGGAGGACGTCCACACCATCGCGGCGACGGGTATTGTGAGCACGAGTCGCGATCAGCGCGCGACTTGAAGCAGTAGAAGTAAGAGACAGCCTAGAGCTTGGCCTCGTTGGTGAATTAGACGCGCATGTCACGGCGCGATTCGAGCTGTGGTGTCGTCAAAGAGCCATGTGCGAGATGATGGGCCGAGTCGGACGATGGTGGTCGGAACAATAAGCCTGGTGATGATGAAGTGAAACGATGCCGATCGAACGAGAGCGGCGCTCGTTATGAGAGGTTACGAGAAGCGGTCGAGAATAGAGATGGCAGCACAGAGAACAAGCAAGTGCTGACGATAACGATGGAGTTGACGCTGACGATGCAGATTGTGAAAGGTGCTAGCAAGGCCAAGACGGAAGCGGTCTGCCGAGCGAGCGGAGTGAGTGGTGTCGATGCGGAGCTGATGGTACAAGCCGTCGGCAGGATCGACGCGCTACAGCTAGCACTGATGGGAAGCGCAGAGGCCTGAGCTGTGCAATCACACTCTCTCTCGAAAGCGTTGTGCCGAAGGTGATGGATGTTTTAGGTTCAGGCACCGAAGATTCACAGCGTGGTACGCCCCGACGATTGGCGCAGGGTGTGTGTGGGGGGCGGCGTGGAGATGCAGAGGCGTGACTGGGGCGGGTATCGGAGTGAAGAGATGGGAAGCAACAAGAGCGCCGCAAGCGAAAGCGGTGAGCCTGGATGCGGACGGAAGCGGCGCCGACGCAGTAGACGCAGAGACAGCGGTGCAGAGGATCCAAACGGTGGTGAAGAGGACAGGGGCCAGCAAGACAGGTCCGTGTTAGTTGGTGAGGAGGAGCGAGCGAGCGAGYGAGCGGAGAGGACCGTGAGACGGCGACGGCGGCACGATAGAGCTCACGAGCTCACGAGCTCAGACAGCATGGAAGGATGGCCCAACTCAGACGCAGGCTCTGCATCTCTTTGGTCTCCGCAAGCGGCCAGCCGCACATCTCGCTCGCTGCTGCTGCGGCGAGAGACGATGCTGACGGTGCGGGGAAGAGGGAGCAAATCAGCTGCCCATGGGTCTGGAACCGGCTTCGGCGACAGCTGTGCAGAGGCAGCCGCATCAAGAGCCCACGGGTTCAAACGAAATTGAGCGGAAGCAAAATCGAGCGGAGTTGGAGAGCCTTGTGCATCGCCTCGGCGCGGCAACACTCGCCGTCCAAGGGCCCAGTGCGATCTTTCGGTCTCCGGGCGAGGGGCACGGGAAGCCCAGCTGAGCTCAGGACGCGCGAGGTCGAGGGCGAGAGCGGAGAATCAACGTATCGCATTGGGTGGATTTCAAGCTTGAATTCCATCGCGTCTGCCGCCATGCGTTGCCGACATGCGCTGCGCAGCCTGACATTTTTCGGCCAACATCTAGATCTTGCCCTACCCTTTGCTGCCACCTTCGACGACCAGTTACGACCATTCCAGCTACGCTTTCTAGCGGCTTTTCTTCATCCTCGCTCGGACCGCCGATGCAATTTCGTTCGGCCCCGCATCTTGCAGCGAGATGAAGTGACGGGGCGGCTGGGCCGTGTTGAGGAAAGTCGGGACCTCCGCTGCAAGTCTGAGACATGCTTTCCCACCGTCCGCAAAAACAAGATTTAATTAAAAAAAAAAATCCCATGAGGCGTGCAAGATGTGGATGGCGATGCAGCCTGGTTGCAAGCGAGCGCGCTTGCGGCTGTCAAGGCAGCCATCGGATGCAAACTGGAAGCTCAACCACTATTCGCAGCTGCGTCTCGTCGCACCGCACCAAGCTGCATCGAAAGCAAGATTGCGCTGGTACAAATCCATCTCGCAGGTCGCAGGTCGAACAAGTAGGGCGAGTGGCGATGCGTTGTCGGGTGTGGCTCATGCCGAAGGTTTCAGATGAGTGGGCCATGATTTTTTTTTTTTGGCCTGCTCGAATCGGCCAAGGATTTTCGGGCGCTTGGCGACGCGTCCGCAAGCCAGCATCGCCAGCCGCTTCCGGAATTGACGAGGCGAGACCGGCTTGGAGCTTCCCATGCTCGATTAGCGAGGCTCGTACAGACGGCTCGTTCAGCGGCTGTACCGTCCAGGTGTCAGATGTGCAAAGCGCAATCCTCATCTGCGAACAATAGCGCTTGGGGCTACGGATCAACCGACACTGCACAGGATGCCGTCACAGTCACTGCGTCGGAGGCCTTCCGAGACCAATTCTTTAGGCGCTTGGCGGTCTGTGCTGCGCCCGAGTGAGGTGAGCATTGGCCCCGATGCTTCTTCCGATGCACTCAGATCCCATCGAAGACGCTAGTCCCTTAGCGGGCTTTTTCGCCGTGCGCTTAGACTGGTTCGCAAATCTCACTCGACATCTCGAACCTGTCAAACAGCACACGGCGCAAACAAGCGTCGATCATTGCAGACAGCGTTCACCGCAGCACAAAGAGCCAATTCCTGCTCGCCCTAACCTTTTGACTGCAGCCCCTTCGATGGTTGTTTGGTGGGGAGACTCGAGCAAGTGTACAAAGTGTGGCGCTCCCATTTCGGGGCTCAGGCCTCGCATAAAGTGCTTTCCATGATCTCAATGTCACTTCTCAAATGCACATGTTGAAGATGCTGTTCGCATCGCTAACGATGCCATCGTTTAGCAGGACTGACGAGCCGACTACAATGTACGACTAGCCGATATGGCCATGCGTTGCAGCACGATCGAGCTTTAAGCCGGACCATCCTTGAGCGTCTTTGGTTGCTGGCTATTCCCGCGTCATGGCTTACCGTCTTCAAAGAGTTTATAATGCACGTCCAGATGATGGGTCAACTGCGTCATGGCAGATCTGAACGATGGAGTCGGCACTTCGAGCGCTAGGCGTGCTCGACGCCACATCCCGCATCAACTGCTACATCTCCGACCAGCAGCTACATCCACCTTCGGACTTGCACGATTTGCACTGCGACTGCGATCAATGCGAGCGCGAACAAGGTACGTACCCAACCCACACAAGTACAGAAGAATGATACTGACAGGGTCGAGTGATAGTGCTTGCAAATCGACGCGCACGACGTTCCCATCCCAGGAAGCCAGATAAGGATGAGGGGACGAATGGTAGGTGGAGGAGAAGGGCGGTGGATGAAAATGCTAGGAGGGGCGAGGGCAAGATCGGTAGAGCCGCCCAAATGCGTACCGGAAGAATCACTCTCCCCCCACCAACAACGACCATGGCCGAGCGATATCCAAGCCCCCAGTCCGAACAGGCAGACGAGACAGATCCCAGTCAGGCAGCACCGGAGTGCAGTGAGAATCGTGGGGAAGAAGGAAGGGAGACAACGCCGGGGTGGGTGGGTGACTTTTATAGCCGCAATCCCGCTGCTCTCGCCAATGGCTGGCTCGCTCTCCATCATCGTCGTCTCATGACCTCACCGATGGATAGGGGTGAGCCTACGCCAGTCGAGATTGTGGCAAGCGCCGTCGTGCGAGCATCCCGCACACAGCTGCTTGGTCTCACTCCCCACTTGCATACCCCTCGCGTGCGTCGCTGATTGTATCCACAACACCACAACATCACAACACGAATGTCTATGAGGTCTATTCAAGTGTACAGGTAGTTCAGACGAGCTTCTCCTCCTCCTTGGGCTCGTCGGTAGACCAGCCAAGGAAGCGGTACAGGCCATCCCGAACTTCGGGCTTGCATCCCATGGCGAGCAGCATGACGGCCGGCAGATGGATCAGGCTCACCCAGAAGCACCAGCGTGCCGCCTTGACCGTGCCGTCCGTGTAGAACTTCCAGGCCGCATGAGCCATGAGCAGATTAAGCGGGGTGCTGAGCACTGCAAATGCCACCGGGGCCACAATGCCACTAAGCGGCATCATGACCGTGCAGATGGGCAGCAGCGCTACGGCGTACCTGAGCGAAACGCGGCGGTTGAGCGCTGGATCCGTAACGGCCATCATCCGGTACCCGCCGCGCGCGTATTCGGCACGAAGCGTGTGGGCGAGCGAGTTAAAGTGCGGAAACTGCCAGGCGAAGAGCAATGCGGCGAGCGACCAGCCACCGAGATCAGCGGCGTGGTGCAGTGTGCCTGTGCACGCTGCCCAGCCCATCAGCGGCGGCAGGGCTCCGACTACCGCCCCGACCCATGTGTTGGCAATCGACATGCGCTTCATGGGTGTATACGTGAACGAGTACAGCACCACATTCGCTGCGCCCAGCGCAGCCGTGAGCGGGTTCACGGCGAGGGCGAGCAGGCCCACGCCGCTGCTGGCCGATGCGGCCGCGAACGAGAACGCGTGCAGAGGGGTGACGGCGCGCGACGGGAGCGGACGTCCGCGCGTGCGGGGCATCTGCGCATCGTAAGGCGCCTCCACCAGCTGGTTGAGCGCATTCGCCGCCGCAGAACACAGAGTCATACCCGCCGTGAGCGCAAGCAGCGTCGCCACGGGCGATGCAACGGCAACGGTGAGCGAGGCCGGGCACAAGGCGTAGCCAGCCATCCCCGTCAGCACCACGAGGAACGTGAGGCGCGACTTGGACAGCTGCTTGTACAGCTTGGGCAGCGTGCGTGTCGAGACGGGCGGCACGGGTCGGTACGATGCGAAGGACGTCGAGGGCTCGCGCGACCGTAGCCCGCCCAGCGAACGCAGGTCCACCACCGTTGGGTCGTCAGACAGCGGCGCGAACGAGCTCACGTCCACCTCCTCGGTCGCAGCGTCGGTCGATCCCGTGCCAGCAGCTGCGTGCGCCGCAACGGACGCAGCCGAGCTCGTACTGAACGATCGCGCTGCACTGAGCCATGGCTTGGCAGGGGCGGCAGCGGAATGCATCGATCGGCGCGTGCCTGGAACCAGCGGCGCGCGGCCGTGCAGCTTGGTGCGCAGCGTGCGGTAGGTGCTCCAGATGGCGTCGCCGTCGACGTAGCAGCCTTTGAGCCAGCGCTTGACCTCGCCCTGCTTGCTCTCGTCCCACTCGAATCCTTTGCGCGAATGCAGCACGCGCCTATTGTCAAAGATGACGCACTCGCCCTCCTCCATCTGCTTCTCGTACCGAAACTCCTCGGCGAGCGTCAGGTCCGAGAACCGCTTGAGCGCACGGTAGAACGTCTGCCTCTGCTCAGCCGTCTTGAGATGCTCCGTCGGATGCAGCGGCAGCGGAGACTGGAACGGCGGCGAGTAGTTGACCGCACTCAGACGCGGCATCGTCGTCCCCTGCAGCGGCGGGCCCGCGTGGCCCTCGGTGTCGTGCGCCAGCTCAAATGTCGGATGCGTGTACCGGTAGTGCCTGCCGTCGTTGACGTAGTGGAATCCAACGGGCACCTTGGTGAGCACCTCCCACAGCTCGCGCTCCTCGTCCCACATGCGCTCAGCCACCTTGAAGCTGTCGACAAAGATGCTCGCGCCGCCGCGGACCTTGTTGCGCAGCATGTGCAGGAACTGGAAGCGCGGCGGGTTCTGGAAGTAGAGCAAGTCCATGTGCAGGCCCAGGTCGAGGTTGGTGTACGCAATGTTGCGCGCGTCCGCCTTGGACTGCACGTCCCACAGCAGGCCGTAGAAGGTGTTGCGCAGCTCGCCCATGGTGAGCGCCAGATCGCGCAGACGCGCCGAACTCTCGCCCTCCTCGGTCGCAGTCTTGTCGGTCGGAAGACGCGTGACAAACGCAAAGCCGTCGCGGAGAACCGCCTCGGTGAGCGCATAGAGCGCCTCGGTGCGCTGGACCGACGTGTCCTCGGGGCGGATCGCATCCCAGGGAATCCGAGCTGGTCGAGCAACACTGCCCTCCTCCAAAGCAGACGGTGACAGGGAGGCACCTTGCGCCCAAGGCACAGACCTGAAGTGCGTCAGATCCTTTGCTGCCCACGATTCGGGCACCGACATGATGTCCATGTGCGTGTCGGCGTAGAAGGTGTCGATGGCATGGCGGAGCAAGAAGGAGATCGGCACTTCGGATACGTGTGGCGCGTCGGCCTTCTTGACCTCGCCAAACGCAGCTGTGAAGGCATTAACGACGGCGTGCTCCTTGGCAAACGTCAGTCGAAGCACGGGCTCATCCGCTGCGGACGACAATGTTGGAGGGTGGCTGGCATCGAGCAGGGGCACGCCAAGGGGGACGTCGCTGGTGTGGAAGAGCTTCTGGCGGTTGCTGGGATGTACGGATTGCGGGGCCTGGCACGCATCGCGCAGCCAGATGTGATCGAATTGGAAGGGCTGCAGACCCAGCTGCTTCGACTCGATCGAGATGCTGTCCGATTGCAGCTTGATGACGACGTCCGAGTCCGGAACGCGCAGCTCCTTAGCCTGTTCTTTAGCAGCGCTCGCTGTAGAGCTGAACCATCGCTGTCCAGGAAGGTGGCTGGCGGAAGCAAGCGGCTGCGCACCCGTCTTGCGACCAAGCTTTGTGGAGGTGAAGAGCCCTGCTGTGGCGACAGCGGGGATTGCAGTTGAGAAGTGGCGACGCAATTGGTGCATGGCGCGACGCCCGGCAGCGGCCGATCGGGAGCTGGGCTTGAGAAGCATGACGGGCAGGGCGTAGAGGATGCGACCCTCTGTTGCCCATCCGAGCGATGCCGGTGCTCCGGCGTTGGTGGATGCGGGTGGATGACCTGCGGTGATGAGCTCCTTGCTCGCGGCGGCCTTGGCAGCTTCATCGTCCCTTGTGAGGTAGTCGGCGATAGCGAGGTTGGCGGCAACGATGGCGGCGATACCAAAGACGAGGAAAAGACTGCGTCGCGTGGCATCCCACTTTACGTTCTGCTCGATCTCGGTCTTGAGGTCCGAGAGGCTGATGGTGAAGCGGTTGTTGAGGTCCTGGATCTCTTGCTCGAGGTTGTTCTGTTCCTCTTTGGATTCGGCCTTGCGGTTGTTCATGTCGACCTGGATGTCGTGCTTGAGACGCTCGACGTCCTCCTTCATCTTTTGCTCGAGCGCATCCACCTCGCGCTGGAGGAGCGTGGTGATGCTTCGCAGACCTGCGGCGTCGTTCCTGCCTCGAACCTGGACTTCGGTGCGGATCTCGGAGAGCGCCGCCTTGAAGAGGTACGCTTGGTTCTCGACGTCGCTCTTGTTGAGACAGGCGTTGGCGAGCTGGCGGCCGCGTGTGGTGATGAGGTGTCGCACGCCCTGCATGATGGCCTCTGCTGGATCGTGACGGCGAGCGATCTGGAGCTGGAGACCGCCGGCATCTGCATCGGGCTGTGTCTGCTTGGACTTGGCCGACTTTGGATTGGGTGGGAGGCGCTGCGCTTTGAGTGCGGTGGAGAGCCAACCGCCGGCTTCGAGACGCTTGACGAAGCCGTGGGTGTCAAAGGGCATCTGAAGGCTCTGAAGCGACTGCGAGGAAGCGTGGCGATGGAAGCGGTTGTCGAACTCGACGTCGCCAGCATGCTCTACGCCCTGCTGTGAGGCTTGAGGTGCGCCGGCCGTGTCGAAGGCAGAAGCCGAAGAGCTTGCTGCGCTGGAATCCGAGGAGGTGGAGCCAGAAGTTGATGTGGTGGCGGTGGCGGAGGGAGCGGGTGCAGCTTCGTCCATTTGAGGGGTTGTGAAGGAAGGGTAGAGATTGGCGGTGGGGTTGGGAGGAGGGGTGAGACCCGAGTAGACCCTCTTGTTCTGTTCTTGGGCGTGGTAGAAGCGCTGCTTGAGCAGGTCTTCATGAGTGGGCGGACCGGTGGCATTCGTGGTGGAGGCCGATGCAGCCTGCGCTTGCAAAGATGATGCTGCCTCTTGCTGCTGCGAGTCTGAAGCGGACTGCTCTGTCGCTGAGCTCGCTCTGGTCGAGCTTGCCATGTTTGGAGCAGATGCATCTGCGGGCTTGGCGGCAAGCTTGACGTCGTCAACCTCGAGCACAGTCTCGGGTTGTGGTGTTCGAGACGAGCTTTCGGTGTTGTCTTGAGTGCTGGGCTGGTTGCTTCTTTTGTCGGTCACTCGGACACCTGGGGTGGGGGCTGCCTCGGCGTCGGCAGCATCTCGGGCGCGGGAAGAAGCTTTGGCCTTCGAGCTGGTGGGTGCACCTGAGGACGTTGAGGCCGAAAAATTGAGCGCGTGGACAGGGTTGAGCTGAGCTGATCGACGCGGATGGTAGAGGAGGTGACGAGGCGGCGAAGGGCGTTGGAGGGCATTTGAAACGCGAGCGGAGGCGGGCGCCGCATGCCTGGCGAGCGACGCGGCTGCCTTGGAGCCAGCAGCTGACCAGCTCATGGCGATGGCGCGTGATCGATGGCGAAGGGTCTAGCTGTGAGGTTCCGATGGGACTAGGACCAGGGGACTGAGGGTGTTGGTGCAAAGGGGCTTGCGTTGGACGAGTCAAGGGTTCATCGTTGCCTCAAGGCCGCGAGCCTAAATCCGGATGTTGAACGCAGTCGCTCCAAGCGCGAGGATGAGCCTCTGTCACTCTTCTCCTTTTGTAGAGGTGCAGGCGGGGCTGCGGCACGGATACGGTGTCGGTTGTGGGTGTGGGAGAGCGAGTGCGAGTGAAGGGGAGGAGCGTGTGAGAGAGTCGGGCCAAGGCTTGGGCCGGCGCTTTCGTCTTCGCAACCCTGTCCACAATCCGATCCGAGCCCAGCCGCGGCGAGGCAGATTTTTTGAGCAAAATAAAAAGTGTTGGCTTGGCGGTCTGACAGCTGTAAGCTTCGAAAATCGGTCCAGCCTTGTCGCTTCGCTGTGCATGTGACGGAGATGCGTGACTGCTCGAGCCCGCAGGTGTTGGTCTCGGCGGGCGAAGTCTGATTCTGTGCACTCGCTCTAAAATCACAGACTCGGAGCACATCCTCACAAAGTTGGCTCGGCTGATCCGTGAGCGATGCGCCTTGTAGACAAGCTCAGGCTGTGGTGACAAACGTCGATCATGGAGTCGGGCCGCACCTGTGCAGATCGGGGCAGAGATCGAGGTGTGGGTGGGCACAAAGCGGTGAGTGCTGTGCGGTGCTGTGCTGTGCTGTGAGGCGCACGCATGCATGCATGGAGCGCAAATCCGCGTCGCCGAATTCCCACTGCAGGACGAGGAGGAGGAGCAGCGCGAAGGTGGGTCCGTGGCCCGCTTCTAGCATGCTGGATTGTGAGTGCTCCTTTGACACCTCGAACTCAAGCTTCGTCAGGCAGCCCTCTGCATCGTGTTTCCCTTTCACGACCATCCAGCATCTCCACTACGCAGCACGTTCATCCTCACACACACAATATGTCGCACCCTCAAGACCCTACCATCGCCGACGAAGAGCTCGCCACCACGGGTACGTCCTATCCCCTCCACTCCACATGCGCGAAGCATCCTTCTGACATCTAGGCTCTTTGGTCCTGTTCTGCTTTGCACATCGTAGCCACCGCCGGGTACAAGGTGGGAGAGAAGAAGTCGCTCGCCGAATACTCGCAGCTCGACGCCGAAGACGAGTCGCTGGCTAGGTGGAAGGCGAGCTTGGGCATCGGCGCCTCCACTGGCGCTGTCGACCCAAATGCGCCCAAGGTGAGTCTTGGACAACCATCTAAGCTCAGGACTCGCACTGAGATTCAAGCTGCTGACTCTCCTCTTCCGAATGGACAGCTCTCGCTGCACGCGCTCTCGCTCGTCTCGTCGAGCGCACCGGGTGGCAGCGTGTCGATCAACCTGCAACAGTCCAAGGAGCAGCTGGCGCAGTTCAAGCAGAACCCGCTCAACGTTAAGGAGGGCGTCGAGTACAGCGTCAAGATCCGCTTCAGCGTAGGCAGCGACATCCTCTCGGGCCTCAAGTATGTACAGGTGGTCAAGCGCGCCGGAATCAAGGGTGGGTATCTTGCTCTCGCAACCGAGCGACTGTGAACTCTTGCACTGACGTCTTCCACTTTTCCATCACAGTCGACAAGATGGAGGAGATGATTGGCTCGTACGGCCCGCGCGCCGAGCCCTACGAGAAGACGTTTGCGTCCAGCGAGGCACCCAGCGGCATGATGGCGCGAGGCAACTACAGCGTGCGCAGCCGCGTGGTCGACGACGACAACAACGTCTTTGCCGACTGGGAGTGGGCATTCAAGGTGAGTGGCAACCACACATTCAAGTCTTTCCTGATCACTTTCTGACCCTTCGATTGCATCTGTCGCACTTGCCTCTTGTCCACCTCAGATTGCCAAGGAATGGTAAGGCGTGGCTTTGATGGGCTCGACTGCCGCTGCTTTTGTATCTTTGCTTCCTCCCACCTTTCCCATTTACCCCGCCATGGCCGTTGTCTCACACAAGCAAGCGATTGCTAGTATCATTGTACTGTCGACCGTCTGGGCCGTCTGCGTGTGGTTGAAAGCTGCATTGAGTCTTGTCATTGGTGGTCTAGCCGAGAAAGTTGAACACGAAGAAGTGAAGCACCACCGATCCGAACAAAAAGTCGCCGAAAGCTCTGTAGCGGTGCAAAACAAAGTCAGCAACGAGCGCGAGATGGTGCACCATAAAGAAGGCAAAGGTGGAGCGTACCTTTCTGGTGTGACCTTGGGGAAGGTCTTTCCGTTTTCTGGATTTGCCTGGATGCGAAGCGATGCTGCGAGTACGAATTGGCCGACCGTTGATGCAAATCTACAGGAACCACAATGCGAATGTCAGCACCATCTTTGCTCTAAGCCCTGGGAGGGGGGACTGGGACTTACCCTGCGATGAACGAGTTGAAGGGAAAATTGGTGATGAGTGCGCAGTAGGCGAATTGGATGATTCCAGACAGCATCAGGAACACCAGAAAGGCATCGATCAGCTTGAGACGTTTTGGTGTGTTGTCCACGTAGGAGTTGTATAGTGTCGAGAGAGGCGACGAGCTGGACGAGCTCGACGCTGCCGCACCAGATGGGCGTGGTCGAGAGGATGCCTGTGTGGCTCCGGTTTTGGAAGATTTCGGCGGCATTGTAGGCAGTAGCGGTAGATGCGAGTGGTGTTGGTAACAGAGCAAAGACGAGATGCAGGCGCACGCCCAAGAAGGGTCTCCGAAGCCGGAGGCGTGCAGGCTCAATGTGGCCCAAACGTGGCGAGCCGCCCAGCGCCTTCTTCCTCCAGCGTGGCCAGTCTTCCAAAATTTCGCAAATTTGTTAGACCGAGCTTTTGTCGGCCGTGAGCCTTTTTCGCGGCGGCGGGAGAGACTGCGAAAAAATTTTGGGCGGTTGCGCTGAGTGCTGCTGGGCTGCCGATGGATGGAAGGAAGAACTGGTGATGCCGCACGGGCTGCGCCGCCACTCTTTTTGGCAGCGAGGTCGGGATCGCCTGTTGCAGCCGCACATTTCGCACGCAGCTGCGCCAAAATTCCAACCGCCCACCTTCACTCAGCCAACTCGGTGGAGCAGCAGCAGCAGCAGCCACTCACTCTCGAGGCGGTTCCTTTTTCGATTGCTCGGCATCACCTTGGATCTGCATCGCCCTTGCATCTCCATCACACCACTCGCATACCGACCGACATCCACTTCTTTGCACTCGTGAATCGCGAACCACGACGAACCGGTCGACGTCTTCTTCCTTCCTAAACGCGGCGCTCATCGCGAATCACGGACGGTCCATCTCTCGAGTGTCTCAGCCGCGTCCATCGCATCTTTCCTCCTCAGCGTCTTAGGAAGCACTCTCCGAAATGAACCCCAACGCTCCTAGCTTCGGCTTCAACCCCAACGCCTCGGGCTTCGTGCCCGGCCAGCCTCAGCAGGGTGGCCAGCAGCAACAGCAGGGCGGCTACTACCAGCAGGGCTTCAGCCAGCAGGGCCAGCAGCAGGGTTTCACCGGCGGCTACCCCAACCAGCAGTACCAGCAGTACCAGCAATACCAGCAGCAGCCCTACGGTGCCGGCTACGCCCAGCAGGGCTTCAACCAGCAGGGCTTCAACAACCAGTACGCCCAGCAGGGTTTCGGCGGCCTCCCCGCCCGCCCTGCCGCTTCCGGCTCCTACCAGCCTCCCGCCGCTCGCTCCACACCTCCCGCTGCCGCCGGCGCTGCTGATGCTGCGCCGCGCAAGCCCGTCAGCATCTCCATCGGCGGTGGCGCCAAGCCCGCGCCTGCTGCCGCTGATAAGTCGGACGCGCCTCGCAAGCCCGTCAGCATCTCCATCGGTGGCGGCGCCAAGCCCGCTGCTGCGCCGGCTGCGGCTGCTGCAGCTGACAAGGCAGAGGCACCTCGCAAGCCTGTGAGCATCTCCATCGGCGGCGCGGCCAAGAAGCCCGAGGCGGACAACGCGCCTGCACCTGCCGCAGACACTGCCAAGCCCGCAGCGCAGCCCGCTGCGCAACCCGCCGCCGTCGCTGCGGTCAAGGCGACCGAAGCGCCTGCGCCCGCATCCAGCAACGCATCGGCGCCCTCGTCGCGCGCCGAGTCGCCCGCCCCGGCCGCCAAGTCCGAGGCCAAGGTGGCGTCGCTCTCGGGCAAGGTGGCCACCGAGCGTGCGGCCAACGACGCCGACCAGATTCTCGCCGAGGCAACCAAGGTGACCGACGAGGAGACGCTCAAGGACCTCTTTGGCGACAAGAGCGACGAGCTCAAGTCGCATCTCAACATCGTCTTCATCGGCCACGTCGACGCGGGCAAGTCGACCATGGGCGGCAACCTGCTCTACCTCACCGGCATGGTCGACAAGCGCACGCTCGAAAAGTACGAGCGCGAGGCCAAGGAGGCGGGCCGAGAGTCGTGGTACCTCTCCTGGGCGCTCGACTCGACGCAGCAGGAGCGCGAGAAGGGCAAGACCGTCGAGGTCGGCCGCGCCTACTTTGAGACGGGCAAGCGTCGCTACACCATCCTCGATGCGCCCGGACACAAGTCGTTTGTGCCGCACATGATCAGCGGTGCGGCGCAGGCCGACGTCGCCGTGCTCGTCATCTCGGCGCGCAAGGGCGAGTTCGAGACGGGCTTCGAGCGCGGCGGACAGACGCGCGAGCACGCCGTGCTCGTCAAGACCGCCGGCGTGCAGCGCCTCATCGTCGTCGTCAACAAGATGGACGAGGCTACGGTGCAGTGGGAGCAGTCGCGCTACGACGAGATCCAGTCCAAGCTCACGCCCTTCCTGCGCTCCGCCGGCTTCAACCCCAAGACCGACATCACCTACATCCCCGTCTCGGCGTTTGCGGGTCACAACCTCAAGGAGCGCGTGCCCAAGGACGTGTGCAGCTGGTACAGCGGGCCGTCGCTGCTCGAGTACCTCGACAACCTCGCGCTGGGCGACCGCAAGATCTCGGCGCCGCTCAAGATGCCCATCTCGGAAAAGTACAACGACATGGGCACCGTCGTCGTCGGCAAGCTCGAGGCGGGCAAGATCAAGAAGGGCGACACGCTGCTGCTCATGCCCAACAAGACGTCCGTCGAGGTGGTGGCCATCTTCAACGAGCAGGAGGAGGAGGTGCCGGCGGCGATCTCGGGCGACAATGTGCGCGTCAAGCTCAAGGGTGTCGACCACGAAGACGTGAGCGTGGGCTTCGTGCTTTCGCATCCGACGCACCCCGTGCACGTGGCTACGCACTTTGAGGCGCAGCTCGCGATTCTCGAGCACCGCAACATCATCTGTGCCGGCTACAGCGCCGTGGTCCACTGCCACACCGTCTCGCAGGAGGCCAACCTGGCGGCGCTGCTGCACTACTACGACAAGAAGACGGGCAAGAAGAGTCGCCGTGGTCCGCAGTTTGCCAAGAAGGGCATGAAGATCATTGCGCTCGTCGAGCTCGCCGCGCCCATCTGCGTCGAGAGGTTCAAGGACTATCCGCAGCTCGGACGATTCACGCTGCGAGACGAAGGGCGCACCGTGGCGATTGGAAAGGTGACCAAGCTCATCACCAACCCGGACGAGCTGCCGGATGTGGCCAAGCTCAGCGTCACCGAAGCCGCCTCGGCCGCGGCAACCAACTAAGCGACGGTCTAACGGTCAACTCGCAAAACGTTGGGGAGACGCCGATTTAAAGTTTGTCTTGTTTGTAGATAAGTCGAAAAAGTAAGCCCATGCATCCAGGGCTTCTCATAGTCTTGTTTGAGATTAGGATAAGATGGTGCGTAGCATGTGTCGGTCAGGTGGGGAGGGAGGGGGGGGACGGGCTTCCGTCGGCTTGGCGGTGCGGGGTTTGGGCAAGAAGACACTGGGTGATGTCACACAAGCATGCGGACGGCGTTTGGTAGTGTAGGCGAAGCGAATTCTCCACGTGCGTGCACAGTCGTGCAAAAAAGACAGGCCTGAGGTCTACGAGGCTGTAGAGGTAGGGGCGGATTTGAAGATGTTCCTGCATCGAGTGTGGTTTGGTTGGTGCAAAGCCATCGGGGGCCCAAAAATAGGACGGCGGATGCGATTCTTTTGGCGAAGCCGACAGTGTTGGGCGGAGCTTGGATTCGGCGGCGGCCGCTAAAAAAGAAATCCGCACGTTGGTCAGCGCGATCGAAGCCAGCATGCCCTCAACGCAGCCAGCAAGCCTTCTCGTGTCAATCAGCCTTGCGTGTCTTTCGCCCGAACCACAGAGCCGTATCAGAACCCAGCTCAAATTTGAAAGTCGCTGTGGGTCGAGCAGTCATAGGATCGCGAAGGGGGAAGAGTTGGTGTTCGTCTCGGGAAGAGGATTAGCTTTCGGAAGCCCAGATGTGAAACCTGCAGCGAAGCGGCCATGATTCAGGGCACACTGGTACCAACCATTCGCCCATGTCGAACCCAACGCCTGCCATTGGGCGTGCTTTACCCGATGCCCTACCCAGACTGCCTTGCGGACCAGGCATAAGTTGGTGTGGAGCGAAAAGGGGGGAAAAGTGGGGGGAATGGTCGCATGGCAGGACAATGAACTCGTTGGTGCTCAACCGATCCCCGCAGCCAGTGGTTCGCGTTCCTCGATTGGCCCACATTCATGCGAGTGCTCGCTTGCTCGGCGTCCGAATGGCGTGCCCTTGATACCGTCGATGCCCACTTGCACCCCTTTAGACCGGCATCATTTCGGCTCGCCCTCACCCAATCGTACAAGTATAGTCCTTACGATCGCTATGGCTGCCGTTCCAAACAACCACGCAACGGCGACTCTAAAATAGCATTATCACTATCCTTTGCGCAATTCTCGCCCTCATCCCCAACCCCTTTGTGCGACCGATCTGGGCGACAAGTACTGAGGGAGCTTGCTACATTGGGGTCGCGGATTGGAATGGCGGTTGTACCGCTGAGCCGACGGAAGAGGTTCGGTGTGGTGTTTGGCACTCCGATACCTTTTGGCCGTGCTGACGGTTTTGCACCGGTGAACTAGGTCGCATCGAATCTCGATGCTTCTCCGCACGCTCACCCGCCAGTCCGTCCCGGTGCGTGCTGCCAGATCTCGGCGCGGCCTTGCGCGGATCACACCGCTCTTCGGGTATCCGCAAGAACGCTCCTCGGGAGACAACCAAGCTAATGCGTAGAGTCATCACGCAGCATGAGCACTTTCTCCGCGTGCGCTTGGTGCATCCCCTCCCCCTCGTGTGTGGCCTCGTGCCGTGCCCTCGTGGCCGACATCCCTCCTCCCACAGCGAGACAGTCGCATCCCAGTGTACAGCTACAGTGGTCCTCTTTCGAACCAAAGCCTTAGGAGATATATCTTTGATGTGCTTCTTGAATGCCTCTTGTGACGGGACACCTTTTGTTTCTTCACCATCATCCCGAACACGAACATCGTGTGCCGAGCTGCGAATCGTTTCTCATACCCGCAGGACGATCGCGAGCAACGCCAGCCTCTCCCACCACCACCACCCATCGCACCAATCACCACCGGAATCCGCCTAGCAAATATGAGTGCCGTGACGATGCACAATGTAGCATGGCCGGCTGTTGCGCCCGCGTCGATGCACTATCCGCCCAGCACCTACCGCGCAGTACCTGTCTACCCGCCTGAGCTGGGGTACGATGCAGCACAGCGCGGCTACGACGCGTATACGGCCCGCGACGACATCCGTCCGCACATGGACGAGTCGTTTGTCAAGAAGCGCACTCGCCAACGCGTGTATCCGAGCGAAGAAGCCAAGCAGGCTGCCAAGATGCTCCAAAAGGCCCGTCGGCGCGAACAGAACCGAAACGCTCAACGAAGACTACGTGACCGCAAGGAAGAACACATCTTCAAGGTAAGCCCCCCCCCCCCCCCCCCTCTCTTCCTCCCAGCTTCGGTTAAATGGGGTGCTGACTTTGACTTTTCGCACAGCTGGAGGCGGAAGTGGCGCAGTTGAGGAGGCAGGGCGAACAGCAACGTGCCGAGATGCAGGGGTTGGAAGAGATGATCCGTCGACTCATGGAGCAGCGTTCTGAACTGCGTCACCGACTCGAAGCCCTCGGAGGCGCACCGCCGGGTGAGGCCGACTGGTCACTGGGAGGCGAAAAGTCGGTGAGACTCGCTCCTCTCCTGTCGCTGCCACCGTTGGGCGCAGGTGGGCAGGCTTCACCATCAGGCAGGGCGTCGCGCAGGGAAACGCTGGCTGGCAACGCTCTCGGGCTTGAATACGAGATGCCCAGTCAGTCGACATCCTGGAGTGCCTCGCCGAGTTTAGGTGATCGGGAGAGACCTGCTGTGTCACCGGTCCAGTCGAGCGCGTCGTCGGCATCCGTATCGACGCCGCGCTCGCCATCCTCGCTCGGGGTGTCGGAACCTCGCTCGCGCACGACGAGCTTCCATGCAACCGGACTGCGCAAGTCGCAACCGAACTTCGACTTGCCGTTGCCGAGACTCAAGATGGATGCATCCAACCCGCTCCTGCCACCGGCGCTTATGCCGTTGCCCCCAGTCACCGCGCCCTGGCCACACCAGTGAGAGCCCACGGCTTTCCAGCTCGGCCATTATACCCCCAACACCCCCTGGCTGCATCAGCAGCCCATCTGTATTACTAGACTGTCTTCCCCTTGGCTTGAGAAAAATCTCGGCGGCCAACGTCTCCATTCACGCCAAGACGCACCGCTCCTTTCCCTCATCTTTGCGTGCAGGTGTGTGCGTATGGGCGATGCAGCTCTGTGGGATAAGCAGTCGAGTTGAGGGTATAATTGCAGGATTAAAGGAACTTCTTTGCTGCGGCACGCACGCGTGCATCGAAGGTGGCGTTGTCAATCGGCGCATTGGCGTCCTGGAACGGGTTCATGGATACCTTGAGATACGCCTCCCACAGCTCGAGGAAGAAGCTCTTGATGCCGTCTTCGTGCTTGTGCTCGTGCAGCAGCACGAACTTGACGTCTGTCCATGTACAGCACAACTTGTCAGCAGATCTTCAGCTTTGACTCAATGCGTATGGGGGACACTTACTCCCGGGAACGACGAAGCAGCTCGTCGTGTACTCCTGAATCCGGTCGATGCTCTTCAAATATCTGTATGCGAAGCGATGTCAGTGTGCAATTCGCCAAACGAGGTGATCGACGATGGCTTACAGGTACGGGCTTGTGATGAGAGCGTCCTCGATGGTATCCAGCGCCGAGTGTGCGATCATCTGCAGCTCGTAGCGCTGCTTCCTTTTCGCCGCTGCTGCACTCTGGGCCTGTGCTGCTGCTGGCATCCCTGATGTCCCCGCCGTGGCGCTGCTGCCACCTGTCAGCGCCGAACCTGTCGTGGGAATGCGCGAGAGCAATCCACCGAACATGCCACTACCAGATACCGACTCGGCCGCACTCCCGCCCGCAGCGGCACCGGCATTGCTGCTCGTCGAAAAGATGCCGCTGCCCGTGGAGCTTGTCGAGGCGGTCTTGGGCGTGATCTCGGTCTCGTACAGCGGGTTATCGCGCGTGCCTATCAACGTGAGGTAGTACGACATGGTCAAGAATCCCGACGTAGCAAAGAACGACGAGCCGAGCAGAATAGATGGTGGAGAACGCACAAGCCCGCATCTGCCCAAGGAAAGCCTCGAAGTGTCCGTGCGAGCCGCCCCGGCTTAGTGGAAATCTCACATCCAGGAAAAATTGCGCCCCGCCTGAGCTCAAGAAGCGCACCTTCCTCAACCCGGACCACCACCAAAGATCAAGGCTGGGAGATCTGCACTGAATTGCGACGTCCGAGGCGGGCTGACGAGTACATAAATGAGTTGGACCGGGGAGCGAGACAGACACCGCCGTGAATGAAGGAAGAGACGTGAGGCCCGAAATGTGATTGAGAGTGGAGCGAACTTTAGATGGGGAAAGCGATTGCTGAGCAAAGGACAAGAGGTTTTCACTGCGTATCAGAACGCTGACCATGCGGAAAGGATGCGAATAAGAAGAATCGTGCGCAAAATCAGTAGTCATCGTGCTTGAGCGTGACCGACGAGAAGCCACTGAAGGGGTTGCTGACGACCGCATCGCCCTCTTCGTCGCCGACGTTCTTCTGGCCTGCGACCGCCTTGATGACAGCGGGCTTGGCGGCCTTGGTCTCGTTGCCTTGGTCGTCGAGGTTGAGGCTGCGAGACTCGCGCACGTTGCGGAAGTTGACCGCGTCGACGCCGTTGGAATAAGCAGGCACGATGGGCGGCGTCGAGTTGCGCAGCAGGCCCCACGAGATGTTGGAGAACCACTTGTGCTGCTTGACCTCGGAGGCGCCCGACTGGCTGCCCATGCGCTTGAGCTCGTCCTTGATGAGCAGCTTACGGATGAGCGACTTGCCGAACGACGAGATGGGCGTCGAGTCGGGGAACTGCACCTCGTTGCGCAGCACGTTGGAGAAGGTCTCGTTGCGTGTGCTGCCCTTGAAGGGGGTGGTGGCAAAGATCATCTCGTAGATGAGAATACCCAGCGTCCACCAATCGACGGCCGAGGTGTGGCCGCATCCCTTGATAACCTCGGGAGCGATGTACTCCTCGGTGCCGACGAACGAGTTGGTGCGCAGATCGGCGATGCAGCTCCTCGTGTCCACGAGCGGAGCGCTGCCGGGGGTGGCTTGTCGGATCATGGCAGGAGCGCCGCCGCGCTGGGTGGCCCGCGCGGAAAGGTCAAAGTCGGAAAGCATGACGTGGCCGCTCTGGTGGAGCAGGATGTTTTCGGGCTTGAGATCGCGGTAGATGAAGCCCATGAGATGGAGGTATTCCAACGCAGCGATGACCTCGGCGGCGTAGAATTTGGCGTCCTCCTCCGGCAGGCACTTGCCCGGACGGGTCTGAAGCGCACGGAAGAATTCGCCGCCCATGCAGTACTCCATGCAGAGGTAGAGGTAGTCCTCGGACTGGAAGGAGTGGTAGAGGGTGACGATGAAAGGGTGGTTGGAGGCGGCGAGGATCTCTTGCTCTGCCATGACGCGCTTGATCTTGTTGCGCTTGATCATCTCCTTTTTGGAGAGGACCTTCATGGCGAAGAGCTTGTCGGTCTTTTTCTCGCGGACGAGGTAGACCTTGCCGACGTCGCCCTTGCCGAGCATCTTGACCTTGCTGAAGCTGTTGGGGCCGACCTCGACCTCTTTGACCTTGATGCTGTTGCTGGAGTAGGTGCGTCGGAAGCTGCCGGGCCCACGGTTGACGCCCGTGCTGCCGGCGAGGGCGGCGAGGTTGGCGGAGCTGCTGGGGGGCGGGAGCTGCGATTTCTTGTCCTTGCCGTTGGAGCTCTTGGAGCGGCCGGAGCCGGGGAAGGCGATGCGGCCGGACTTGGGGGTGGAGGAACCCTTTGCGCTGACGGACCTGCCCTTTTCAAAGTCCTTGTAGCTGAAGGAGGTGGCGTTGCTGTCCATGCGGACGGGCGAGTTGGTGAAGTAGGTGGGGTTGGATGAGTCCGTGTTGGCTGCGCCGCCTTCGGAGGCAAACTGACCATGCTGGGCGCCCGAGGCGTCTGGGGAGAGGTAGCCGTTCTTGGTGGAAGCGGCTGCATCGCCGCCCTTTGCAGAGGCGTGTTGGCCGTTCTTGAAGAGCTTGTTGGCGTCCGGCGCACTGGAGACGCGCCTCATGAGGCGGGAGGCGAAGCCCTGGTGGTTTGCTTCGTTGTCGCTGATGTCGGCGGGTGGCTGCAGCTTGCCGGAAGCTGAGGCGACCATTGCGTCGCCGATGGAACCGGAGGCGTTGCGATCTTCGGACGAGTAGCTGTCGTTGGAAAAGGAGCTGGGATCGGTGACGACGGTGCTTCCGTTCATGGGCTGGAAGGAAGAGGAGCCGGCGATCTGGTGGTGTTCAAAGTAATCTTGGTTCCTGTTGTTGCCGGACTCGGTGGAGTCGGTGTGCCAGCTGCGGTCGTGTGCGCCGTGGTTGGGGGTAGTGCTGCCGCTGGCCTTTCTGCCGATGGAGCCGAACTTGAACATCTGCTTCCACTTTTTGTCCTTGGTCGCACCGTTGGACTGATGCGGGGTGGTGGAGGAGTGGTAGGGACGAGAGGAGTAGGGAGCTGGGGATTCGCCGATGCCGGAGCTTTGCATGCGAGCGGCATGGGAAGGGGTGTTGGAGCCGCTGGCGAAGCTGGAGGTGGATTGGTTGGGAGGGGTGGCGTAGGCGGAGCCGGTGTCGTGTACGGGTGTGGTCGAGATGGAATTCATGGCTGATGATGCAACGATGGATGGCATCGCGACTGTAGAGGTAGGAACGGAAGGTGTGGACGTCGCGGATGTGCGTACGTCGAATGAAGCCGAGCGACAGCTGGAGGGGACGACCGAGTACGTGCGTGCGTGCGTAGCGCTTGCTCTCAGCGAAGGCGGTAGGATGTGGAACGGCGTGCGAGTCGAAGCAGGGAGCACGAGCAAGGGTGGCCTTTTAAGACAGAGTCTGTCCAGTCGAATCGGGGCCCGTTCGGCGCTTGCAGGGTAATTGCAGCTCAGTCGGCCAAGATCACGATGAAGTGATGAAAGAGACGGATGGTTCGTGCGGCCGTCGTTATTGATCGCGAGTAGGTGAAGAGGAGGGCACGGGGGAAAGATCGAGGTCCGCGAGCGAGCGAGCGAGCGAGTTTGGGAAGGAAGAGCGAGGTGCGACGGTGGGGAGCCAAGGAAGCACGAGCGTGCGGGATGGCGGGGAAGATGGGCGACGAGTTAGAGTAGGTGGGGGGAGCAGACAGCCAGACAGCCGCCAAGTGTGCGAGCGGTGATGGGTGCGCGACACTCAGCTCGATTGCCGAAGCACAGCGAGAGACAGTGTGCGAGTGAGTGAGTGAGTGGCTGGCTGGCTGGTGTGCGCTGTGCGCTCTGCAGTGTGCTGTGGGCGAGTGGGATTGCGTCGCTGTGACAAGCGGGGCTGCAGGCAGCTGCGCGTCTGCTCGTGCTGGCGCGGTTCAGGGCTGCAGAGCCAGAGCCAAAGCCAGCCGGCCATTGCCAGCCAGCGTCAGCCAGGGGGGCGCTTGAGCGTGCGAAATCCGAAAAGGCGTGCCAAAATCCGTGCGGATGCACCGGAGCCACCGAAAAATCCCAGCCAATTTCCTCGCTCGTTCGCTGCTTCGACTGCAGCTTAGGGACGGGCGGCGGGCGGCTCACCCAATTCGGCCAACCACTGCGTCCCCTCAGCACACGCGCGCGGGGCAAGCCGAAATTTTCTGGCAGCCCAACTACAGAAATTCTTTTTCTTTTCCGACACAGGGCGGCCTTCTGTCGGTGATTCGCAATTCAAAGCCATTCGCACGGCTGCTTCATCAGACACCGCAGCTCAGTCTTTCAACCTATCCGACCTTGCCTGCACTCGCATGGCCGCGATTGGGTCATAGCTGAAGAGTTCCGGGGCTTCAATACAGTTCATCCAATGCTGCGCTGGAAGCTTCGTGCACAGGACGAGCAGCAGTTTACGCCGGCGTCGGTCGCGGTTGTCACCGCTTGGCTTCGAATTCGGGCTGCGCTCGACTCGTCTGCGAAGCGAGCCGGTCCACCGAAATTTGGGGGGCTTTCTCTCTCCTCGCAGGGCTGCATGGGGCCCGACAGCCACGCTGCAGCGCTGCTCGCTCGGCCCACTCCTACAGTCTCTGGTCAAATTGGCCAGGGCAGCCCAAGACGTGCTGCAATCTGCCGCCCTGAGGTTCCTGAGTGGCATAGCGATCCGTGCCAATGTCGTCCGGCAGCCTGATCGCCGTGCCACGCTCTTTGACCCCTTCTTTCGGATTGACTGCCGATCGCTGCCGTCAGAGCTCTGGAAGCGATGTCCTAGCGCCGGCTTCCTGCCAGATCGCTGCCATCGGTTATCGGGCTGCCTCGATGGCCATCGCTACATCCAGCCACGGCGGGCTTCAAGCCGATCTGCACACTCTTTTGTCCATGCGCAGCGCACATGCCACTCGCTCGCTTCCTTTGCCCCGTCCACGCCAGCATGCTATCCGCCACGCGAGCCTCAAATGCAAAGCCGATGTCGTGCGAGTGAACCGGAGCCCAATCTTCATCGTCCGCTTCAGCGCAAAAGCGGATCATGAGTCAACTGACATGGCCGTCTAGCTTGCTTCTACCACCTATGAGTACGAGTTGCAAGTACGTTGCGGCGAGAACCAGGTCGGGGGTATAATACAAAGGACGCTGGGCGTATGAGCGAGCTTCAGACGCTTGAGAGATCATGAGCCAGCGATGCGGTCCGAGTCGAGCTGCGCAAGCCGCCTAGCGCACTCGCTCGAACGAGCTGGAGCGACCGAGGATCACCACAGAAAAGTCCATGATCTGCCATCCCACCATGGTGCAAAGGAAAGTCCGATCGTCAGCGTCAATGCATGAGATTCGTCTTCGCTCTGTTCGTGCGGCTGCTGCTTACCCATTCGCCCGCTTCCAGGTAGATGCGCATCAAGTTGCGAAGATCCTTGTTCGGCATCCGAGACACCGCTGGCGTCAAGCCCGTGCTGCGCTTGATCCCGGACAGCGCCACGCTCACCAGCATGGCATCGAAGAGCAGATGAAAGATGCGTCCAAACATGATGCCTGATCGTGTCTTGTTTGAAGAGATTCGCAACGAACGGCCGAGGTGGTGACGAGGTGACCAAGACGACGACGGCTTGCGTGGGTGGGAAGCTGATCTGAGATTGCGGAGGCCCAAACGCAGGGTTCAAGTGCCAGCCTCCTCGTCCCGCATCGCCGCCCAAATTTTCGGCGCGCGCGCGCCCCTACGCACGCGACCCTCCACGCACCTCATCCCGGCTGCTGCTGCTGCTGCACTTTGATCGCTTCGCCTTGGCCGACCGACCCGGCAGCGGCCCCCTCTGCCTAACCTATTGTCCGCAGCAGCCCACTTCCAGAGCCACCTCTCCGACAATCGCATCTGCTCCAGAGCAACACCGCTGCGTTGTGCTGACCACTCGCTTCCAGGACCCGCAAGCAACAAGCTCGCCGAACCAGGATTCGAGTCTTGCCGTCGCCGCCCTGTCGATTTTCGCTGTCCCCCCAACCAGATGCATCCCGCAAGCGCCGGCACAATACCTCGAGACCTCAAAGATCAACTTTCGAGCCGCTCCAGAATGCTGCGGATCTCATCAGGGGCACAGTGTGACTCACTAACAGTCACTTGATTTCGCTGGCATGGATCCAGTGTGATGAATTTGGTGGGACTCAATGCCCACTTCTGCCTGTGATGACTGATCAGGGAACATACTGTCTAGATAGGATTGTCACGTGATCGGTTGGGAGCGCTTTAATTGGCTGGATCTCAAGGAGCAAGCTGAGCCTGACTGAGTTGTTGTCAGATGTAATGACTGGCTAGAGGGCTTTGTGGAGCAGTGAGAAAATTTCCCTTTGCAGCTCCCAATCTCAGGCAGTGAGTCTGACCTGCAAGTTCAACTCTCAGGCCAAGGAGCAGAACCTATATCTAGGCCAGCTTTCTGAAGGCAACCTCCCAAACTTTTCCCCCCTTTTTCCACCCTCCTTCAACCTCCCTCCTTCATCCCCTCCTCTGACTTTTCGAATTCCTGAATTTTGCCCCCTTCTTTCTGTTACATTTTCTCAACTCAGCATTGAGACGCGTCTGCGATTTTGCTCCACTTCTTTACGCGCCTCCTCGCCTGTCTCGGCAAGCTTCCGCTCCGCCGCCGCCGCCGCCGCGTCGCGAAACAAGCTTCTCCTCGCCGTCTCGCAACGCGCAAAGGCCGCATCGCTTTCAAACACTCGACGTCTGCGCCTGGTCATCAGCGACGACTTCATCGTCGAGCGGATATCGCATCCCTCGTCAACAGACATCCTTCCAGACGCTGTGCGTCTATCGTCGGGGCATCCAGCCACAATGCCGCCTGTCAAGCCCGAGGAACGTAAGTACACCAAGCAACACTCGAGTGACGCTCTCTTCGCGCGCTTTACTGACTCTTGGTCTCATCCTCTCTCTTTCTTGTATCACACTTCTCTCCGGATCGTCACACCCCACCCGCTTCCGCTCCTCTCGACACACCGTCCGCTTGCGCATCTCTCGACACCCTTAAACGCATCCGCTCCCGCACTTGCGCCTCACCATGCTACTATCAACTCGTTCGCCGACATCTGTGGAACATCCGCTTGCCACTCGCGCATGCCTGCTACTTTCATGCTGTTGCCTGGCTAACCACCATCCCCGACGCTCATCTTCTCTCTCTGTACATATCCGACATGCGGCGCCTCTTGTCATTTCGCAACCCCACAGGCGACGAGTTCGACGAGCTCTTCGACCATGCGGGCGACCTCACCTCGGACTCGGCCCCTAGCGACAACGATGAAGAGTATACCGGCAATGCCTCTACATCCCGCGCAGCTAGGAGGAAGAAGGGCTCTTCCAAGATCCTCGAGTTAGGCCATATCCTCAAAGCCCCGCGCGCGGCTCAGTTCTCCACAAGCACGATCTACAACATGATCAAAGAGGACATCGTCGACCTCGAACCCGAATACCAGCGAGGCGTAGTCTGGCCCGCGGACAAGCAGTCGGCGGTGATTGAGTCAATCATGCGCCACTATTACGTCCCGCCAATCCTCCTCTCCGTGCAGAAGGAGGAGGAAGCCGGAGGCGACCTCACCTACGTCTGCATCGACGGCAAGCAACGTGTGTCTTCGATCTGCAACTTTCGAGACAACAAGATCCCCGTCAGGGAGCCCTCCACCGGCCGCAAGTTCTGGTACAAGGAGGACCTCGAAACAGGCAAGACGCCCGCGCTCACGCCCGCACAGCGTCGCAAGTTCGACAATGAGCAGCTCACCATTGTCGAGTTTGACGACCTCTCGGAGGAGACCGAGCGCGACATGTTCAGCCGTGTCCAGATGGGTGTGACGCTCTCGTCGGCCGAGAAGCTCGGTGCGCATCTGGGCGCCTGGCCGGACTTCATCCGCCAGATGGTCAAGCGCTTCATCGACCCTACACCTTCGCTCATTCACGACGATGCGGGCAACACCATGCTGCTGGTCAACCGCGGCAAGGACTATCTCTTCATGGCGCAGATCGCTCTGCTCATCCTCCACGCCAAGCAGTCGCAGTACGTGCCTTCGGCTCATACCATCGACACGTTCCTCAAGCAGAATGCCGATTCCAAGCCTTCGCCCAGCATCCGTGCCAACATGCAGCGCACGCTCGAGCGGTACGTGGCGCTGGCCAACCACGAGCGCTACGGCGCATGCATCAAGCCCGAGATCAAGCTTAACCGTCTGGGTCGTCCCGTCTCCAAGCCGCTCTCGCCCGCCGAGTTTGTCTACATTGCGTTCCTCATCTACAAGTTCCCTGACGCGACTGTGTCGCAGCTCTTCCGACTCGTGCAGGGATTGAAGCAGGAGGTGCGATCCAAGTTCAAGGACGTGCTGTTCAACTCGAACGTGGCCAGCGTCATGCGCCAGTACATCAACCACGCCACTGCCACGCCGGATGCAGAGTCGATTGCGGCTTCGCAGGCGTCCGGTTCGAGCCCACGCAGACGTCCTCGTGACGCGGCGGCTGACGACGACGACGATGCCGATATGCCACTGGCTTCCCGCCGCCGCCTCAATGGAGGTCTCGACGTCAACCCTGACGCAGGCCTCTTCCGCGGCGTCAGCCAGGACTCGCCCTCCCGCAACCCTCTCAGCAACATGTCGCCCGCTCCCGCCCGACACTAAGCCATCTAATCGCTCCATGGGATCCGCTTCAAGCGCAACCGGCCATCATCTTGTACCATTACTCGTATTCCTCGACGCCGTCATACTCGCATCGCCCATTCATCACCGTCAATGCACCATTTTTACCCACGCAAGCGCAGAAAGATCTCGTGAGAAAAAAGGTTGGATTGTCCATGCAAAAGAAGCAAATGCTGGGCCTTGATGTGCCAGCAGCGATGCATCGAACCGCATTGCTGGCTACACCAAGCAGGCCCGATGAAAAAAGTATTATGCTACAGGACCATAGGATGAAACGATGTAAGTGAAAGCGTAGAGAGATAGCAGCGACAAAGATTTTGTAAGACGCCGTCAAGAGCCTCTTCGGTGTCGGAGGCGAGGCATCGGCACGCAAATTTTGGGACGGGCCCCGCTTATGAGCAAGCTTTGCCCGTCATTGATGAGGAGGGGGCTTTGACCGATCGTTCAGTTCTCGCCGTTGCGGACGGCCAGTCGGCGACCGTAGTCCTGGTCGTCGCGCAGGCTCACAGCCGAGCCGGCCTCATGCGCTCTCATGTCGATGCGGCCGTCGGTCTCGTTGCTGCTGCTGCTCGGGTCGGCGAAGATGTTGCCGCCTCCCTGAGCTGGCGGGGCGTGCGCAGCGTACATCTCCGACTCGAGCGGCGGCGAGGCACCGGGTGCCCAGTTGAGCTGGGGCGCGCCGGTGTTGCTGTAGCCGTGACCGCCGCTGCCGGCGCCGTACGGGTCGTCGTGTGCGCTCTGGCTGTATCCGTTGTCGTGGCCCATGGAGCCCATGCCGGCGTAAGCGCCCTCGTTGCTCATTCCAGTGGGAACGCTGTCGTAGTAGTGCGATCCATCGGTGCCTGCGGCGTAGTATCCGGCAGCACCGCCGGCGGCAGCACCCGCGGCCATGGGGCCGTAAGCGCCCATGCCCGCGTAACCTGGAGCCGTTCCGCCCGACAGGTGGCTGGGCTCGTATCCCTCGTTGGAGTGGCCGTAGTTGTTGTAGTACTGCTGCATCATGGCGTTCGAGGCACCGTATGCTCCGGCACCTGCAGCAGCGCCACCAAGAGCGGTGGCGCCCGTGCCGTAGCTGGGGTCTTCGATCATTTCCGGGTCGTCGTCGTCGAAGGGCGTCCTGGTAATAGCCGCAGCGGCCGAGGCGGCGGCAACGACGTCGGCATCCATCTTCTGCGCCTTGCGACGCTTCCACAGCATGTAGAAGATGCCGGCGACGATGGCGGCGCACACCAGACCCACCACGGCGAAGGTGCCGCCGACTGCGCCCGAGTTGCTGAAGAAGCCGGACGAGCCACCGTTGTTGCTGCTGTTGCCGCTCAGCTGGCCGTTGGCGGTGGTGACGGCATAGGCGGTCGAGGTCGACGTCTGACCATTAGGCAGGGTGATGGTTGTCAGAGAGGTCTGAGTGGTGATCACCGATGGCGTGAGGGATGTTGAAGTCGAGACGGCAGATTCACTGCTTGGCGAAGGATCAGGCCGAGAGGAGGATGGGGATGGTGGTGCAGAAGACGATGATGTTGACGAGATGGGCGATGAGGTAGAAGAGGTCAGAACGGCTGAGCTGGACGATGATCTGCAAGCAGTGCGAACAAGGCATGTCGAGGAGTACGGCGTGTCCAGGGACAGTCACGAGGCCCGCACCGTCGGCGGTATACAAAGAGTGAGATGATCAACATCGCGCCCCCTCACGACAAGGAGGAAGGCCAAGCAAGCCTGACAAAGGAGAGGGCGGGGGAGTATGCAAGGGCGTGGGAACGACGGGCAAGTGATGCTGATCTGGAAGCTGCCCGTGGTGCGTCGCCGTGCGCGTGGATGCAATCATCACTGCGCTCACACCCCGGGACTTGCCGACATGTGTGGAAGTGTGGGGCGATGTGCTTGTTTCTTCAATCGTACTTACGTCGAGGTGGGTGTTGCGCTTGTGGACGAGGTTGTCGGTTCGGTGCTCGTGGACGAGGTTGTGGGTTCGGACGACGAGCTCGTTGTCGTACTTGAGGGCGTGCTTGAAGTGGACGAGCTTGTCGGGGTGGTGGTGCTCGAGCTGCTGCTCGGAGTAGTGGAGGACGACGAGGACTGGAGAAAGTGGACAGAAGGCGGAAGAGGGTCAGCTCGAGCTTCTAGGGATGAATGGAGGCAACGCGGCCGGTGACAGGCAGGAAAGCCGGCGAGACAGCTAGACAGAAGCAGGATCCGCATCCATCGAGCTCGACGAGCATCGATCGGCCCAAAGCCGACGAGCTTGTGGCCGTCTGCATCTGACCTTGTTTCCGCCTAAGCTTGCAGGCAGGGGCCATGCTGATGCGAGGACGAGTCACGGAGCTTACAGTGGGGATGGGCCGAGAGGTGCTCGACGAAGATGTCGGCGCATCGGTCGTGGTCGAACTTACGGTGCTCGAAGTCGAGGTTGAGGACGACGACCTAGAGGAAATCAGACGCAAGTAGGAATGAAGACAGGACCAGTGTCAGTTACGACGATCCGATGATTGTCGCAGTGGCGACGGGCGACGAGAATACGCCAAGTGAACTTACGAGGTCGACCTGGTAGTGGAGGAGGAGTCTGTTGTGCGGGTGACGGTGATGGTTTCTGAGGACGAGGGAGGAGTCGTTGCGAATGATGACGAAGCGTTCGTACCAATCGAGTCGGATGACGAGACAGGGTCGGAAGCAGATGTTGGTGCTGGGTCAGCCATTGTTGCGGTGGTGAGAGGGGAGGAAGAGGTGGCAGAGCGAGTGGAAGGTGTTGAGGCCTGTCCTGAAGCCGTCAAAGACGTCGATGAAGACGATGTGCTGGTCGAGGACAGGCCAGCGCTTGATCGTGTGTTCGAGCTCACGTTTGAGACGACGGGCGGTCAAACGCCAGCCACGAACAACGTCGACGATGAAGGGGTGGGGGAGGATGATGGAGGGGTGGCGAAGATGAAGGGAGGGAAAAAGTGGCGGCTTGACACAAAATCGCCGGAGGGACAATGTGGAAAGCGGATAAGGATGATAGCGAAGGATGGAAGGGGGAAGGGAGGCGAAGGAACGGGGGAGGGGAGCAAGCGAGGAGTGGCGGTCCGTATGATACTCACGAGTGGAGCCATCCGGGTTGAGGATCGTAGACAGGAGGGAGCCGAGAGGGTCAATAATGCCCGCTGCAGGTTCAGATCACAGTGCAGGGAAGGGCGTTGGGCGGAAATTTTGAGGGGCACATGCCAAAAGTCCAGGGTAAAAAAATAGGACAAGGCAGTGCCGACCAATTGGGACGGCAGCACCCAAAATCGAGCCGCAGGTGCATCAAAGGTTTGGGCAGCGTTGCCAGAATTCAGGAACGCATCGGAAGGATGCGAAGGCAAACAAGCCGATCGAAGCCAGTTCCGAGCGCGCGCACACGAGAGCGGGAGCGCGGAACAGCGACAAAAGGCGGGGGCCGACAAGAGGGACGTCGGAGGAACATGCAAGGAATAGAAAGGCGAGAGAATCGTCGTCTTTTGTCAACATTGCTTGTTCGGTGCTCAGGCTCGGTGGAGATCAAGCCTAGGACGGTGTCTTCGAACCCGAAGCGACAGCCAAGCTGCCATCCTTCGACCTCGTTTGCACACCGCCTGCGAACCCTCTTTGTGGCCCAAGTGGTCTTTAGCCGGCGACTGTATTAGCTATCGAGGAATGATACTGTCGCCCAGATGCGAAGCGTCGAGTCGAGCCCAAGAGGCCCATGAACAGCTGGCCCACCATGTCTTTCGCGGAACATATGACCGATGACGACGGACAGACTAGCAGGACTGATGATCATGACGGCTCAGCTTCACTTGCATGAGCTGAGTTGCGACTCTTTGCGATCGCGAGAGCTGGCTTTGATCGGCGTCAGCCTGCACGCTCGTTCATGCGAGGCAGTATGATCGCAGAAGGACACGGGCACCTGAGATGCTGTGGGACGCTCGCAGAAGCGCTGCATCTCTCGACGTGGATCTGGCGCCGAGCGGATCATTCACACGGAACGCTGGGCCAAAATCGGATCACCTCCTCGGCGAGGGCCGACGGTTGACCGATGCCAGTAGGAGTCGTGGACGAATCGCCGGCTAGACAAGAGAGGGACAGGGATCCGCGGTGCGTTGCTTCCTTAGTGCGGCTGTGCGGCTGCACATGATGCCAAGGAAGCGAGCGCCAGGCTGCGAAGAGGAAGTGTGCGACTTACCCATGTTGACTTGGTCGGGCGCTCCGATTAGCGCGGCGCGAGGCGAAAGGCGTAAGATGCGAGGTGCGAGGTCGAGTTGCCGGTGAGGCTGATGAGCACGAGGGCGGGCGGCAAGTGAGAGGCCGAAGTTGCTGATAGGGAGAAGGGAGGATGTGACGGCGGCAACGCAGTCAAGGATGAAGCAGGTGGCGTGATGAAGCAACACGGGAGTCGGCGGCAACGGCTCTTGGCGGCGTGGGGCGAGAAGCCGAAAAGAGGGGATGTTCCTGATCGGGACGGAAGGGATGAGTGAGGAGGGTAAGAAGAGCGTGTGATTTTGAAAAGATCACGCTAATCAGGGTGGGAAGGCGGTCTAGACAAATGGACAGGGTAAGCGGAAGATGCGATGTCCGTTGCGATGATGGAGGGTGGGAAAGATCAGATTCGGCACGGTCTGACCATATGGACGGGTGTGCCGCGACTGCTGTTGGCCAGGTGGAAAACAAACTAGCAACGGCGGCAGCAGCAGCTGGGCGGAGGGCGGGCGAAGGGCGGTACAGCTGCACCTCTGCCGTGCAGCTGATGGCTTGCAGATGTGCGGTGGGCCAAGAAATTGCAACCAAAAAAAGGCACGGCAACGTGTTTGCGACTCGATCGCGAGGTTGGTCGGCAATTCCGAGGCGGTCGAGCCTTGAGGGGCCCTAATTTCGCCGCGCGAATGCACCTCTTCGCAATGGAGCGTCAGCCTGCATGCCCAGGTGACCGCCTGCGCTGACTAGCAACAAAGCGAGCCCCCCTCGAGATCGCGCAACCAGCGGAGTCTCGAAGCCGCCAAACAACACACCCTCCCCTGCGAGGGTCCAGGCGAGGTCCGCGGCGGCGGCTCGTTCTGAAACTCGCAAACATCACCTTGGCCTTCCGTCTTGGCTTCCGTTCACGTCGGTCAGGTTTGGCTTCGATGGAGAAGCCGGATAAGCGAGCACCGAGGAATTCCGCAGACGCATGACCGTTTCCACACGCAGGCCCCATCGCCAAATGTAGGCCAACGCAAGGCTCCTGCACCCTCGAATGATTCTCACCAAAAAAAGAAAAAACGGGACTCGCCGATATGCAAGCTTTCGGCTGATCCGATCAGGCCGCTCATCTCACGGCATCGCCCAGGAGCAGCTTCAAATCGGACCTGACCCCGATCTCCACCATGATCCTTTGCCTATCGGCGCAAACTAGCTTGTGCTCTTTGACGAGAGACGACAAAACGATGCGGTCCAAGGCCATTACAAGTTTCATTGAGCTTATTATAAGATTGTCAGCGGTAGGTGGCTCCCAGGCGAGCACGCAGATGCTGGCCGCCGGTGAGCTCGGCGACGTCGGCAACCCCCTTGGCAGCGCAACGGCTCTGGAATTCGTGCTGGTCCATCATCTTTCCTTTGAACCTCTCGCGCACCGTCTCCGGAATCGGGAGCGGGACGAGGCGTGCGTCTTCGTCTGGCTGGCAAAAGTAAGCGATCGAGAAGCGCGAGCCGCTCTCGCTCTCGCTGCGCGGAAGAACGACGCGATGCTGCGTCGAGCGGAAGAGTCCCGCGCTCCAGAACTCCATGGCGTCGCCGACATTGACCACGATGCAGCCCTTTTGTGGGGGAATGTCGACCCACTCGCCCGGCTGCATCTCTACCTGAAGCCCACCCACGTCTTTCTGGAAGAGCAGCGTGCAGGAGCCGTAGTCCGAATGAGAACCAGCGCGGATGCTCATGGAGCTCTTGGATGCGTCGCTCGTGCAAACGCCTGTGGGAGGATAGTGGATCAGACGCAGTCGATCGTGCTCGCCGTGATGCGCGTCGACAAAGTACTGCGGCGGAAGATCGATCGCCTCGGCGAATCCGGTCAACACCGCCTCGCTGATCCGTTTGCAGTTCTCGATAAATCCGGCCACTGCTTGCCGCCGTGCCAACAGCGATGGAGGCAGACGCTGCGATGGTGGCCGGTATCTCTCCTCGACTGGTGTGGAGCCTCCCTCGGCCCTCGCCAGGCCCGCAAGGTAGAACGACTCCTTCAGATCGCCTTCCGACTTGCTGTTCGGGTCGAGACTCTCCTGCTTCAATGGCGTGTACCCCGTATTGTTGACCCGGTCCTGGCACGCAAGCTTCTCCGCCTCCTTTTCCTCGAGAAACAGCTCGGTGCTACATCGGAAGAGAGCATCGATTTCGTCCTGGCTGATGCCGTGGTCGCAGAGGTAAAAGAATCCGGTCTTGACCACCGCATCGAGGATCTGCGCGCCCAGAGCCGGTACGCCTTCTCCCGCACCGAGCGAGATGATCGGGATGGGCGCCGTGCCAGACATCTTGCTTGATGGCGGCAGGATTCGTCCAGTATTGAAGCGAGGATGGCCTGAGCTTGAGGGTCGACGTCGGATGTGCAATGAAGTTCCGGACCAGGACCCTGACCGAGAAAATCCATTGGACGATAAAGCTCGTCGGCAACTGGACCGGCCTAAAACGCGGCCTCAAGCGCTCGCGCGAAGAATCAGCGCAACCAAGACTCGAAAGCTCACGGGACCCCGCAGGCGCAACACCCTTTTCCCCACGCCGTGCACTGAACTTCAACAACGAGTCACTACCTCACACAGCAACTACATCATCATCTACACCATCGTCTCTACAAGCATCTCACATTTCGCTGGAGCCATGTCGAATCGGCCTCACGTGGTAGTATTGGGCGCGGGGGTCCTTGGACTCACCGACGCATTCGAGCTGCGCGAGCGCGGCTATAAAATCACTATCCTCGCCCGCGATCTTCCGCAAGACACATTCGCGCAGACCTTCGCAAGCCCCTGGGCCGGTGCCAACTGGTGCTCCTTCGCCACGCTCGAGGACAAGGCCAACCAACGCCGGGATGCAATCACCTTTCAAAAATGGCTCGAGCTGCACCGTCAACTGCCACCCGAAGTAATGGCCATGGTCGACTTTACCGACATCAGCCCTACCAAGCGCGAAGCCAAGGACGTTTGGTTCAGCAGTCTTGTTCCTGACTTTTCGGTGCTTCCCAACGGTGACGGTACGGGAGCACACGCGATCAAGTACAAGTCGTTCACCATCAGTGTGCCCCTCTACACGCGATGGCTTGTTTCGGAGCTCACAGCAACAACGCCCCAGCTCATGAACGCAGCACGTGCGGGGCCACCGGTTGACATTCGTCGGTGCTCGACAATGCAGTCCCTCGCAGCGGTACGATCGCTCATTCCAGACTGCACGCTCGTGGTCAACGCAACCGGTGTGGGTGCAGGTGATCTTGCCGATGTGCGCGATTCCAACGTCTACCCCATCCGTGGCCAAACGGTACTCGTCAAAGTACCCTCGTTCAAAGCGCCAAGTATGGGTGCACGCTGCGTGATGAAGCTCGGCAGTCCGGCAAACTATGTGATCCCACGCGCGAGGTCCGGCGAAGTGATCCTCGGAGGCTCGTTCGACATCCGTCAGTCCTCGACCACACCCGATAGGGAGTTGGCCGAGACGATCATGCGCGAGTGCGCCAAACTCGTCCCCGAAATCGTCCCGCCGGGCAAGACGTGGCGCGACATCCCCGTCATCTCCCACAACGTCGGCCTCAGACCAGCTAGAGAAGGCGGAGTGAGGGTCGAGCTGGAAGTGCTGAAGAACGACGCGAAGCCACTCACGGTGGTGCATTCGTACGGTATCGGTCCGGCAGGATACCAGGCTTCGTTTGGGATCGCTAAAGAGGTCGCAGACCTCATCGATGCACATGCTCAACAGGTCAGGCCCCACCTTTGATGTCGTAGAAATGCAAATCGTCACCAAACATGCTCCCAGCTGGCGTGCCTGTTCGATGCATGAGTCTTGAGGAGCACCACCAGCAAAGGTCGATGACGATGGCCTCAGCGCCACATGGACATGTCTCTGCAACGCGCACCCTTGGCACCGATGCTGAGATTCTTGCTTTCCGCATGCTTACGGATCGCAGACATACAGCTCCTGCGTCTCAGACCGCACTTACAAGCAAAGCAAACAATCATACCCATGAACATAAGACAGCGGCGACTACCAGTGACAAGTGTACGGGAAAAAAGGGAAGAGGGAGTGGAAGCAGGGATGGTCCGTGTCACAACAATCGAGTCGCTGCAGAGTAGCTGAAGGCTTCACGCAGCCTTGCGCGTCTTGGCCTCTGCAGCAGTGGCGGCGGCCGTGGAGGTGGCGAGCTGCAGACTGTCGAGGCGGTTGCTGAGGGCCTTGTTCTCGAGGTAGTCGCGACGTCCACGTGCAGGTGTATACGCGCCGCTGCTCATCGCACCGCCCGCGGTAGCCGAGCTGCCACTCGTCGACCGAGCTCCAAAGCCGCCGATGCGCGGACTGGCAGCCGCACTGGTGCTCGCGGACCGCGACATGCCCGTTCCGCCGCCCAGCTGCTGCATAATCGACGGCTGCGATGTAAACGCATCGTACTGAGGTCCCGCGCTTGCATCCGCATGGCCGTAAGCTTGCGCATGCGGCTGTGCATGGAAGATGCCATGCTGCTGCTCGTCGCGCTCGGCCGCATGACGTACGACACCCTGAAGATCCATCACCTCGCCCTTGTTCTCGTTGAGGATGTCGGCGTACGAAAAGAACGACAGCCTGCGCTTGTCCGCCGAGGGCGAAGGCGATCCGGAAGCCAGCGCCTGGAAGAGCGACTCGCCCGTGTTGAAGACGCCAAGCCCACTGCCGCTGGCGGGCAGGCCGAGCGTGCCAGGCGCAGCAGCGCGGTTGGCACCTGCAGCCGCGCCCATGCCTGGATGGTGCAGAGGCTGTCGGATGGTCGAGCCTGCGGCACTGCGACTGCGATCGACGACGGGACTGCTGGAGCCCGAGATGGCAGGCGGTGCGGGCGACCTGGGCACGTACGGACTGGCGGCCTGCTCTGCATCGTGAGCGGCCAGAACGTCTGCGATGGTGTCGAGGCTGTGATCGAGGGTGGCGACCTCGGTGCCCGAGATGATGGCGCCGTCGATGCTCACGCTCGACGTAGCTGGACGGCCGGCATCGGCGCCGGCAGCAAGCGAGGGAAGCGCCATGGCCGAGAGGTTGGGCGAGCTGGAGCGGTAGGGATTAGGGAGGGGCAGCGAGGGGAACGCAGTTGCGGTAGGCATGGGAGAGCTTGCGCCGACGGATGGGGTGAGGGGCGAGATAGCCTGCGCTTGCGAGACCGCAGCGACCAGAGAGACGGGTGGCATGGCGGGCGCTGGAGAGGGCGAGGCGCGGGATCGTACGGGGCTGCCACCGTCGGCCATGTCGACCATACGAGTGGCCTGAGGCGATCGCGAGCGCAGAGAGGTGGCACCGCTTTCAATGTCGGAACCGGGGCGTCGAGGCGCGCCAACCGTGCGCCTTGCGATGGCTTCCTCGGTAGTGACGCCGCGGGGGCCGAGCTTTTCGGCGATTTGTGCTGCCATGGAGCCGGGCGGCGCGTCGATGGGGCCGGATGCCGAGAGGGGAGGCGAGGGGGAGGAAGCGAACCCAAGCGAAGGCGAACTGGCACCCGAGTGGACCGAGAGTGCGGCGGAGCTGAGAGCGAGCGGGGGAGCGGGGTTTTGGGGCGCCACGACCTCGATCTCGGCGTCGTCCTCAATGATGGCCTCGACGGCATCGTCGAGGACGCTGGGGATGGCGACGTCGGTGGCCTCCTGTGCGGTCATGATGTGGGAGGCATCGCGGTGCTCGATGTCGCGCTCGAAAATGCTGGGCGAGCGAGGAGTGTGGGGAGTGTGCGAGGGCTGATGGTCAGGATGATGCCATGCGCCTGGGTGTGCGGGAGCAGTGAGGTTGGGCGGCGATGTGCCGGCGGGGGAAGCGGTGCCGTGGAGGCGGCTTCGAGCGGGTGAGCGGAAGCCGCTGGCGTTGTGCAAGTATGCGGTGGAGGCGTCGGCCGAGGCGGGCAGCTGCTGTTGCTGATGTTGGTGCAGGCTGTGAGCTAGATGGCTGGGAGTGACGCCCGCGCCGATGATTGGGTTTGCGCGCTCGGAAGCGGGCGAGGCGAGATGGGATGAAGGCGATGCGGCGGATCGAAGGCTGTGCGGTGCAGCCGGGGTGCGAGTTGGCGAAGTCGGGTGGGGCGAAACAGGTGCCGAGCCGAAGAGAAGAGCCGTGGAGGCTGGGGTCGAAGCGGGCGCTGGGTCTGGAGCGGGAGGATGCGCAAAGAGGCGCGAGATGCTGGATGCTTCCGCTGGGTCCGAGGGGAGGCCGTTGGCAGCGGGAAGAGCGCCCATGGCAGCCGCTGCAGTGACTGCATCCATCATGGAGGTGGGCGAATTGACAGCATGGGCTGGATGGCAGTCCGATGTGGATGCGTTGGTCGCGTGCGAATGAGTCAAGTCATGAGACGAAGGAGAGGGGCGAGTTGCCGGGAGCGGCGCGTCGACAATGATGGGCTCGGGCAGAGCGGGCGAAGCGGACATTGTGGAGTTGGAGGAAAGGAGTGTGGTGGAACAAAACTGTGCAAGCAAGGGGGGCTGGAATGGATGCTGGTAAAAGGGATGAAGGTCAAGCGTGGCGCTTATGAGGACTCTTGTTTCATCGAGCCCGAGTGGGGAGCATGGGGTGCATAGCAGAGCAGAGCGGTTGGCTGTGCTCTTGCGACGATTCGGCGATCGGGGTGGCTGGTTGAAGGAGAAGGAGGAGACGTATTGTAGCTTGGATGGATGCGTAGGATGGTGGAGGATGGTGGGATGGGGCGAACAAAGTGGGGAAGTGTGTTGGCTAGCAGGCTGTATGCACGCACCTGAGCAGGAACGAGGCATTTGGCGCCTGCCTGTGCCCCACTGTGCACACGCAGCCTGGCCAAGCGCGTCTGGGTCGGTGTGAAATGCAAAAGCTTGCCGAGTCGAGTCGGGTTGGTGCGTGCGGTCGGCAGACACTGGGCGCTCGACCCTCCTTTTTTTTCGAGGACCCCGGGTGGAGCAGCAAGCCGCGCGGCAGCACAGCCTGGACATGCGAGCCAGCCAGCGGGGAGCTTTATTTTTCAGCGCTGCTGCGTGTGACCGGCTGAGAAAAAGGTGGCGGCCGTGTCGCCTGGGCTCGGCCAGCCACAGGATCGCTGCAGCTGTCACACTGCGATCGGCATCCCAGACGGCAACATGCTCCGAAAGCTATGCTCGAGCAGCCTCACGTCTGTAGGAAGTGGACCCCAATTTTGGGCCTCAATTTCTCTGCCGGAATTCAACCTCGACTTCTGTACCGCCACCACGTGCCTCTCGTCCCGAAGATCAAGCCCCCAAAACTCAGAAAGAGCTTCAGACATCTCAAAGAAAGGAGCTCCTGTGCATTCCACTCGGACTATTGAATTGTTCTCTATGTAACTACAGATGCTACTTTACTTGCATCCAGGATGTGTGAGCGAGTTCTTGGGGATTCGATCCTTGGGGAACCTGGTGATGTTGACGTTGGAGTAGATGTCTTGGTGACGTTCAATGTAGGATCGCGTGGGGAACTCCTTTGGATCGCACGACACCCGATCCGCCCGACCGTCGCGCTGATACATGCGCACATAGTCGACCTTGAGCGTGCCGGGGAATTGCAGCCGGTCCCACACGGGCGGCTGGAAGTTGTACGCCATTCCCAAGTTGAGGATGATCGACATCGGTTCTCTCGGGATAAGCCTTCGGCTGATGTCCAGCTCGGGCACGCCCGTGAGCGCGCTCGCCCTCAGCGTCCACGTCGGCTTGTCGTCGATCCACCAAGTAATGTAGCTCGGCTCGCCGTTCAGCCCGATGCCGTCGCCGTTCATGTCCGGCTCCCACTCCACGCCAAAGTTGACGTACTGCGGATTCGCGTACCTCTGGTAAGCCCGGTCGGGGATCGCAGACAGCGCAGACACCGACTCTTGCAGCTCATTTCCGTGGTAGCCGTTGATCTTGGTCGTGTCGGCGTCGTGGATGGTGTAGTCGGTGCCAGACTTGTTGTTGTAAAAGTAGTCGACGTCGAACGGTGCCACTTGGAGCGACTGCGAACTCTGTCCACCATTAGCGCCGATGGTCGCCTCGAGCATGTCCAACTCGGGCGAGCTGCGCGCCACATTGTTGTTCGGGCCCGGGTGGTCTTCGCCCGGGCACGTGCACGCCGGGAAGCGCAGACCGGGGAGGTAGGAGAGCTTGTGGTTGACCTGGTAACTGAACTGACCGTTGGCATTGATCGCGTGCGCTGGACCACTGCCGTTGACCCATGTCTGGTTGGGCAGCGCACCCGTGTCGCATCCGGCGTACGAGTAGGGCCAGATACCCTCGTTGACACCGTTGTAGCCTGGACGGCCGAGGTTGCCCATGAGCCACAGGCCGGGCCAGAATCCCGCCACGTCGGGTGAGCCGGGCAGCTGGGCGCGCACCTCGAGGTAGCCGCCGGTGAAGCACGCCTTGTTCCACGACTGAAGCATGCCGGAACGGAAGTTGAGGTTGTTGGTCTCGCGCTCCTCGAAGCTGATCTGAAGCTTGCCGTCGGTGGTGGTGTTGATGGCTTCGGGTGTGTAGTATTCGTAGTCATTGGTGCCCGAGTACCAGCCGTGAAATCCCTCCCAGAACGGGTCCTCGCCCGGCCAGAAGGAGCGGCCGGGGATGTTGAACTCGTCGCTGAAGACGAGATGCCATTTCGAGTCGTCGACGGTGGAAGTTCGGTTGTAGGCGGACTGCGGGGTCTGCTGATCGATGAGGCCGCGCTTCATCTCGGAGGGGAAGGTGGTGTACTGGTTGGTGGTGCTGAGCGAGGAGGAAGCGGTGCCGTCCGAATGCTGTTTGCTGATCTCAATGATGACGGGGTATCCGAGGAAGAGCATGAGCAGGCACGCGAGGATGAGCAGCAACGTGCCGATATTGAGGATGCCCCTCATGGACGTGATGGACTCGTGCATGTCTGATTTGGGAAGCTTTCGGTGATCGTTGATGCTAGGGTCGTGCAGCCAGTCGTCGTCGTCCGAGTCGTACGCCAACGCGGCTGCGCCGGGCGCAGCAGTGCGACCTGCCGCACCACGCCTGTTGAGCGCGGTCTTCTCGTCCGTAGTATAGCCGCTCTTGCCTCCGGTGAAGCTGCTGGCGCTGCTGAACTGGGAGGAGTGCACGCTCACTTCGGACGACGAGCCGCGTGCGCCAGCATTGTGTGCGCCGAGGAAGCGAGGAGTGCCGCTGTTGGACGAGTGTGAGCCGGTCGAGGTGGAGTGGAAGGTGCTGGTGGGGTTGGCAGCGGTGCCTCGGCCAGGTTGCACGATGTTGGAATGCTGAAGGCCCGGCGCAGGCTCGCGTCGGAAGGGTCGCGAGTAGCTGCCTGCGTTTTGTGAATGTGAGTCCGAGTCTGAGCCAAGCAGACCGGCGCGGTCGGCGTCGCGGTCGTGGTTCATCATGCTGACCTCTCTATGGCGCGCTCAATGACAGTGAGGGCGGCAAGTAGGAGGGTGGTTATGGAGCAAGGGAACGAGGTGGTCAGGACGGAGGGGACAAGCGACGAGCGTTGAACTCAGCCCAGCTCAGTGTGATTGCTCGTGCTGCGACAATCTCGGGTGGTCCGAACTCTGCAAGCAGTCCGACTGTTCGAGGCTGGTCTGAATTGGCCGCTGTGGCTCCACGGTACCACTCTGCGCTCAGAGGGCAACTTTTACTGCTGGCAAGCACAGGCGAGCGGCATTGATTGGCACCTCGAAAGACGGCTCAACGGCCCGACCGTCGGTATGATAGGCGTGTGCGGCAAAGCCCTCGACATTCCACCGATTCGGCGTGCGGACAGCGGTTCGGACTTCTTGGCGCAGATCCTTCGCGCTCTCGCGTCGTCGGAGAGCCGCAGCCGAGCAGACATTGCAGACAGGCCAAGGGTCGGCGACGATCACTGTGAGCAGCTGTGCGGGAAACCCAAGCTGCACCGATCCGATCCAAAGCAGGAAGGAAGGAGTGCGGTTTGCAGCTCGGAGGGAATTTTTTTCGAACCCTCTTGCCCTGTGCTTGCCCTGTGCTTTGCTGTGCCTGCCGTCCTTGACATGCGGAAGGGTGCAGGCTACATGCATGCCAAGAAATGCGCCATGAAACTGATCGGCAACCCGGAGGCGAGCTTCTCTGCTGGCATCCTTTTTCTCGCCTCGGCTCGGCGGAGCTGCTGAACCACCGCGGCTCGGTCCATAGAATCACCCGCCGGTGATTTTGTGCGACCTTTCGCCTCTGGTTCTGCCTATCTCGCCTCGCTCTTTGCTCGCATGCCATCGGAACTTGCGACGCAGACCGTGGCTGGCTTGAGTGCTGGAACGAGGCAACAAGCGGTTGGTGGCTCAGGCCTGCAGCATTTGCTCTGCAACCGCAAAAGGCGGCCAAATAGCGCTGGCTGCACGCGCGCATGCAGCTGGCTGCGCCTGGCTTCGCAACATCCGACGTGCAGCGAGCCCTTTGAGACAATCACGGAATTCACACGCTCTGCCAACAATCACACCGTTGGTCGGAGTTTGCCGCCGATTCCGCGCTTCTTCCGACAAGTCGCCGGAGCAAACGTTGGCCCTCGAGCCTCAAAGTTTCGATGCAGCTATCAACTTGCAGCAGCAGCCAGCAGCACGGATAGCAAAGGTGCTAAATGGATGTACCTGCTTGGCGACCTCACAGCTGATTCTGTGCTCACACTGTCGTTGGCCCCTCTTTCGCCTCGTTCGACGAGGGCAGCTTCTAACCACCAACTCGGACAACGTTCTTCTCCTACTCGCAAGGCTCTTGGAATCGCTTCGCACCGTCACGCATCATGTTGGAGCTGCACACCTTGGCAATGGCCGTGCTCGTGGCACTGGCAGGCTTCGTGGCCGCTCAGTCGGGTCAATGGGATGATCTGCTCGACGATCTCGCCGGCACCTGGAGCACGGGTAGCGGCGCAGTACGCACTGGCCCCGTAAGTTGACCCCAACAATCGCTCGCGATGAGCCCACGCATACACGCTTGACCATACAGCGGCTGACTTCAATCATCCCCATGTGTACGCAATGATAGGGCTTCTGGAACCCGCGCACGCAGCAGTTCACCGTGCCGCGCTCGGCAGGCCGCTCCTACAGCTTCACCAAGGACGGCTTCTGGGAAGAAGCCATCTTCCAATGGTCCAACGATCGTAAGTCTGCCCCTCCATCATACGGTGCAAGGTCTTTCGCGATCTGACCGCCATGCTTCTTGCTCGCACTGCAGCTACGGACCCGCACTGTGTCACCGCAACGCTGCTCTGGCAGCACGGCAACTTTACGCTGCTACCCAACAACGGCACGCTGCGCATGGACCCGTTCTGGGGCGACGGCTTCCAGAGCCAGTGGATCGGCTGCGACACCACCGCGTCTGCCAACGACAACAACACGCTCGCACCCGTCGCCAGCTACAACCAGTATGTCCCCACACCCACGTTCTCCATGCTCCCATCGGCATCGCGGAAGATATCTGACTGCTGTATACGAGCATTTCTGACAGAATCGAGTTCTACCAGACACCCGCCATCAGCGTTGATGCGCACTACGGCGTGGCCAGCTGGAAGCTCGAGATGGCCCAGCTCAGCGGCGAGCCACTCAACCCCATGTGGAAGGTGCTCAACCCGCCCTCGATGCTCCCCACTGACGTGCTCCACATCAGGGTAAGTTCTCCACGCCCATTGCTGTGTCCAAATGCGTCGGACCTCATCATACTTACCGTCCCCCACATTTGCTTCCTTTCACTTTCCGCAGAGATACGGCCTGGAGTGATCCGCATCCACTCCGACACCCCCACCCCCGTGCATAGGATCATTAGGCTGTGCTGCCGTTACAATGGACAATCTATAATACACTGGAAAGCTATTGCATGCAATGACTCGGGCCAAATACGCGGCTGCGATCACTCGTAGCTATACGGATACCCTCGGAAGACATTGGTGCGGTTGCCGGTAAAGCAGACCCGGATGTTGTCCATCCACCGCGCTTCGTCTGGATCCGCATATGTGCCGATGGGTACGCCCTTGAGCGTCTCGAACAGGTTCATGTTGAGGTCGATCGTCGTCCATACGTTGGCGTCTCCGTAGATGGCGTCAAACTCGCCGGCTGGCCCACGGATCTTGGCTTCCGCACCGCACCAGTTGCGCGTCATGCTTTCCCACACATCGCGATCCACGTCGTGCGTCACGGGCTCCGACACATTGACGGCGCGCGACATGTTGATCAACGGCAGCGCAAAGATGGGCGCCGTCTTGTTGAATTGCGCGCCACACCATGTGGTCGTCTGTTGGCCCTTCCAGTTGGGCTGGAATGCGGTGGCCTGCATGGTAAAGCACGTGCCGAAAGGATTGTCGTTGGGGCCCGTGCCGTTCCAGAACGGGCGCTCGTCGAACGGCGACGAGTTGGAAGAGAGGCGGTCGCGATAGACCACAAGTGGCGGCACGACAGCAGCAATGACGCAGAGGAGGATGACGATGAACCAGAAGCCGCCGCGTCGGTAGATCGGCTTCTTCGGTGGCAAAACTAGTGGTTCGTTTGAGAAACCCATGGTGGCAAGTGGCGTCGATGCGATGCTCTGTCGAAAAGAAGAATGTGTCTGTCGCGATAAAGCTTATGTGGTTGTTTAGCGTCGTCTTGCGATAGAAGTCGAGGTGTCAAGTAGAGGCGGAGATGCAGCAACTCGAGGCAGCATTGACCAATTTGTCGGCCTTAAGAGCGTAAGAGGAGTCTTGAACGAGGGCGGTGCTACGAAGATGAAGCTCGCAGTATCTGTCGAGGCATCAGGTGGGGAAGATGGAGTGCGTTTGCAAGAGGGCAAGAAGAGTGATGGCGCCAAGGTTCTTGGTGGAGTCGCTTGGGTCAGGGCCTTCTTGGCGGTGATGCGCGGCGGGGGTGGCGATGCGCAGCTAAAATGTCCGAAATTCTGGCTGACGCGAGACCCCGCCAGAGAGGTGAATGTTGGGAGCGTGCCGGAGAGAAGCGCCGTGCCTGACGCTGGCGCTCAAAACAGAAGCTATCGCTGCATTACCGTGTCATGATGCCCTGACTACCGCTCAACCGCCCACTTGCCTTGGCCTCGCGCCGAAGCAAGCCGGTCCAAAGTATAAGCCCACACTGCCTCTCGCCTGCGGGGCCCGGCTGCGCATTCCGCCAAGGTATTCACCGGTGTCGTGCCCTGTCTCGCCGCCCTGCCGTCTAGGCGAGCTGGCGGAGAGAGCGTCATTGGACAAGCCCGCGCGCCTGGAACCACGCGGTCGGGGGCGGAGCTTTCAGCGATGATCATCCTGGCTCCCACCGTGGAACAAACAGACCACGGAGGCTCATGACATGTCGTGGCGAAGCCGGCGAGATACCGAGATGTTTGGATGCTCGTGTTCCATTCTCCGCACTTCTGCAGAAGCGCAGATCGATATAGAGGCGGGAGCGTGTTTCGGCTAGGCACATGGCCTTGTTGGCGGAGATAAGCGACGGCGGCGATGACTAGAACATGGCTTCGACAGGTGTGCTGATCATGGCGCACACAACGCATTCTTCCCGGTGGCTGGCTCTTGGGAGTCAGCAAAGTCCCGAATCACGCATGGCAGATCGCCGATCCAGCTCAAGATCAGGGAGGAAAGAGAGCGCAACGAAACGTCGAGAAGGATGCAGGGTTGTCATGCGCCTTCATCACCTGCTGTTGTGAGGCGCAGATTGAGATGAAAAAGGTCGGCAGCAGAAAGCGTGACGACGGAGCATCCGATGCATTTCCCGATCAACGCCCGTCGCCGACCTCGGGATCATCCGAACACCGTGGACCGCCTGTGCCGATCCATGTCGAGACCGTTGTGCGTGATCCACCTCTTCCTTTCATCGAGATTGCTTTGCGACCTTCAGTCAGCGGCGCGGTCTTCCAAATCGCTGGGCTGTGCAAATTTAACTCAGCGCAGGCCAGCGCGTGCAGCTGCACCGTGCGTCATTCTGCACCTCAGTTAAGCGCTCCCGATGCCTCCACCCCAACCCCTGCGCACGGCCGCGCGCCAAGCCTGCCTGCCAGCCACGCCGACCCCCGGCCAGCCCTCCTGACTTGCTCATCGGCCAACTTGGATCCGTGTTCATGCCCGTTCATGATCTCGGTCTACTGTACCAAGCCTTGAGAGGCGATGCTTGATCCTCATGGCAGAAGGGGACAGAAGCAGGAGAGGATGACGACGAGGACGCAGAAATTGGATGGATCTCGACTTCCGTGTTGATGCAGATACGGCGTGGGCGGTTGTCTCAACTTGGCCCAACTGGGTTAAGAGTAAGCAGAGACGCAGGTGTGACTGAGCATGTGGGCGAGTTGGTGCCTGCTGCCGTGAATCAGCGGAAACAGCAGCGCGCGATGGAAGGAACGGAAAGCCTTCGACTCTCTTGCATGGAAAACACCCAGGGCCCGCGCTCAGGCCAGCTCGGAAGCCTGTGCGCTCGCATGCGCTCGAATGCCCTCGCATGTCCTCGCAGCGCTGGCTGTCTGCATGTGGGGCAAAGCAACCTGGCTCGCTCCACACAGCGCCTGCTCATGTTGAGCATCCGATCCTCGTCTGAGCATCGAGCTGCTCCCACGCCTCGGGCACTGCAGCGCTCGTGCGCGCACAACCGACCCTGACGTGCACCCTTCAAAGAGCTCACCTTCCCGCTTCTCGGCAACTCTTCCTTCTCTCCTTCCACCATCACCAACACTCTTGCTTGAACTCAAATCCCTCGCCCTTGCCCTGTCACAGCGCAAACTCAACTGCAACAGACTTCCTTCCTCTCAAAATGCCTTTCGTCATCGACCTCAAGGGACAGACCGTCGTCGTCACCGGCGGCAACCGTGGTATCGGTAAGTTTCTTGATACGATGGCCTTCGTCGTTGGACTTGGCTAGGGCTGGAGCTGAGACGGAGTTGACCACGTGCTGACCCACATCATTTGCATCTTGTTGCTCTCTTTCATCTCGGCAGGTCTTGCCATGAGCGAAGCCGTGGCTGCTGCGGGCGCCAACGTGGCCATCTTCTACCGCTCGCACCCCAAGGCGCAGGAGGCGGCCGAGCAGGTGGCCAAGAAGCACGGCGTCAAGGTCAAGGCGTACCAGTGCGACGTCGGCGACGCTGAGCTGGTCAAGAAGACCATGAAGCAGGCGCAGGACGACCTGGGCCAGATCACCGGCCTGCTCGCCAACGCCGGTGTCTCGGTGGTCAAGCCCGCCGTGGAGCTGACCTCGGAGGACTTCCGCTACGTCTACGACACCAACGTCCTCGGCGTCTTCAACTCGGCCAAGGCCGCCGCGCAGCTCTGGATCGAGTCGGGCTTCAAGAAGGGCTCCATCGTCATCACCTCGTCCATGTCGTCCGAGATCTACAACCAGGAGGGCCTCAACAAGCCGCTCACCCAGGTCTTCTACAACTCGTCCAAGGGCGCTGTCACCAACCTCGGCAAGTGCCTCGCCGCCGAGTGGGCGCAGCACGGCATCCGCGTCAACATTCTCGAGCCTGGCTTCTGCAACACGGAGCAGACCTCGGGCATGGACGCCAAGATCCGCGACTTCCAGGCCTCCAGCATCCCCCTCGGCAGGTTCTCGGAGCCCCACGAGCAGGCCGAGCCCGCCGTGCTGCTGCTTTCCGACAAGGCTTCCTACATGACCGGCTCGGTCATCCGTCCCGACGGCGGCTTCACCATCTGGTAATCCCAGCCGCAAGCCTGCAACTCGTTTACATTTCCTCACGAAATTGATGCTTTTGCCCCAGAACAAATGCGTGCCCGAAAAGCCGATGTGGTCACAAGAACTTTTCTTGGATTGAAAGCAGGATACCAGATACACGCGAGACGCCCATGAAGCGGGAGAGGTGACAGAAGGAAGGGCAGAAGCAGAAACTACTTGCAGCGAGCATGGACGATGGCGGGTCCGTGTTCGTCGTACTCCTGCTTGGAGATCCAGAGCTGGTGGAAGGTGCCCAGGCTGGCCAGGATGCTGGCGCCGAGCCACGACGAGTGTCTTCGTTCGGTCGAGTTGCCTGGCGAGTGGATCTTGACCTTCTGGTTGGGAGCCTTGACGCCCAGTTCGTAGCTCAGACGGTCGGTGAGACCCGAGATGAGCGAGCTGCCACCCACGAGCACGATGTTGCCAAACAGCGAGGGCCGAGAGTCGACGTCGACGGCATTGATCGACGAAAGCACCATGTCGGCCAACCCCACGCTCGCCTTGCCGCCACCAGCCACCGCAGCGCCCTCGGAGCCAGTAGCGCCATCGCCGCTCGAGGGCGTGGACGAGGGATGCAAGACGGCGCCGAGCGACTCGGCGGACGAGACGCCGTTCCAGAGCGATGGGCTGAAGAGCAGCTCAGGGGCCTTGAGACGCTCGATGCCAAAGGCGTCGTTGTAGCCGTCGGGGAACTCGTACATGCGTCCGCTTCGGAACTGCGCCTGCTGCTCGTCCCACGGCACCTCGAGCACCTGCGCCACGCTCTCCTTGAAGTCATTCACCACGCGGTTCACGTGGTAGTTGCGGAATGATGGTGTGGAGCCCTCGATGCGATCCTGACGCAGCACCACGTTGGCCGCCACACCGGGGTCCACCGCCGAGCGCGACTTGATGAGGCACTGCGGTGTGACGCCGCCGAATGCGCCGCCGCGCGAGTGGTGCAGACTGTAGAGCAGGGCGCGGTTGATGGCATCGCCGCCGTTGTTGTGCCTGTGGATGCCCTTGCGCAGGATGAAGCCGTCGACGATGGGGATGGTGGATACACTGGTGGAGCCAATGTCGATGACCAGGCTCGACGGCTTGCCTGCTGCAAACGAGCTGAGCACGCTTCGGTTGGCGAGGTAGAAGGCGGGGCTGCCGAGCGTCTCGAAGGCGAGCTCGGTGAGCTTCTCCCTCGACTCGCGCGTGTTCCAGGCAGGTTCGGTGAGCAGCAGGGGATGCTCGCGCGCGTCGCACGAGAGCTGGTCTAGCCCGAACGAGCACAGCTGCGCAAACGCCGGGTGGTCGGCCACGATGCCATCGTCGTCAAAGATGGAGGAGATCTCCATGTCACGTCGGTAGAGGTTGAGGTCGTTGTCGCCGACATAGCGGCGGCGCTTCTTCTCGCGGTCGACCGAGAAGCGCAGCACCTTGGATGCGGACTTGGCACGCGCTTGCTTGAGACGCGTGTCGGAAGCTTCTTCAGTAGCTGCTGCGCCGTTGCCGTTCGATGAGGAAGCGCCGTTCTGTAAGCCATCTGCATCGGCCATGGTCTCGTCGCCATCGCCGTTTGCTGCCGAGTCGCTGGGCTGGTCGTGTGGATGCGACGAGGTCGAGGCAAGCAACGCTGCTTGCGATTCCAGGTCGGTGATGTCTTGGTCGCTGATAGACGAGTGTCCGTAGTACGAGGGCATGACTACACGCGGACCATCCTCGCCGGCCCAGCCGACGCGGCTGGACGAGTGGCCGGCGTCAATGACGAGGGCATTGATCTCGTCGCCTCCGTAGACACCGGGCATGGCTTCGAGATTCCACCGAGGGTTGCGGAGATGTCACGGGGTAGCTGCAAGGTCGATCCGAGTGTCAACAGGCGCGTGTCGGGTGGATTGGCGATGTGCAATGGTGCCGACGACCGAGGAGTATCTGTCGAGATTGTGATGGTGAGATGTCGGATGGCTTCGACTTTGAGATGGAGTGGAGCCCAACTGACTGCACAGTCCACGCACGCAGAGAGACCCGCAGAGCGACCCGACAGCCGTCTGGCGCCAGGCAGAGGCGATCTCTCTCGCGACGCGATTCCACGCTCCTTCTTCCATCCGGCCGAGAGGCAGACCCTCACTCCACACGATTTTTCCACCGCACGAACACTCTGCAAAAATTTCGAGCAGGGCGGGCGCTTCTTTTTTTTTCTTCTGGCACCAGAAGCAGAGTGAGTGGCTCAAACGGAACTGAACCCTGACAGCCCACCCAAGGCCGTCCTACACCACCAAAACCAGCTCGACTTCACTCTTCCACTCATAACTGTGTACGAGTGGCTCTCCATCTCCCATACCGCACAGCAATGGCGAGACCTTCCGCTTCCACGTCGGCCGCCGCGGCAAGCAACGGTGCAGCCAAGAGGAAGCGCAACGTTCCCGCTCCTGCCGCCAAACCATCTTMCACCACCACCACAAAGACGCCCACGACAGCAAAGGGCAAGTCAAAAGCGCAGGAGCTCCACCTCGGCGACTCAGACGATGAAGACGAAGCTCAGCTTGATCTCGAATCCGACGACGATGATCTTCAAGCTGGCGACGCCTCCGGCGATGAGAGCCAGGACGGCGACGAGTTCCCCGAGATCGACCTCGAGGAAAGCGAGGGCGAGGAGGACTCGGACGCGGAAGCAGAGCAGCCTGAGCAAGACGATGATGCAGATGATGAATCCATAGAGCTTCAGGATAGCCAAGCTGATGATGATTCCGAGCAAGGCTACAACTCCTCGGACATCGACAACTCGGACTTCGAAGGTGACGAGCCAGAGGACGATCTCGAGTACGATTCGGCGGAAGAGGACGACCGCGCCTCTGCCTTTGCCGCACGCAGCGACGCTTCGCAGACAAGCATCGACGAGGAACTCTCGCGCATGGTGTCTCGCTACGCATCCAAGCCCGACGAGGAGTCGGGCTCGCTCTCGGCCACCAACAAGCTCGGCATCCCGCGCAACCAGGCAGCCCAGGCCTTCGACCTTCGCACCCGCAACCCGGACGGCTCCGCCAAAGGCGTCTTCAAGCGCAGCGACATCACGGGCGAGATGAAGCGCGTCTACCCCGAGATCCAACCCGAATACGACTCGGACAGTAGCACCGAAGACGCCGAGAACCGCATCGGCAACGTGCCGCTCGAGTGGTACGACGACATGCCCCACATCGGCTACGACATCAACGGCCGCAAGGTCATGAAGCCCGCCACCAAGGACGAGCTCGACAGGTTCCTCGACACCGTCGACGGCGACGGCGAGGCTTGGTTCTCGGCGCGCGACAACTCCACCGGCAAGGATGTCCGCCTCACCGACGAGGAGCTCGCCATCATCCGCAAGCTCCAGAATGCCGAGATCCCCGACGATGCATACGACCCTTACGAGGACTATGTTGACTGGTTCACTGGCGAGGACAAGGTGATGCAAACCGCACTCACCGGCCGACCCGAGCCCAAGTCGCGATTCGTGCCGAGTAAGTGGGAGCACAAGAAGGTCATGAAGATCGTGCGCGCCATCCGCGACGGTCGCATCGTGCCGGGCGCCAAGGCCCAGAAGGACACCAAGCCCAAGTTCTACAACATCTGGGCCGACGCCGACGAGAACGACACACGCAGCCCGTGGGCCGTCATGGCGGCACCCAAGCTCGCGCTGCCCGGCCACGCCGAGTCGTACAATCCGCCCGAGGAGTACCTGTTCAACGAGCAGGAGCGCAAGGACTGGCTCGACGCCGAGGCCGAGGACCGCAAGCAGAACTACCTGCCCGACAAGCACGGCTCGCTCCGCCACGTGCCTGCGTACCAGAACTTTGTGCAGGAACGCTTCGAGCGCTGCCTCGACCTGTATCTGGCACCGCGCATGATGCGCAAGAAGCTCGACATCCACAACCCGGAGAACCTGCTGCCCAAGCTACCTTCGCCCAAGGAGCTCAGACCATTCCCCACCAACGTCAGCGTCGTGTACTCGCATCCGGACGGCAGCAGGGTGCGCTGTCTTTCGGTCGACCCTACGGGCAACTGGCTCGTCACCGGTGGCGACGATGGACGCGCGAGGCTGTGGGATGTGGCGATTGGCAGATGCACCGCAACGTGGGATGCATGCGAGGGGATGCCCAAGGCAGAGCGCTCGGCTGTGCACTCGGTCGCGTGGTGCCCCACCAAGAACTACTCGCTCTTTGCCGTGGCGGTCAACGGCCGCGTGGTTATCATCGCTCCGCCGCAGACGCAGAACTATGCCCAGACGCAGTCGGGTCCTGCTTCTTCCAAGGCCGCCTCTTCGTCGGGCGCGACGGCAACATCGACTGCGTCGTTCCTGTACGCTACCGCAGCGGCGGCTACTTCGATGCCGAGCAAGCCCGATGCGCGTGCGCCCGTCGCATGGACGAGGCCGGCCGAAAGCGAGCGTCGTTCGGGTGTGGCCATGTATCTGAACATCACGGCGACGAGCGCAAGCAACCTCAAGACGGTGGTGTGGCATGCCAAGGGCGACTACTTTGCCACCGTGTGTCCCGATGCAGCGTCGGGTGCGGCAGGTATGCTGATCCACCAGCTGTCCAAGCACCGCTCCCAGTCGCCCTTCCGCAAGGCGAGCAAGGGCTCGAGTGTGCAGAAGATCGTCTTCCATCCGAACAAGCCGTGGGTGTTTGTGGCGACGCAGCGCTACGTGCGCGTGTACGACCTCATGGCCCAGTCGCTCGTCAAGACGCTACAGACGGGTTTCAAGTGGATCTCGTCGCTCGACGTGCATCCGTCGGGAGACCACATCATGGTGGGTTCGTACGACAAGAAGCTCGCCTGGTTCGACCTCGATCTGTCCGCACGTCCGTACAAGGTGCTCAAGTACCACGCCAAGGCCATCCGTGCCGTCCACTTCAGCACGGCGTGGAACCTGGTCGCCGACGCCAGCGACGACGGCACCTTGCAGCTCTTCTACGCCAAGGTTCATGCCGACTACGGCGAGAACCTCACCCTGGTCCCGCTCAAGGTGCTGCGCAGCCACGAGGTCAAGAATGGCCTCGGCGTGCTCGATGTCAAGTGGCACCCCACCCAGCCCTGGTGCTTCTCGGCAGGCGCGGATGGAAATGCCCTGCTCTGGACCACATAAGAACCTGGATCAGCGTATCACCTTTCGCAACGCATGCTTGTATTCCCATCTTTCTTCGTTTGTGACTGTGCGGGCTCGAATCTAGGACAAGATTGAGTCGACGAGATCTGGATCATTTATCCTTCTTGCTGTCAGCAGTGGCGTCTGCTCCCGGGAGCGAGGTGGCCGCAGCAGCAGCTTCCGACTCGGAGACCTCGTCCTTTTCCTTGTCGGTGTCGGCGCCGGTGCCGGCGGAGACGGCTTGTTCGGCGGACTTGATGAGTTCCATCTCGCGGCGCAGCTCGAGGAGCTCCTTTTCGAAGCGTCGACCAAATACCTCGACGTAGTACGACGCTCCATTCCACACGCTCACCACAAAGATGACCGCACTGCGATCCATCCCCCAAAGTGAGCGAAGAAGAGGCGGCGAGGGTCAGCATGACAGAAGGCAGAAGTGCTGGGCAGAGGTATGGCTTACAAGAACACGGCCGAGGCTGTGGAGCTTGGGAACAGGATCAGTGGAGCCGGCAGCTGAATTGGAAAGACCCGGAAATGGACCGCGTCAGTACGATCTGCGTCGCTCGGATCATGTCTCGCTGCGTGACTTACTGTTGTGATGATGGTGTAAACGAACTGCAGCACTGTTTGCACTCGAACCAATTCGAGGGACCATCAGTATCTTGTCGAAGGTCGATTGCAGGCACAAGGCGTACTCACGCATAAAGGCTGGCTCGCGACGCTTGGGCGGCGCCTTGCCCAGCAGGTTGGCTACGGGACCCTTGCCCTTGCTCATGGTCGAGTAGGAATTGATGCGCTCGCCCGTCTCGATCTTGGACTTTTTGCGGATGACGATGAGCTCGTAGTAGACGAGCTGCCACACGAGATAGATCGTCACGTTCTGGCGGAGGAGAAGAGTGCGAAGCGGGACTGTCAGCAGGAGCTCGGCGAGCCAATGAAGCACGGAAGGGGAGATATACGCACAAACCAGAAGCTGGTGTATCCGTTGAGAGTCTTGAGGTTCGCGAGCGCCGGGAAGCGTGTCACAGCTTGATCGTGGGGCATGAAGTGCACCATTGTCGTAAAGACAAATGGCGGGTATAGGTGGATGAAGAGCTACAAGGAGCGGCAAAACATGAAAAGGGCAAGATCAGCCGAAGCCCCCTCGACCCGGAGTACGAGTGAAATGGACTTACCGAAGTCATCTTTTCGAGCGAGTGAAAGACGAGACCTAGATTCGACACAATGTGCCGTGTCAGCAACTCTGGATAGACGATCTGTTGGTCGATATGATACTGACTGTTCCGCCATGTTGCGACGCTGAATGCGAGTGGGCCATGTGCAGCACAGTAGCATACTGTGAACAAGAACTCGGAATTGGGGAACACCCAGATGAAGAGCAGGTTGGCAACGTTGAGAAAGTAGCAAAAGTCGAAGAGGAAGTAGTGCCACTTCTTGGAGGTGTAGGACCACACCCTAAGCGGTAAAAAGTAGAGGGCGAGGGCCGAGTAGAGTGTCGGGATGTGCTCCGGGCGCAGCGCAAAGACGAGGGAGCCTAAGGACGATTCACAGATTGGAGTCAGCTTCTGGCGAGCATGGCAGGCCGAGATTGTGCGCATTTTGCAGCTTTGTACTCACTGACGACGAGGTTGAGGACGCCTACGACAAAGGAGATCTTGTCGCGTAGCCTTACCACCTTTGCGTCTACCCACTTCTGCTGGAGGTTCTCGATGCGCTTCGAGACCTTTTTGCGCATCTTTTTCAGCTCGTCGTCCATCTGCTGAAGTTCGCGCTTGGACTTGGCCTTGCGGACGAGCTCCTCACGCCTTTTGCGGGCGCGTGAGCGCATGTCGCCGGAGAAGGCGGTCCATTTTCTGCCGGCCAGATCGATGCGTGGAGAGAAGTAGGTCTCGAACAAGTCGCTGAGTGGCAGGGCGCCGGAGTGGGACGAGCCGAGCAGATCGATGCCCTCCACGGAACCCGAGGCACTGGAGTTGTAGGTACGGTAGGGCGTGGTGGAACCGTCATCGGAGTAGGCCATACTCGACGCGCGCGAGAGAGCTGGCCTGCCGGTATCGTCGAATGCCGAGGAGGAGGCCTCGGAGATGTGCGAGTGATTGGACGAGGTGGATGAAGCGCGACGCATGGGAGTGGATGAGCTTGCGTCGTCGGCAGCAGCCGCAATGTCCGGGTCTGGGACGGCGAGGTAATCTGTACTCATTGGTGCTCTGGCCACTGCGCGTTGAGGAGTCACGGTTGATGGCTGGATGGTGGTACGCAGAGAGGATGCGTGTCGCGACGTTTTGCGGAAGGGAGTGTGATAGCGGAAGGGTGTTGCATTTGTGGCGGGCGGTGACAGCATCGCGCAGCACATTCCGTGCATTTCTCCACACGCACCGCCAACGCGTTGCGCACCGCAAAGCCAAGATGTAACATACGGTTATGCCGCCGAACGAATGGTGTTGCCTGCTCACGGCTTGCACATTGGGCTTGGATGCGCACCCCTCCCTTGTCACGATCGCCAATCGTGATCAGAATACTTGGCCTACGAAGATTGGTGTCAGGCGGCCTTGCTGCCAGGGCGGAGGGCGAGCTCTCCAGTTCATCAGGGTCATCGGGCCCCCCTACATGCTGAAGAGCACGTTTTGAACGAATTGGAATACCAGGGAACATGCTATGAGTACAAAGGGGGAACATTACACGGGCAAAGTGACGGAGAAAGGAGGGGATGTCAAGTGGGGCAGTCGAGAGGCAACGACCCGCCTAAGACGAGCGTAGTCGACGGCGGCGGAAGGGCACCCGTCGAATCCTGATTGGAAGTGGCGAGGTAGGGTGCGGATGCAGGGCTGTTGAGAGGGTGTGATGCAAGCCTTACGAGCGGCGGTGCTGCGGCCAAATGGCACTCTGCACGACCTCCGTGCAAGCCAACTGCAGCCGCTGTGGCAGCGCCCGTCGGAGCGAAACCGAGCCGCTTTACGCAGGAAAAGCGTCCGAACGAATGGCTGCAATGCTTTTGGGTGGATTTGAATGAGAGCCTTTGCAGACGAACGATGCTGCAAGGGCTGCAGACGGTTACGAGCCGAACGACTGCTGCGAGGCGCTTGTGGAAACGCCTCGATCAACGCGCCTCAAAGTGCAACATGCGCTTTGTCCTCTTCTTGTACATGACACGGTGGCCACACTCTCGGCATCGGATGGGCTCTCTGGGGCGGATCTCGTTGGTGGCAGCGCAGTCGGCGCAGATGTACTCCATGACCGGGTTGCGAGTGGCGAGACCGCCCATGCCCGCGCCACCGCTCGGTGCCGATCCGGCCGGTCTTGCCTGGTACGACATTATGAACTCGGTCCTCGTGGGTGGATGTGCTTCTATGCGCGGATGCAGGCGTCCTGAAGGCGTAAGGGCGCTCGAGGCCGTGGCGAGAAGAGGTGGATGATGGCGACGAAAGTAGGATGGTGAGGAGGTCCAAAGTGGAGAATTGCGAATTTTTCTCTCGTTGCTCACCGCCGCTGAATCAATTGCGACCCTGGGCACATCACGTGACGTGTCCGTGAGGCTCGAGGTGTTGGATTCAACCTTCGCACCTTCGCACGGACAACCACACTAATCATCACCACCACCGCCATCACTGCCATCAACACAAGCGGCATCGCGACACCCGGTGACGCATGTCGGGACCACTCGAGGGCATCATTGTCCTCAGCGCCGACGGCCGCCCCGTCGTGCATTCCCACTTTGCCAACCGCATCCCCTCCTACCCGCTCCTCCACTCGGACTACTTTGCCACGCTCCTCGCCGGCATCAACTCGGCCAACGCACAGATCACCACCTCTTCGTCCACAGCAGCAGATTCTGCGTTGCCCGGGCCTTCGTCCAATCGCATCTACTTTACCAAGGACATCAAGCCCATCATCTGGGTTCCCGGAGTGCCCGACGTCAACCCGCTCGAGCTGCAAGCCGACTCGGACGACGAAGAGCAGGATGACGATGACTTAGATGCGGGCGACGTGACCGCCAACCTCGGCGAGCTGTCACTGGCAAGTCAGCTGAGTGCCCGCATCTCCGCCAGTCGCACCGGTGCTCAAGCCGCCAACACCGCAGTCGACGATGTGAACGTCTGGGACGAGGGAGTCCCTCCATCAATACTAGAACAACCGTCCACAGAGCCGTCCCTCCCCAGACGGTCCACCCCGCCACCCACTTCTGCACAAGATAGGGGCGACAGAGTCGTCGAGCACGCCGCAGAGGCACTCGCAGAGCAAGGCGCCGCGCTCATCCACGTAGCCTCGGGTCCGTTGCGCTTTCTGTGTCCCGTGTCACGCGAGATGGACCCGTTGGTGCCGCTCACCTTCCTGCGCTCGTTCATCGGCATCCTGCAGGAGTACTTCACGCAGTCGTCCGATCCGGCGCTGCTCACCGAAGACACGCTGCGCGACAACTTTGACATTGTCTACCAGCTCTTTGAGGAGATCCTTGACACCGACGGCAACATCCTTACCACCGAGGTAAACCAGCTCAAGAGCCTCGTCCTCCCGCCCAGCTGGGTCGACAAACTCGTCAAGGCCGTCGGCGTGTCTGGCCTCGCATCTGCTGCGCCGCCGCCGCTCACATCGCCCATCGCTTGGCGCAGACCCAACTCCAAGTACACCAACAACGAGATGTATTGCGACCTCGTCGAGTCGCTCGAGGGCGTCGTCTCCCGCACGGGGCGGCCCGTGGCGCTCGACGTTTGGGCCAGCCTACAATGCAACGCGCGGCTGTCAGGAACGCCCGACCTCTCGCTAACCTTCAACCAGCCCGAGATGGTACAGGACGAGAGCTTCCACCCGTGCGTACGGTACCGCGTGTGGCGCAAGGAGAAGCGCCTTTCGTTTGTGCCGCCCGATGGTCACTTTGAGCTCGCGAGCTTCAGGGTCGGCGAGCCGTATCTTGTGACCGAGTCGAAGCAGGCGGCAGGAAAGGGTCCGACCAACGGCTGGACTCGATCGCTACCGTTGTCTGTATCGCACTGCATTGCTCTGGAAAAGGGCTCTGGAACTGCGCTCATTCAGGTGCAAGCCACGGGCGACCGCGGCGCCTCGCTCTCTTCCGGCTTCGGATCGGCGCCGAGCGGTGCACAACGCTCGAAAGCGGATCCACCGGGAACACTCGAAGACGTAGTGATTACGTTTGGCCTTGGTCCGGGCGTGGTCTCGTTGGACGCGACAGCCGGCGGAGGGTCGATGTCCAACACCTCGGATTCCACACGCGCCGTGCTCGACCCCACGCTCACGCCGTCGGCAGGCGATGTGTACGGATCGTACATCTACGACCCTAACACCAAGTTGGTCCGATGGACCATCCCCAAGCTTTCGCCCGCGCACCAGTCGCGTCCGTGCCTACTCAAGGTGCAGTGGACAACCTCCAACTCACGCACACCGCCCACCCACTCATCCGCCATCACAGTCGCATGGTCCAACCCAACCACACCCATCTCCAACCTCAAAGTCACCGCCATCGAACTCACCAATACCGCCACCCACAACTACCGACCCTTCAAAGGCGTGCGCTCCATCTCCAAAGGCAAACTCGTCTACCGCGTCTAATCACGCACTCGCAATCACAACACCATACCCCTTTCGCTCCTTGCATGTGTTTGTGTGAATTCTTGCCATTTGGTTCCAACCATTGTCAAGGTACAGTGAAAGCAACGACCGGTGACACCCGAGTATCGCACAGCAGAAAAGAGACCGAGAGACTGTACAAAATTAGCCCAAAAAAGACGGAGCGAGGAAGAAGGAGCAAGGGATCGGTGTCACGAGGCATGCAGCATGAGTTTCCAGCCACGGTCGGTCGCCTCGTCGAGCCAGGCGGTGAGCGAGGCATCGTCGTCGATGAGATCGGGCTTTTCGTTGCACTTGAACACCGAGACGTCGGCGCCCAACCTCTCGCGCACCTTCTCCAGCAGCTGTGCATACGTAGGACTCGGCGGCATCCTCAACGCGATCACGCTGTCCAGATCGTTGCGTCGCGCCACCTTGATCCGGTGGTACGGCACGCTGGCCGCCGAGCCCGACGTCTGCGGTTGCGTCGATGGCCCGGACGAATTCTGCTTCCTGTGCCCACTCGACGCCTGCGATGTGCGTCCCGTACTGATCGTCCCGCCCACTCCTCCGCCAAACGCAGCACTGCTCCTCGCCGAGTCTCGCTGGCCCGACGACGCGCCGCCCGAACCGCCGCCTAGCGAGGCGCCGCGCATCTTTGCGCTGAGCTCATCCTCGGTCCTGGACGAGGTGCTTGCGCGGCCCACTGGCTGATCCTCGGCATATTTGTTGACGCCATTGCTGCGGAGCTGCTGCTGCTGCTGTGTTGTCTGCTGGTTCCTCTGCTGGCCTGCATCCACGCCGCCGGCCAGATAGCCGTAGTCGTTGTACTGCAAGTTGTTGTCCTGCTCGTCGGTGGGACCGCGCGCCGGGTGCGCGGGGTGCGCGGTGCAGTGGTCACCGGGTCTTGGCTCGAAGAAGAGTCGTACGAGCTCGGAGCGCATGATGTACTCGGGCAGCGAGCAGAGTTCGATGATGTACTGGTCCAGATCGACGCGACGCTGCGAGGTGATGAGGTCGTCGACGACATCGAGCGGGCCGGGCATGAGCGGGAGGATGCGCTCGCTCGAGTGGCCGTTGGCGTCGGTCTCGCGGCCGGCCTCTGCAGGGAAGTGGTCGAGAAGCGCGATCTGGAACTCGTAAAAGTCTTCGTAGAGGCGGTAGAGGATGAGATCGCGTTCCTCTCCGTCGGGTGCTGTGGGCGCGTTGGATGGTGCTGATGGTGAAGGCCCGGCGACGTGCGTTGCCTGGATGCGGAACCAGTAGTCGCCCTGCTCGTAGTGGAACGAGTCGACGGTGGCGGAGGTGATGATGCCTGTGGGCAGCGGCTCGCCTGGCGACATTCCAGGAGGCAGCTGGGTGAGCGGGTCGATGGCGTTGGGGTCGTGCTCGTCGAAGGGCTGCACTGCACCGGCGGCGCCGAGCGGACCGCCAGTATGGTTGTAGAGGTCGTCCTTGGGTGGTGGGGTGGGGACGGGCAGCGAGGAGATGGACGCCTGGTGGGCGTGCATGTCGGAGCGCGGGAGGGCGGCATTGTTGGTGCTGCTGCCCGAAGCGGCAGCGGCCATGTTGGCGTAGGGCGAGTTGAGACCCTGCTGGGAAGATTGCGGAAAGTCGAAGCGACCGAGGGGAATGGTGTTCTTCTTGTATTCTGCGGTCATCTTCTTCCACTCCTCCACCTTGGGCACCACGCCGCTCTCGATGAGCTCTTGCACGTCGTCGATGGGACGACCAGAGACCAGATCGCGGATCTCGACAAAGGCGACGGGGATGAGGCCAGGACCGCCGAGTCTGCCGATGGGTTTTGCGACGAACCATTCAAAGTTGGACTGCGCAATGACAATGATGGACTCGCCGGCTTTGGCCTCGAGTTCGTCTGCGCGCTCGGCGTTGAAGTCGTACTTGACCACGGCGTAGAGGCCGCCGCCACCCTTTGCCGTCATGGCCGCTCCAGCGGCACGTCCTCCGTAAGCCTTGGACGACGAGGACGCGCCTGAAGGAGGAGGAACGCCTGTGGTGGAGGCAGCGGAGGAGGTTGGCGGAGACATGCTGCCGATCTGAGGCGAGGTGGCGCCTGGGCCTGCAAAGGTGGCCGGGTTTGCGCGGTTGCTCTTGGAGAGGACGTCGAAATGACTTGCGGGGACGAGACCGCGTGCGTTTGTCATGGGATTGTTTGCCTCGAACCAATCTGCGTTGGGCGCGGGATCTGTGATGACATGGAAGAAGTCGCCCTTGTGGAAGCTGAGCTCGTGGGGCGAGTTGGATCTGTAGTCGCGAACGGCACGGATGACGAGCTTGGGCGGCTGGATGGTGACGGCGCTCTTGACGTTGGTAAAGGCGGCAGGGCTTGCGCTTGAAGTGGGAGGCTTTCCGCCCGAATGGCGGTCCTTGTTCAAGGACCTACGAAAGTCTTTGAGGCCCTTCATTGTGGGCTAGGCACGCCAAAGATGAGCGCAGCCGTGAGTCGAAGTTGAAGGGGTGGAGGGGCTGCTATAGTTGAATGCAGGGACGACAGGATATGGCCGAGGGGGGGCACAGCAGTGAGCGCACGTCGTGGCGAGGTCGTGAAGATCGTCAGTGTTTGGCCTGGAGTGATGCAAGTGGAGAAAGACAGAAATGCATGCAAGAGGTGTATATGTGATGGTGGAGCGATACGGAGGAGTGGTGAATTGTGCAAATGTCGGGAGGCGGGCGGGCGGGTGGGTGGAGCGGAGGCGGCCGCGGCCGCGGCAGCAGCAGCAGCAGCGTGTCACGGGCAGCTGTTCAGCGAGCGACGCGGAGAGAGAATTGCGAGGGCGCGAGTGGGTGTGCCAAGCAACGAGCGCCAGTAGTGTCGCAGTGTCGCAGTGTCGCAGTGTCGCAGTGTCGCCATGCTACCGCTCGCCGCAACTTCTCAACGCGCTTTTCGCGGTCCGCTTGGCCGACACTCGACGCGAAAAATGCCCAGATCAATTGGAGCTTGAACCGAAAAATCATCTCGAAGCGCCAGCATCAGACGGCGGCCGCCATCGTCGGATGCAGTCGGCGAGCATCACCCACTCTAGCCGACCCAAACTACTGTATCGCAGAAGAGCCTCGTCAGGTGCGGTGTGGTGAGATGCGCCTCTGTCTGTGCCAATCTGCAGCGAAGGATTAGGCGAGCTGCATGTTGCTGCCGTCGGTAGGATCTGCCGATCCCATCTCGCCGCCCGCCTCGTCGAGCAGCTGAGCCACCGCACACCTGCCCAATTTTGCCTGGCGCCAGAATGCAGTCGGCAAGCAGCGACGCGGCGTAGAAGTTGCTCCTCATCCACCACGCCCCTTTTTTTTGCCTCGTGAAATCTTCCGCCTCTCTCATCGCATCCATCGCTTTATTAAATATGCAAGTCACTGCGATGCTTCGGCTTCCCCCGAGCAGTCGCATCGGATCTTCCGATCAAAGCAAAGTCGGGCGTTGCAGAGGCAGCCTGCGTCGAGAGTCCAGGCTGGGAAACAAAGTGCATTGTGTTGGGTCATAGTCTCGAATCAATTTAGTATGTTAAATCGATGCTATCCTCTCGGCCACCCGAATCCCCGCAGGGCTGAGCTAGACGCACGCGGCCCGCAGCCTGAATCCGCACGGAGTGTACCTGCAGCGGTCCCTTTTCATCTTCTTGTCTTCCAACCTCCATCCTCGATCTCGCGGCTCTCATCCATCGACAGCTCCCTTCCCCCACATCGAACGATCAATCATGTCCACCCGTGTATACGTCGGCAAGCTTCCTCCTGATGTCCGTCGTGGCGACATCGACGATCTCTTCCGTGACTACGGTGTAAGTTCTTACTCGTTCTCACGCCACCCGCAACCGCTAGACTCCATGCTGACCATCGCCTCTAATCACCCCAACAGCGCCTCCAGGATGTCCGAATCATGGGCTCGTTCGGATTCGTCGAGTTCGAACACCCTCGCGATGCCGAAGATGCCGTCAAGGACTTTGACGGCCGCAACTTCATGGGCGAGCGCATCGTCGTTCAGCATGCCAAGAGTGGCGAGCGTCGCCGCGAGCCCGCTGGCTATGGTGCCGACCCCTACGACCGTCGCGGTGGCCCTCCCGGCAGGGAGCCCCCTTCCCGCTACGGCGCGCCTCCCCCGCGCCGAGAGCCTCGCATCCGCCGCGGCCAGTTCCGCTGCATCGTCTCCAACCTGCCTCCCAACACCAGCTGGCAGGACCTCAAGGACATCGGCCGCGAGCACGGCTCCATCTCTTTCGCCGATGTAGACCCTTCGCGTCCCGATGAGGGCGTCATCGAGTACGACAACCGCGACGACTACGAGCGCGCCCTCGACAAGATCGAGGGCATCGAGCTGCGCGGCTACAAGCTCCGCATCGACCCCGCTCGCCCCGCACGCGACGACCGAGACGACCGCGACCGCAGCCCTCCCCGTCGTCGTGACGACAGCCCGCCCCCTCGCCGTCGCGAGGACAGCCGCGAGCCTCGCGACCGCGAAGACAGCCGCGAACCCGCTCCCGAGCGCAACGGCCGATACGACAGCCGAAGCCCCCTCCCTCCCCGCGACGACGACGACGTGCCCGCTCCCCGCGATGATTAGAGTCAACATCTCGCCAACCTCGGCTGGCTAGCTGTGTAAGTCGTATCCTCCGCTCGATCGCCTTGCAAGGCGGTGACGCCATGGCGGTCTACTCCAGTCCCTCCTCTCTTGAACGCGCGTGTATCTTCTTCGTTTCCTCGCCCTTCTGGTCCTCGATATGTCAAAAAATCTCCGTCTCCACTTCCCGGTCTACTGCCCAAGACGATTCACTTCTGCAAGCTGTCTGGCTATTCTTTCGATCACCTGGACCGGTCTTTCGCGTGACGGTGGCGGCTAGGCGCCATGCAACCAATTCAATGTCTCGATCTCTGTGCTTTCACTTCCTCTGGCGGTCCGTTTCCCCGCGCGCATCGCGCCGATGCTCCGGACGAACAATCTGGTCGATGGCTCTATGGATTCCCAACAAGACGAAAGGTTTCGGAGATTCCCCAAAAAACGCGTGACTACTTCGGACGATGCCCGACGCACTGGAGCACCATGAATGCCAGCAAACTGGCATGTGACAGCCACGACGGATGGACCGACCGGATTGAGTAGACCCGGGGCACCAGCCCTCGAATCTGTGGTGAAGGTGGCGTTACTAGAGATCAGCTGACTCACACGTCGAGAGCGCGCGAGCGTTTGGCGGTGGTGCAGGTGGTGCAAAAGCATCGTCCTGCCCACACTCGCATTCCCGCCGCTCATATGCTTCGCTCTAGCCGCGCATTGCTCACGGCGCCCGTGGCGGCTACGCGAACTGGACTCGCTATCTCAAAAGACACCATAGAGAAGGCGCCAAACTTATCTCTCAGCACCGCGCAAAGATGAGAAGGATACGACTCGAAGCTTGACGTGGCGCCACCAGCAGGTAAGTGCATGCTTTGTCCGTGTCTACCATCAACAAGGCCTGCACGAGCGCACGCTCCGGGCGCAGGCTCAAGCGTGGCTGTGAGGCTTCACGCAATTCAGAATGCCACATCAAGCTCGCTCGCGGTGACGTGTGACACAATGCCATTCTTGCAGCATTTCTAGGACATGAGAAATGGCGTGTCTGTGCTCTGATGCGTGAGGTCGACCTGGGCAACGCCGCCGAAAAAGTCGGTGATCTTCACATCCGTCAATGGCCAGGGGAACAGGTCGGTGCGTACGCCTGGATCGGATTCGATCCGACTCGGATCGTACGCCGCAAACAGATCTTGCATCGTAGCATCCGACGTCTTGTTCTTGTCCTCCATCCATTCCAGCACAAAGTTGGTGAACCGATCGATCATGGCCACACCCAGATCGTCGTCAGCACCATGCGAGTACGAGTTCTGCCCCTTGGCGGAGGATCCTGTGGCCAGCACGTTGGGCGAATAAATGCGCGTATACAGCGTGTTGGCCTGGCACGTATCCACCATAAAGAAAAGCTGGTGGTATCGTTTCTTCTGCCACATCTGCTCGATCGCATCCGCAATATCCACCGCCGAGATCTCCTCGTAGTCCTGGAACTTGAGGAACTCGTCCCCCCCATGCCCCGTCATGTACAGGAACACGTTGGAACGAGCATCGCTCTCGAGACGCTTCGACTTGGGCGTGGTGGGCGGCAGTCGACCCGTGAGAAGTCGGATGAGGTTTTCCACCGACACCTCGTAGCCGCGATAGTCGACCTCGATATTGTGCCCGTACAGGTCGAGGCGGTTGGCAGTCGATGCCCATACGTTTCCGGGAAACTTGTTGCGCGGATTGCACGCGGCGTCGTCCGCAAGCATGAGGATGATGTTGCTATCCGGAATGCCCAGCCGCTTGACCGTTCGGTACATGCCGAGAGTGTTGGCAATGTGACGGTAGTTGAACCAGAACTTGGACGTGCACACCAGCACCGCCCAGTTGTTCGTATGCCCTCCGCGTACAGTAGTCTGCGATGAGGTTGAATCATCCCACTGTCCTGCCCAAGATCTGCCTGACAACCCCGACGATTCTCGGCCTTGCAGCTGCGCAAGTGTTTCTCCAAGTCCTGCTGACTCGAAGAACGTTGTGACTTGCCCGACCTGCGCCTCGGTGAGGAACGCTTCCGGATATACGAGTGGCGCAACTATCGCTACGAGTGCCACAAGTAGGCTCAGCAACACCAGTCGCAGAGCATGTCGTGATGTCCGTGACCGCGATGCTTTCGTTGACCGTGTTCGACGCGAGCGATCTTTCGGCCTCGACTCCTCGGGGACGCTGGGCACCATGCTGGTCCGGTAGTCGCGCAGCTCTTGCGCCTCTTTAACGGCCTAGGTGCCGTGTCACGAACCTTGGCTCAGCGATCGATCGTCCTGGGAAAGATGGGAGTGTGCAGGTGTTGAGCCTGAAAGCCAGCCGGCTGCCGGGGCCAACACGACTGCAACGTGTGGAGAGGAAGCCGAATCCCGAGATTTATCCTCTGGGTCTCCGCGCTTCGAAGGGAAGAAGCTCAACCGCCGTTTGCGCACGGGTATGTCAGCGGCTTCCCCATGAGTTTGCCCCAACCCTAAACCCTGCCCCCAAGCATCCGAGCGATAAGGTCGAGGCTATCAACAGCTACATCCCCAAACAATCGGTGTGGATAGGCGCAGCTTCGAGTCGATTCTGGGCAGACAGGTGACCCGGCAGCGCGCACGAAATGTTAGAGTGTCTGCGCGCTGAGCTGCGCAAACAAAGCCGTGCGTGGCGCCATTGTTGTGGGTCGCCTGACACCCGTTTGCACCCTACACCTAAATTTCAGACTGCGCTTGTCTAACGCCGATGCCAAGCTGCTCATCACATCATGCGCCAACCGGTGGCCCTGGCACCCCGCGTCCCGGCCCGACTGGCCATGTATCACTCGATCGTTCGAGCTTCGACGCCAGGAGCATTCGAGGCAGACGTACAGTCCAGAGAGACAGGACTTGATTGCTGCAAAGTACAAGATGGAAACGTGCCGATCGACAGAGTGGTCACGGACAGGACGATGACAAGATTGGGGTCGCAACGATTGTATGCATGCGCTCGACCCGACTGCAAAGTTCGATAGGGGGAGGGTGACCAAAAGGAGTGTGGGGAAAGAACTGACAGGCAAGCACGCAAGCGGATAAGGTGCGTGTGGCGGTGCACAGCCTTGCTTCAAGGCACCGGGCCCGTTCGGTCAAGGCTGGGTACCGCCGCGCGGTAGCGGGAGACTCGACAAAGCACTAGCGTGATGGTACGTCCAAGTGGCCAGATGCAGGTCGAAAAGCCCTCATCGTAGGTGCGTCTATGAGTGGTGTAGTTGCTAGAGTGAAAGCACTAGAATCTGATGTAGGCAGGACGATGGACTCTTTACTGCGACTCAGCGCTCTCCGACTCGCGCTTCCAGCTCCACTGACGGTCGGGGGGACCGATGCCGTAGTCAGCGGCGGGCTCGCCATCGCGCTTGTAGCTCCACCTGTCGGCGCGGCCAACACCAAAGTCGGCAGCAGGAGCGTCGCCGCGCTTCCA